TCAAACACTGCTCTCTGCTTGTGACGGGCATCATACTCCATCGCTTTGAATCGCTAAAGTGGGAGTGGCGGTGCTTCCTGGGTAGAGATTACGAAACTGAACAAGGAATGGCAGGACATTTGAAAGGATCTGCATGTGCATTTTCAAGCTTGTTGCATCAGTAATTTGTGGCAAGCGAAATAGGAGGCATTATATATGGAGAGCCTCTCGTAGAAAAGCGTGAAAACTGGGACATGGTTCACCCCATTCTTTGTCGAAAATCGTCCTGGAGCATCAGAATAATATTAAACCTTTCGCCTTCGAGTTAAGTAGCGAGCGGCAGCAACCCCAGCGCTGTTTTATTTTCCTAAGGTCACATCACGCAAAAAGTCGTATGCAGTAGAACACAGGTAGGGATATAACATTTTTGACCTACTCTGTTCTGAGTTTAGGAAAGCTCACAATACAAGAATAATATTTATGAATACCGCGCTAGTGGCACGACTTTCTGCCATCGAGTTTACTAGATCACTGGGCTGAAAGGGTTAATAACAGCAAGCTGGTAATCTAAACGGTTAAATCATAGGCCATGGATGAATGAAAACATGGATTATCAAAGCTCGTTTCGGATATAAACTCTACGGATCTTTGCCCAAAATCAGCACGCCGATTTTCTGAAAAAAAAGTGGTTGAATTGGTGAGGAAAACTCAACAGGAAAGAAGACATCACACTTGCACTGCCCACGACGGGTCGAGACTATCGTGACTCGTAAGCAAGTGCTCTAGTTCAGTACTTGTCCTCCACCCAGAAGTATCAGGAAAAAAACGGAACGGGGGGCATGCTTCGCAAACCTGCACGCAACAAAAGGGTCAGGGCTCGCAGTGCATGCCAATGCATAGGCTCGGGAATGAAAAAAAAAAACTACTAATAAAAGGAAAGAACGCGAAAGAGAGATAGATAAGGAAACACGAATATAGGACGAGGAAGGAGAGAGCTGGAGAATATAACAGAAAAAAAAACAAAGCAAAAAGACTGGAAGTAGCGGTAATCGAACCCGAGCTACAGTGTTTTCCTACAGTAAACCTATTACCATAAGGACGCGTGCGCTACTAACATTTCGACACTACGGACGTCTACTGAATACCAGTTCCCGTTTTACATAAGACCAGAGAAAGCGTTGGTTCCGCTGGGGTCATAGAAAAAATAGTTTGCATTGAGAGGGTGCGCGGACTCATCGCGAAAAGAGTAGGAAGATGCAAAGAAACCCATCAGAAAGAGAATATGCAGAATGAAAGAAAAACAAGCTGAATGCAGCCTGGTCAAGTAGCGTGCTGCTTTTCAAAGTATCAAGCAGTTTATCAAGCCAAAGAAATGGGAACGTCCAGGTCCCGTTCTCGCTTCTATAAGGTGCATAACCTACCCAGTGAACAATTTTGAACGTAAATAACGTCAATTAGTATAAACTTATGCCTATGCTCACGGAATTATTTTTTACAATTTATTTTTAGCGGTTTTCACATGTCCTTAATGTTGCCATGGAACGCCTGAGTTTTCCCCCCAGATTTTTGCATGCCCGCTACTGGTTGAACCAGGTGTGTGTTTCTAAACACCTCTGTGACTGAGAGGGAAAAAAAAAACAAGAAGAAAACACTCCACGTATGTTCAGAAGTAAACCTGTGTACTTTTGCTTCAGAAACACGGAAAACAGCAAGTCTACTTCAAATGAAACTGCCAAAAGCAGTTCCGATTGCTGTTGAAGTACAGATTGACTTTACATTTTATGCATTAGAATTATTGTACATTTTGCAAATTTTGGCCTAGAACAATGGTTCAAAAGAAAGAAGATTCAATGGGATTTTATAACATTATTGCTTTGTTTATTTGTAGTAACTCTCCATGGTGAAAAAAAATTGAATATTCGAAACCGTACGCAAATAGCTGCTCGACAGTTGCATCCAAAGCATTCTCTTTCCACCACCACCTCTGAACCATGACGGAGGACCTCCACACTTCATACCGTAGCCCTTCGTCGTAGTCCAGAGGTGGTGGCGGAAGGAGAATGCTTTGGATGAAACTTCCCATCTTCTCCGCCTCCACACTTCATACTGTACAGCTATTTTCTCACGGTGTCGAAGATTCCATTTTGGCACCATGGAGGGTTACTGCAAAGAAACAACTTGTGTTTCAAAACACATCTATGACGCATAGGCTTAAAGTTATGCAACTTTTCTTATTAACAGGATTGCACACTAAAAGTAGCGATTGAAAACCTGACATTAAATATTTTATACACCTTAGCAACAAAGCGAGAGGCGCGACTTTTTTTTTTATCCTATCGACACGCGCGTCAATCTGCAGTAGGCAGTGCATTCTGAAAGTATGAACTGTTGAGAAGTGGAGCTCTGCGCTCAGGCTCAAGCATGTTTTAGCAAAAGGAAAGGAAATGCTTATTCTGTTATTGCGAGAAAACTGATTAGAAGTGAAGCTGGGGGATCAAAATGAGTATAGATAGCTAAAATAGAGACTAACCTGAAAGATAGGTGAACGAATAGAAAAGTGAGACCAAAGGGAGTGTAAACAAAAACAAAAAAGAACAGATCAAGGGCATAAAACACCAAAGAATATTATGAAAGTGACTAAGAAACTCTAGTCTCGAGGAAGACATGTGTTGAAAACAGTGAGAAAGTATACATAAAAAATGAACTCTAATGGAAGGCGCCGAAGCGAAGCCAAATTCCAAAAGAGACTGTACTGTTATGCAGCAGCAAAAACGTCTGGGTCTTGCACGAAGGTGCAGTGATCGAACAGAACATGATTGGACCAACTGTGTAATGTGTAGAGATAACTTTCCCCATCAGCTGCTTTATGCACCAAATAAATAATAAACCGACTAGAGTGCACAAGAGAGAAAAGTGCCGCGTATCCACCAACCAAATTCAGTCCGTACGTCCATGGTAGGGGAGGCATGACTGGTCATGAATTCACAAGATTTCAATTAAATGCAATTTCAGAATTTCAGCAAGACGGCGCGCGCGTTCACACTGCTGAGAGGACTATTGAATGCTGGACCTCCTTCCTCTCCAAATTTTTCTCTTTCCACCAACACACTGGACCTCAATCCAATCGGAAAACTGGAGTATTGTCTGAAGGAGTTCATCCTGATTCTGAGCTAACGACGACAGACGACCTGACTAATTGACTCGCTGAAACGTCGAATTCAGTATCCTTGGATACCAAATTTCACGATACAGAGTGCAAAACTTCGTTCGTTCCATGCAGTAAAGATTGGAATAAGGTCGGAAAAGCAATGAAAGCACAATATCCTATTAATCTGTCAAACATCAAAAGTAAGTTTCCCTGTTATCTTTCAATTAACCATCACGATATACAGGGTGGGGCAAAAGTCACTATACAGTTTTTGTATACAGAAAATAGCTGTTTCGGTAATTTTTCCCACTTGGTTTCTGAGTAATACTGCTGGATGAAGCCGATAGCTTTTGAAATTACATTGCACGATCATTTTTCTGATTTGTGTTTTTGTTTTAAACAACAGTCAAGTTGACTTTAGAAATTAGCATATGTTCTATGTCCAACAACTGTATAGTGACTTTTTCCCCATCCTGTATATTGTCGCCCTACATTTTGCCTTATGAAAAAAAAACGCAGAGGCGGCGTGAAAATTCCCTGTTGGTGAGGTGACTGAGAGCCTTCCCGTCGCTATTAAGTCTTATATTTGTGCTTCATGATCACGGTTACCTTATGACATTCAAGTTTCCACATCTGGAGGATCAATTTCGCCACTTCCCTTCATGTCTCGGCAATAAACTGGTTTTTAGCCACTGGCCAGTCTGAATTGTTATTCAGGCTAGCGCAGTCTCTTAAAATTAAAATTTATATCTTCTTGTCTGTTTTCGCAAAGACAATTTCCTGACTGCTACTCATGGATCATGGAAGACCAAGGGAGGTGGTGTGAAGTTTCTCCGAGAAAGGTAATTAGTATAAAATATGGTGGCAACAGATTATCTGGGTTGGGAATAGAACTTAGTTCTTTAGCTGGAACGGGGGTCAGCTTGCCATTCCTAAATCCTTTGTCCAGATGTTTAGCAACAATGGCTGAGATTTATTTCTCACATATGGTCCTTTGCGCTCTTGCTGATGTGCTGATTTTCTCAAGTGAGTTAATGATACGATTGGGTTGATGATCAAGCATTCCTGCCACGAACGTCCGAGATGGGATGGGAAGATGCGGCTCCTGCGACCAAAGCAGGGAAATCATAACTTTGTCGTCCATCGCCTAGATGGCGCTATGGCGGGACTATGAAAGCCGAAAGTGCATGGACCGGCTACCTTAGCGAAGAGAAATAGAGGATCGTCAAAATGATGTGGGAACAATGTGGAGTTAAAACCGTGGGAACTATGATAGAGAAGTTTCTAGGCTTCAAGATGACGCCTTGAAGATAGAATTAATACCTGGCATAGCAGGATTCTCCTACTCTTGATGATTGCCGGTAGTACCGTTCTATGCCTCAGGGCGGTTGGCTGGCGAACGAGCGTGTCACAATGCCCTGCTTTATCTGCTTAGATGGAACGCGGATGGGCCTCTGCGGGTCAGATGAGACATTGCATTAATGTCCCACTTGGAGGGGCCGGTGGTTGGGCAATATCGATCTGTCCCCGGGGTGAAGAGGACAGTTGCGATGTTGCGAAGCGATGGAAGGGATTCCGTGGTTGGGCTGAATGGAGTCTGCCCAGGGTAAGAGAGTTCTTAACCAATGCACGTATGACAACGGAACAGAAGAGAATGCCATGACACGTGCTGCCATTTATGAGGAAACCGCAGACGGACTTCGTTCCATAAAATCCCAATTGTACAAATGTAATGGCAGATTCGAGATACTTTAGATAAGAAAATCTAATGATCGTAAGTGCAGATTTTAAAGTTTCTCTCCATAGGACATAGAAATGAAACCTTGGAATTCTCTGTCAATACATTTTTTAAATTCCTTTCCTTGATTTAATTTTAACATTTGACACGATATCTGGGTGTCTGGATGAAGACGGAAGACTTGCTGGCGGGAAACTTCTCGTCTGAAGAGGCATGGACCCGGGAAGGCGAGCCACGTGTGGCTGATGGTCTTTTCACAGGCAGGGGAAATGCCTTTGCGAAATAGGAAAATTGCTAAATAGAAAAAAAGGTAAAAGGTTCAAAGAATCAGTTACCCATGAAATCCGTCCGCACATTAACAGAAGATTGAGACTATATGAATAAAGACTTATGAATAAATTATAAATTAAATGCAATTCAAACAAGTAGCATCCGATCACTGATTGCAGAGGATATCCTACAGCCACAGGGTGTTTCTGTATAAGGCCCGGATTTTTTCTTCGAATAACTTTTTTTTACATTGTACCGTTTCAGTTCGTTGAGGGCTCATTCGGAAATGCGGGGTTTCCCAATTTATTCGCACTTTGAAGTTTATCGACGATGCAGTGAGCACTGAGAAAGCTATGCTGGTATAGCTTTAAAAAGGTAGAGCTTAAAAGGTAAAAGGTATAGCTTGGTAAAGCTATACACCACTCATTTCACTCATGTGCCTCTGTGACACAGCGCACTTGACCACCCTTTCTGTCTTGTTTCGTTGCTCGTTTGTGATTAAATTCGTCGAATTCTTTCAGCTTTGATATGAAAATGCCTCAATTCTCGATTCAAGAACATGCGCATTGTACATTGCGCATTGTACATTGTACACTGTACATTGTACACTGTACATTGTACACTGTACAGTGTACACTGTACCTTTGAAAATTGTGAAAACACTGTACCTTTAAAGAGGAAAAATTACTTCGTCGAAGGACAGGGTGAACTCCAAAACGTTCAACACGTTCCCAAGCAAATACATATATTTCTAAATGTTAGGAGTCTTAGAAAATTAATATTAGCGTAGTATTCGAAAAGGAAATATAAACCTAAATTCATCCGCACTCCAACCATCCTGTGCACGTGGTCTATTGGTGAGTTACTATTGGTACTTACTGTAGCAAGCACATTGAAGGCTCCTCTTTATATTCGCTACTTAGCTAAACTTCCACAGTACCAATGAGTCTCGGAAGATCCTACTGGATATGTTATGCAAATTTGTGATAAAATTGTATCAGATTTAAAAGCCGTTAAAGAAGGGTTAGAAGATACACGTCAAGTGTATTTATTTTGGGTTATTCGCCGTATATTCACTGGAAAATTGACATATGGTAAATTAAAATTCGGCGAACGAAAAGCCAAACGAATGAAAAGAAAGAGATGGAGAGAGACCTGTTCGGGGCTATTGTCAGCTCCGACGGAGAATGACTGGAAGCCGGATTTCTCAGTCGAATGAGAATTCTCGCCGGAATTGGAATTCCTCCCGAAAGGGGGGAAACTTTCCTTGGATTCATCAACCCTGAATCCCTTGAAGGATTCCCCTGATTTCCTCTCCTGACTTCCTCCGCCTTGCAACGGCTGCCCGTTGATCTGGGCCTATTCCGACGCGAAAGAAGACGATACCAGGAATATTTGTGCTTTATAAAGTACTTAGAATAAAGTTAAGCAGCAATGGTTCGAAAAGAAGTAGACTTGTGACGTGCAAGGGGAGGGAGAACCGGCAGAACCATGGCAGGAACTGCAAGAGGTAACCAAAAAGTTCTGTCACCCCACCGGTCACATAATCGGAAAGCTCTTTTTGGTCAATTAATTGCTTCATTGCAGGAAGTAATTTTCGCTTGGGCCAGCGATCCATGATCTTTTTCAGTCCTTCTCAGAGCCCGTTTTTCTGGATGCCCTTGTAGTGACTTAATTTCGGCTGTCATAGCGTTCTCCACGGAATTCGTTCTTGATGGCTGGAAACAAATGGTCACAGGTAATCAAGTCTGGAGAATATTGGAGAGAGGGAAAATCTCCAAGCCCCAGTTAACCAAACAGTGACCATACTCTACCTGAGCGGTTGGCATAAGGAGACAGTCTCCTTGAAAAATGGTGCTCTGCATGTCAAGCGGGGGGTGGTCATTATTTTGGAAAATTGGGGCCGAAAAATCCTGCCTGAATTTACCTTACTCTCCGTATTCTCCATACTTAGAGATTCTCAGTGGTTTCCGCCACGAAGAACGAGCTCCGCGGAGAACGCTAAGACGGCCCATAATAAGTCAATGCAGATGCGGCCACGGCATCGAAAGGCATCCAGAAAAACGGTCTCTTCAAGGGACTGAAAATGATCGTGGATCGTAGGGTCAAGTGTATCTAATTCAAGAAGGATTACTTCAAGCAATGTCGCAGTGGTTCGACAAAAATGAGTTCCTTTTATATTGCCAATGGGGTGGCAACATTTTTTTCATAACACTCCTTATACACAATACCAAAGTCTAACAAACTAATGACAAAGATGTTTTTTTTTTAAAGTTAAAACTGATTTCATAGATTTATTTACAAATGTTGAAATCTGCGAGAACAGGAACAAATGAAAAAAGTGAGAAAAAAGAATCACAAAAAAATATTTCAAGTTCTTCACTCCACATTTTTAGTCCAAACATTTTCTAATTCATTTCATTTAAGGTTTCTTTTTCGGGGAAGATTAGGCCTTTCACTTACGCTGTAGACAGAAAAACCTAGGGGTTCTTAAATCAGAGTGGATGCCAGATGGAATTGGAAGTCTTGGTCCAGCGGTTTGATACTTATCGACTTTACGATCTGACACACTAAATCGCCGAGTGCATCACTGTCTACTTCTCTTCCCTCCCCACCCAGTATTGTGGTTTCCTTTCTCGTATGAGTGTTTTCCAACTAACGACTTCACCTGAATGGACCTTGTGCCAACTAAGTTCAACTCCTTAAAGATCCCCGTAAGGTCACAAAAAATCTTCAAGTTACAAGTATAAAAACAAGGTAGTTCAGTATACTGTAAATGCAATATATTACTGATAGTTATAGATTATGTAAATCTTAATTTTATTTATGCTTTTTGCTCTTTACGTTCTTAAAGAAGTCCTAGCTGAAAAAAAATAAAGGATGTTTAACTTAGTATGTTGGCGAAATATTGCGCACGCAACTGGGATTATTTACCCTCGTGCATGAAAACAAATTATTGGCGAATAAATTGTGCCTTAATTTAAATGGCATTAGATTAGGAAAGAGTGGTACTAGCTATCCTCCAAATTGCATAAGCGCGTCTTAATTATAACGAGTGTAGACATAATAAGAAAAAGATCAACTTTCTCTTGGCCTACTCTGTATATAGGCCGCAAGTTCAGTAAATTTTCATCCGAAATTTGACTAACTGCCTTTCTTAGCATTTTATTGAGATCTTCGAAACCTCATTGCTTCCGCTGATAGGCAGAAAGCGGACTTCGTCTTAATCTTTCGCAAATGCTGGAGAACTTTCAATGGTGATTTATACCGGTGGTATCGCAACGGTTTTCCCTCCTATCAAAAAAGTAAAGTAGTAGCGATAACAAGGATGAACCCTGATCCGTTCATAGAAGAGGAAGGAAACGTAATATCTCGTACATACAGTATACTGATTGGAGAACCTTTTCTCTACTTCAAATTCAAGTTTAGCACCTAATATACCCATACCTATACATAGGTAAGAAGTTCATAGGTATTTATGGGAATTTTAAAGATAATTCTCATTAAAGTAATATATGTACGAATTTCAAATTATTTAAGTACTTAGTTTATGAACTATTCAAAGTGAAAGAATCCTTGAGTTCATGTCAATGTGAATTTTGTACTACGTTTTCCTTTAATGCATCTTATGAGAAGGGAAAAAGGGTAAGGATGACAGACGAGGAAGCCGGAGTCGCCGTTGACTACGTAGGTAATGGTGTCAATGACGCCATTGGGCCTGAGGACCTTGTAGAAGCCCTTAGTGAAGTCTAGGTGACGAGTCTCCCCGTGGTTCGCAAAATATTCCTCTTCGCTATCCTGGATGAGCCATTCGAAATCGTAGTTGGGCTTCGCTGCCCCCAACACTCCGATCAACACCATCACCTCCAATCATATCATTCTTGCAATGATTATTGCAAGATTTAAGAGGGGCTTACCCTCTTAAATCACGCGAAATATTGAATAAGGTAACTCGGGGAAAAAGGAGCATGTTGACTGCTTTTAGTGTGAGATGTAAAAAGTCTGATGAATAGAGGAATCACAATTTCACGATTGCAACTGAAACTAATACTCAAATAAGCGCGCATGCTGAAAAAATTCTAGTTCCAATTATAATTTAAAAAAGATATAATTTTTGAATATCACATTTTAAAAATCAAACTGAAAACTATGCATTTTGATCTCCCACAGCTAAAGGAAATAAACTTTCCAAGACAATTCACATTCCTAGCAGATAAAGCAATCCTGCTCAGCTGCCCCAGCATAATCCTCATGGAACCACGTGAGACAGGCCATTCATGCATTCTAAGTTTCGTATATGCCTATAGGGATGTAGCATAAGAAGAAAATCTAGTCTTGTATCTCCAGCTGAGAATTCGAACGTATTTTGTTACATATACGAAACTCGTCCGAAAAGAAGAAAACAGACGGGAAGGAAAATGAATCACTAATTCATTTCCCTTTTCAACATTCACTCATCCGTTTGAAAATACTGTAATGTTGGACGGGGACCTTCCATAAACTAGAATTAGAACACTCACATAGTCAGACTATATTAAATTCTTTAGAGTAAAAATTGCAAGTTATATCCTATCCATACCAACGCCACATTCAAAAGTGGAATCGCGGGGACTCACCAGGTAGAGGAGCATGCCGTAAGTTGAAGAAAAGGTGAAAGACAGAAGGATGTCACGAAGTCGGATGAGAAAACACGAATCAATCACAGAACTACCAATCCCGATTTTTATATCAAGAGAGAAAGAGAGAAAAAGTTGGTCTATCGAAATTCGGTCGACTGGTTTGTATTTCTTTTTTTTTATAAACGGCGAGACGGAGCATTTTTTTGCTTTAGTTAATGTAAACGCATATGTCGTAATCCTGGCGTCATCCTGGGTAAGACATTATCGCGTCTAGCATCATCATTAGAAAGGAATCATCGTTAATAAGGAAAACACGGAGGCACATTGCTCTTCAAAAGTCTTTCATTTCTCTGCAGTTGGAGCACCACTCCGAAAAATGTTTGTATCTTCCGGTAGTGAGAAAAAAATGCTGACGGCATCAAACATTTCACAATTTCTCAAAAATTCGTGTCCGATTTTTCGTTTTGGAAAAATTCCAGAAATTCCAAATTATTTTTTTTAATAGTTATTGCTATGGTAACAGCTAACAGCCTAATTACACCCACCTTTCACTCACAGCTGCAAATGAGATTTCGTTGTTCATGCTGAACCTGGCGCCCGGACGGGTACCGAGACGCATTTCAGAGAAACGTCGGTATGCTTTATGCCAACTTTGGTAGCTCCACGGAGACAAGAAAACAAGTTATCCTACAAAGCGGAATCCACCTGGTTGGAGCTCGCAGTATAAAGAAATAAGCTTGTGAAAGAGTCGCAAAACTTTTGGAGAGTAATATATTTTCTCGCCGAATTCTTCAGCCTCCAGAACTATTGTAATAACTTGTCAGGAGAGGGTTTAGAATTTTCCGTTATCATTTCCCTTCATCAATATCCTCTGGGTCGTAACCCATACGAAAAAGTCTAAAAGAAACCTATGAGATTTTTGTTTCAAATATCTCTTAGAACTCCTATAGTATTATTTCGTACGGGTATCCTTCTTTCTTCTCGGAACTTTCTGGGGGGTTTCAATTTTACAAGAGCCTGTTCTTTTTTTCCACTTTTCAAGAAAGTTCTCGAGCTCTTGCCCATTGAGCCATCTACGTCGAGCAATGACTGGCGATGAAGCATCATGTTGTGGCCGCCTGAAGCGAGTTCTCGCTGCATCATGAAATCCGGGGGGAAAAAACAGCCATGTCATGCAATTCCCGTTAACATCCTGTTATTTGTACACGCACTTAGCCACACCGAAATAAAGTTCATACTTACGGTTATGTGTCCTGATATTCATGAAAACTCCCGGTTCACCCTTCCATGTATTCTTTCTTTTTTCATGCTTAAAGGATCGTGTTGCATATGTGGAGATACTAAGAGCAACTGTGATTCATTATTTTCCATAGAGGATTATAATTTTTCGCGCAGAAAGATTCATGTGAATATTCACAAGTTCGAGATCAAAGAAGTTCAAAAAGGTCGAGTTGATGACAGGTCTCCTCTGAGCCACGAGTGGCCTAAGGACACACAACGACCCCTGACAAAACCCAAAGAAAACGAAGTCAGGATATAGGTGAATTAATGTGTTGAAATGCAAAGATTTAGCAGCTGTTGTATCGAGACAAGGATATAAAGTTCACTCAAGAGATATTGGGAAAGTTGACCCGCGTTGCTACAACAAGTTTAGGGTTTGAAGCTTCAGCAGTTCTTCAAGGGCTCTTGCCCCCCCCCCCCCAAACAAGCTAATTCCCATCGCCATATCACAATCATTATATATTATTGATTATAAAAAATGATAAGTCCATAAACATTTACTAAGGCAGAAAATGCGAAAGAAGCAGAGACTTGGAGGGATTCAAGACAGAAACAAGTGGTGCAAAAAAAAACAAAAAAACATTGAAGGTCCTGAAAATCATATCGGACCATGTCAATATTTGGACCAGACATATTTCGCGCAGAGTGACCGACGAAAAATTTATCCAAAAATTGTTCCTTCACCAGGTACCTTATACAGGGATGCACTTGGCATTGCACGATACAGTGAATTCTTGTAGCAAAACCGGGTGGTCAAAAATATTTAAACTATGAATATAAGTAAGGAATATGAAGTAAGATAAAATAGAGAGATAAATGGATGAACCAGAAGATAAACCTAGAAGATAAACCTAGAAGATAAACCTAGAAGATAAACCTAGAAGATAAAAATAATAGTGGGAGACACAATAATCAGCTGGGAATAAAATATGAAGTTCCTAAACTATTTGTAAGAAAAAGAGGAAAGCGAAGAATGGAATTCAAGACTAATTAGGCAAGGAACGAGTTTTTACTTAGGAGGCACTCACCAAAAACGACTTGAGGTGCAAGATCAATTGATAACCGATGAATGATGACTCACTTGGAAACAATGTCAAACTTGAAAGGAATCTCGTGAGATCCCCGATATTAATTAACAAAAAAGGAAATAATGCTGGTCATCTACTTTCGACTTCCTTTCGGGCTTCCTCGGAAAAATCCCTTAACAATTTCTTCGTAAGGACTTCATCATTCGATCTCCAACTAATTGATTTGGAGAGCAATTAACGCACTTGGCGAAGGTCAAGGGTGCCCTCGAAATCAGTTTTCCTTGTCAATACAGATCAGAATGCGGATGAAACGTCAAGGTGATGCATTCTTTCTCTTGAGTGGGGATTAAAAAAACTAATGTATAACGAATAATGTGGGTGCTGGACATGAGATCTGTATAGGAGTATAATAATTACTCCGGAATTTTTTCAGACCAGAGGCAATCCTCTGTGGCTTTGCAAAATCCAAAAACGTGCAAGGAGCGACAGCTCTCGAAATCCGGGGATATAAATGCACACCAGTGAAAAAAAAAAACCTCTAGCATCATATTTTGTCGGAACAACATAAAATAAACACAAGTCGACGACTGTGATAAAGGGGAAAGCGTACCTGAACCTTTCCAATGACAGTGTTCATTCCAATCATTACGTAAAGTCATAACAGATTGAGGACATACAAACTAATGGAATTGGAAAATTTGATAATGAATTTATTAGTTTCGTTTGGGAGTGAAACAAAGTAACCCCTTTGAAACTGATTAAAATGTTATCTGTGATATCTACCATGGAGGAAACGAGAATTCATAAATAATTATGGAGCTTGCTATCAGGCGGGATATAAAAAAAAAAACAAAACCGAAAGACCTTGGAAGGACCGCTACCAAGTCCACTTCTGTGGGAATGGGCGACCTCGTCGTGGGATGGGGTATAACGAGAGATAGGGTGAACTCTACGCAGATGAACACCCATGCGTGGAATAATAAAAAAAGAAGACCTAATTAAAACAGAGGGGATAAAAAAGGCTGTGGCATCCAGTTGACATTGAGAAGGACTTGTGTGTATAGGGGGGATTTTCCGATGCTGACTTAGTTTCCATTTCGGGTTAAGAGTCTCATTGGGACTCGGGTCGGGTGATTGTAGTGAACTGGTGGTGTTGCTTGTCGATACTCAAGTTTATCGTCCGCCGTCATGACCCAACAACAGGTAGGCAGTGACCTAAACTTTTAGATTAAACAAGAGATTCACAGGGGGATTTCAATGTGCGAATACTGATTCACATAAACATTTTTTATTCACCACGTGCGCTCGATACTTTAACAAGAATTCTCGACTTTTTTTCGCACGTACACCGCAAGAGCCTTTTACTAAATATTCCCCTCCCAGGCTAAGGACGGTTTTGGCAGTTCTAACTGCAAGTCTCTTATTTTTTATGAGCAAACAGAATTTATTCGAAGCGTGGGGGTAAAAATGGGCATGTGACCAATGGAGCACCCCACTACCATCATCAGGCATACATGCCTAAGAGCAGTCAATGCGTTAAATTATTCTGGAACTTAAGGCTCGTGATGTGACGATGTCGAATGGATAATGCTTTCCTTGAAAGTGTCGCTTAATATAAGCGAGTCACAATATTTCATGGAAAGTCATCATGATCAAAGTCTGTTGAGGCGAAGGAACGTATAACAGCAAAAAAACATAATACAAATGGAACACAAATTAATAATATAAAGAAATGAAGGGAATCCTAGTGATGAAAATTGAAAAAAAGATATCAAAGAATAGGTCCGATAGAGATTATTACGTCGTGTAATACAGGATGAACCAGGAAATGCACGTTCATTATAGAAATGGGTGTTCATGATTGGGCTGATGATGGTGATGGACGTGACCGTGCAAGGGAGACCTCAGCCCCTTCACGTGAAACGGGGGATCCGGCTCGTCGACCCCAAAACTCTACGCATCATTCCATTCCCGTGAGTCCCAAATCCAGTTCATTCCGTTCACGCGCTACTCCCAAATCCAAACAACAATCCAACAATCATGTGACTCGTGACTCTTGAGTCCTACATTTAAACAGAATGCCTTTTCGTCACCTCAAGAGCCAATATCTGTGTAAGCCAGATCTGTGCATACTGTATGGGTCTAATCACTCCCTTGATTAACCAGGATTTTCAGCTGTCGCTTATGGGGTATAAATCGAACTGAGTTTTCCTGGCCTCGGGTCGTATCTTGGTTCAGGTCTTGAAGTCTAGTTAAGAAACAACCAATTGTACATACGGGAAACTCCAATGGATTACCACGATGTTGTTTATGAGCTGTGTTTCTTTGTGACTGCCTGAAGCGTGTAACTCGAAGTACTGTTTGAATGATCAGGGTGTCTACTGTCTGCCGTGTCACTCGCAGGTATTGACTGGAAATTTGCTCACTTACAAATATATGCCAGGTGCGGAGAAAAAACGCGCCGCTGTTTGCATTTGTACATGAGGAAACCGGTCATTGCTACAGTAATGCATGATTCAGGATACATGCAGTCTTTCCATTCATGTAAACATTTTCTGAACTTGACTCCATCTGGTTTAGCCACAGAAGCATTTTTGGAAGTTGCAACTAAAATTTTTGGAAATTCCCGCCCGTTATTAGTCTTATGCTGAAAAAGAGAAGCAAATATGCTTGATCGTTTTCAGTCCAATTTATCTGCCGCATCAGTTGTGTTCATGCAGTTGTCTTGGACAAAGCAGTACATGAGAGTGTTTTCTGAAAATGCACTGATTTAATTAAGAATTATTCTTCAATGAAAACGGCAGCTGAATGCTGTCGCCCATGCGCAAGGCCATCCCATCGTTCATCCCCTTAACCTTCTCAGTCAGAGTGGGCAGAACGTCAAACAACCATTTTATTTATATTTTATTCTGATAAGAATTCACATAATGGAAAACATGTAGATGCGTACCGTTACACCGTTTTCAAAAACAAACAAAATGCTTTTTTTCCCCGGACCCGGTATTTACAACAAGATTTAAATGGAAGAAATTCCAACTAATTTATCAAGCACTATTCACTAATTTGAGGGGCAAGTAGCAGGCAGCACGAGAAGCAGTCATATGAAAAGGGAACTTCCCATAAACAGATTTCAGCTGATATGCTGGTCTATTGATAGGGAACTTCTGTACAAAATCCTCCTTAGACTAGCCTGAGTACTCTTCATGCAAGCTTCACACCAACCCCTAAGCATTATTTGCCATAGCTGAAGGATTAATTTAAAAAATAATCCCTCCCTGCGCATCCCAACCGTCTTTCATTATCTCACTGCACTGTACTCTTGCTTCGTGATTGTCTTTTCTCTTTCTTCCATTTCGTGTTCGCCCTTGGTTATTTCATTTTTGATTCCTTGTCTCCCTTTCGACTCAGTCGTATTTAAAAAATTGCATATCCTCTCATTTTACTTATTTTCATTCAATTCTCCTGATCTCACTCCTCTTTTTAGATATCATGAAGAAGGGAACCTTGTGTCCCTGAAACGTCTGTCCTTTTCCTATAATAAATTGTCCGCTTCGAGGCGCCCTTTCATGACTTTCTCTTTAAAAAATAGTTTCCAGTCGGTATTCAACATTTTACCCCCGCAGGAGTAGAGAATCTGGGAGGCAAAAGCATGAGTTTCCCTCTAAAGTGGTGACTTATCAACAATAATGGAAACTGAATCTTATTTTTCATGAAGAGGGAATGAAACTTGCCGGTCACAGATTCTCATATCGATACGTCAATGTCAAAAAAACTGCTATCTCACTCTCCTTAATAGCAACCAGCAGATTGCGGGTCTCGCCTTTTGATTAATCAGGCCAAAGAGATGGAAGACTTTCATCACATGACTCTCTGGAGCCTTTCTACGGAACAATGGCAAAACAGATTCTGTTATACATGGCGTTCATTAATCCCACAACTCCAGCATTAGTCCCATGAACGCGCATCAATCATTTATCAACTCGGACAAAAGGCACTCGAGTTTGGCATGAGTTCTACTATTCCACCTTGATATATACTGATTTCAGAGTTACCATGCCATAAAAAGGACAGCCAAAGACCTTAAAATAAATTCCTCGGGTTCTGTGAATCAGGTGACAATTTCCAGGATTTTTAATTTCCTGGCATACCTCGTATACCTTAATCCATTAATCATAGGATAACTTCAGGCTCCCCTGAACAAGATGCTCTGTGAACTGATCCAGATGGTGAAATGACGCAGATGTTTATGGTTGGGTGACAAGAAATAATGAGGGAACCAGCACCTACAGCAAATGCCCTAGTATCTTTCAGGTTCATGAAGGGGTGCCACAAGTGAAAAGAGGAAAATTCAAATGCATTTACGCAGTACCGCTGTTGGAGGTGCGGGATAAAATAAAAGAAACACCTTGCATACAAATGAAAGTAACAGAGAGGCAGCAACACATCACAAACTCAAGAATTAGGCATTTTGACCTTTCAGGTTTTTTAATTTGAGGAATAAATGTGGAAGGACAAGGCCAGGGAGAACAAACGTATACTGGAAACCATTGATATTAGAGAAATATATCTGGAGTTACAGTTTTCCAAAGAGGCTAGGACCTTCTGTTTTCTTAAATATAGACTCGAAGACCATGACTTCGCAAGAATGTGAGGAAGTAGATGAGATCAAATCAAGAGTAATCATTCAATTATGCTGGCTAGTCCTCACATGGTCATAAAACGCATTTACAAAAGCTTAGGTAAGCAATGAAGGCAGTCTCAAGCAAAATTAAGGGTGCATACTCGTATATCGATATCCTTGGGCGAACACGAAAGCCTCATAGCTGGTGGAGCCTTTCCTCGTAGAATTTGCTTCATACACCTTTGCTAATATTTTAAAAAGGAAATAGTGAGGTTTTGCTCATCAAATACAGGGTGATTCAAAATTATGTATAAACACTTTGAGTTGCTGTATCTTAAAAAGTTTATTGCTTAAACACAAACCAGAAATATTTTTACATGCATTAGATATGTGGAAATGTGATGCACGGAAAAAGTTAGGTCATATGTTCAAAATGCCCACCTCTGGCACGTATGCACAAGCAGCATCATTTCTTAACAGCCCGACATACAGTGGCGCACATGTCAACTGTGATTTTACGTGATTCCTGTTGTATCATGTCCCACAAATTCTGCACTGTTTCGGGTTTTTCAGCGGTACACTTTCTCTTTGAGGTATCCCCACACAAATAAATCTCGAGGGCTGAGGTCTGGAGACCGTGGGGGGTATTCATGGGCGCTCCCCCGGTGACCACTCCACCTTTCAGGAAATTCAGTATCCAGATAGGCACGGACGTTTATGTGAAAGTGTGGAGGTGCACCATCCTGCTGAAAGTACACCACTGTGTCCGGAGACATGTTTCTTATCGCAGAATCTGCACCATTCATTAACAATTCAAGATAACTTTGCCCAGTAATAATACCACTGAATCTGTAAGGTCCGATTATCCCACGAGAGGAGAGTCCACACAGTAATCCCTGGCCTGGCCTTCCACAGTGAAAACCCAAACATTTCTCTACAGAAAGATGTTAACTTGCCAGTGGTGGACATTTTGAACATCTGACCCAACTTTTTCTGTGCATCACATTTCCACATATCTAATGCATGTAAAACTATTTTTGGTTTGTGTTTAATCAATAAACTATATTGACTGATAGCACAAATTTCGGTGAAAAAGTATTGGTGCGGCCCGCAGGCATCTGCAGGATAAGGAATGCGGCCCGCCGACCGATTTGAGTTTGACACCCCTGGTATAGACGATTGTGAGTGAGTGAGTGAGTGAGTGAGTGAGTGAGTGAGTGAGTGAGTGAGAGTGAGTGAGTGAGTGAGAGTGAGTGCGTGAGAGTGAGTGAGTGAGAGTGAGTGAGTGAGTGAGTGAGTGGAGAGTGGAGTGAGTGAGTGATATTTATTCAGGGGGACGTTTTAAAATAATTTATTTTACTTCAGCCAAACGGAAAGATATAGAAAGTTGAAAATAGACGCGAAAATGCCTATTCAAGTGCTGATTTCCAGGAAAATTTCTAATTTCAGATATATGTCCTGGGAGCACATTTTTTCAGGGAGACGTTTAATACGATTTTTTTTGTTTCAGTCTAAGGGAGAGACAGAGAGCTGAAAATGAGTATAAACGTAGCTAATAATATGCTAATTTTAGAAAATTTTAACTTTAAAGATGCATCCCCTGGGGCCATAATATTTGTGGGGGACATTTTCAAGTAAATAATTTTGTCTTCAGCAAAACGGACTATTATATAGTGCTGGGATGATTGAATTCAAATAAATTCTTAATTTTGTCGTACACGCCCCCAGGGCATATATTTTGGTCGTAAAAAGCTCGGAATTTTTTGCCATCATCCTATAGGTCATTTTTTTTTTTAGTGGGGGGGCAAAATGAGTAAACTTGCACAATTTCGCTCTGAGAAAGCTGATTATTACAGTCTGTTATAGAAGGATCTGTATTCAGGATAAACTCTAAGGTGAAAATTCTGAGGAGATGAAGAATCTCTTCTTGATTCATGTTCATAACATTAGGTTGAAAATCACTTCACACAAGCAGGAGTAACTTAACCCAAAATTAAAAATACTAATGACCCAAGGTATTTTACCAAATTTGCTTGTATGAGAATCGAAAAGAAATGCTTCAAATGTATTATTTATTTTTTATGAAGCTCATAAAAATAATGAAGGTCATAAAAAATAAAGTTCATACATAAGTTCACGAAGCTCGATGGGTGAAATGATGATGGCGAGAACAGCAAAAGCTTGAACAAATTATTTACACGACAAAATTACTTCAAAATGTGACCCAAAAAAAATTAACATGAAATTGTGAACCCTACGTATTCGTAATTTACTGACCCAGGTTAGAACTTAAAAAAAAAAAGCTTCATGGGACTGAATTTGATCTGATATTGGTCCTTCCTTAACAGGACAGACCCGGTGCTACCACAACCACTTCCTGAGGTGCCAAGAGTGGTCAAAAGTCCGGTTATGGAACCAGGGCAAGCGTCGATTCCCAGAAAATCCCACTCCCGCTCCTACACCTACAATTATAGAGTGAATAATCTCCAGCAGACTGGAGATTTCAAGGTGGCATCTGAGAGCAGAGAAGGGGACACGGTCACTGGAGGATATCAGATCTTAGAGCCCGATGGTCGCACCCTTCGCATCGTCACCTATCGAGTTACCCCAGAAACCGGATTCCAGGCTGAGGTTAAGTATAAGAAGTTAGATTTGGGCGACCCCCGGCTCAGTCCAACGACTAACAACCACAAGAGCACAGTAGCATTTTCTGTCGGTCGCTTTGGTCGAAGACTCCGACGTCCTACGGCGTTAAACGTGATCGAACCAGCGACCATGCCTCCTCCGATGAAGACTCCCAGGTATCTACAACAAGAAAGCCGACTTGCAAACGAATTCTTAACCCAAGGTAATGGGGCTGGGGATGTGCGCATACCGGTAAAGAGCTGGAGTGAAAGTACGACTAAATCGAGATCCGAAACAAGCCTGCATCCAACAACTCCAATACCAGTCACTGTGCCGCGAAAAATCAGGATTACTGCCAGTCCACAGGAGATAACTGAGAAAGCATGGGAAACGAAGACCAGGCAATGGGAGGGTTTCCAACCAGCAACGAAAACAGTACCCAAGACCATCATAACTACTCCACCACCAATAACAGCAACTGTCACCCAATCATCAACAACCACGTCCGCAACACAACCATCAACCACCAAAGAGCCTCCAACACCCACCACAACTTTTGTCAAACCAACAACCACCCCTGCTACCATTGAAACAATCGTTGACTTTACTATCATCAATGAAGATACAGCAACATCTTCAGCAGACATAACTCCAACAAAGCAACAAGGAGGAATGAAGACGGTGGAAGACCTGGCAATGGAGACAACAGATACCCCTTCATTTCTTGATCAAACTACAGTTGCTGAAGAGATCCCAGAACAAGTGTCAGAAGTGGTAGAACAAAACCCAACTGAGAATCTAGCAGAATCTACAATACCTCCAGAAGTAGTCTCAAAACTTCAAACGGAAGCAGAGGCTAAGGTAGAAACAACAACCATCGTTGCTCCATCAGATCTCCCAACAGAAACGTCTCAACAACTTCAATCAACCGAACAAGCAAGTGAACTACCGCCAGATGTGACAGAAACGACTTGGGTCCCAACAGAAACAGTCACAGACACTGAACCAACAGAACTAAAACCAATCAATGACCAAGTCACAACTACCACCAAAAGTCAAGCGCAGGAGACAACCATTTCGGACATGGAGATCACAATGAATATGAAAGAGCAAGCTACCGAAACCATTAAAGCTAAATTAGCAACCACAGAGCAGCTGGTGCCTACGACAACGGAGAGACTTACAAAAGGAGTAGAAGGGACGACAGCACTAGAATTGGATTTGACAGCCCTCCTCGAGGGTAATGCCGACGGAATCATCGTGTCCTGATAGTGGAAACACTGCTTAGCAATGCATTTTGTGATACAGATGCACGGCGGTGCTGGAGAAACTCCTTTCAGTGTGATCACCATTCCCATGAAATGCTCAAGAATGGGTCGTCATAGAGATCAGATAACAAACCAGTGCCAAACAATTCAGTTATCAGTTGGTAATGCAGTCAAATAAAAGGTCATCTCCAAATGTATCCTCCCGTTACTCGCACTCCCTGACAACTTTTTTTTGGAATGGATCAAGGTGGCAAAATAAGTCATCACTCGAGAATTATAAGATGGACAGACTCGAAACCTGAAGCCATTCAGATCTGACTTAAATCACCCCTCAAAACTTCATGTACATCAGGTTTCGAAAAATCAAATGAACATGATTTACATTTTAAAAAAATTGTGACTAGATTCATGCTGATAATCGTTATGAGAAATCACAAATCACACGGAGGGCGATGGGGATGTAACACGAGGAAGCTGCTACAGTAGTACGAGTATGTCACTCTCTAACCACAATATGATTGATTGATTTGAATAGTGAACAATATCGAGATGAAAAATGAAATCCTGCGTGTGATTTTTTGGACTTTTGATTATACATATATTTGTATATTATTTTTAGAATTCGTGATAGGGAGGCGGTAATTAATTTTTATTGGCTTTTTTCATCTCTTATCAACCCTTTTTGATAATATACTTCTTATCGGAAAAGTTAAACCCATAATAGACTGATTGGGACGACACTTTTTGTGCATTTCTTGTCGTATTTTTATAACCAATTTTCGTCTCGGAGCTGTTTTAAGCCGACCCCAGCCCTCGTTGTGAACAAAGACTCATCTTTTCCTCGATTCATGAGAAAAATAACAAGACAGACTGGTTTTCCTCTCCTTCCTTCTACTCTGAAGAATGAAGAAAGATCGTCAAATGGTTCCAGGAAAACGACACCCTTATTGCATCACATTCCCCCCCCCCACACACACACACACAATCCTGGTATCAGATCCACTTTCTCTCTCTACCCCCCAGAACCTGTCTGAATGTCACACGTGACAGGTTCTACGTGCTATCAGTTCCTCCGTCAAGCTGAATCATAAATCTGCATTGACGTGTGAGAGAACAAAAGGGGTCAACAGGAGTTGGGATTTCGTTCATAACAAGAGAATTATTTTCTTATATTAATTTGAATTGTTCAAATGAATGTGGTTGTAATGCAGTCGAAGGGAAAATGATCATCTACTAATTTGTCCACCGTTGGACGCAGGCCTCTCCATTTATAGAGCATTTCGTCACATCCTGAGTTGCCCGATCCAGTTAATTCCTCCAAAATTTCTAATTTCATTGTTAAATGCTTCCTTCAGACGCCTTTCTTGTTTTTCATTCGGTAGGGCGTAAGGAATTTAGTCCATCAGTCAGAACCAGCCGTTCATGTTACGTGTCCAGCCCAGGTCCATTAGAAACCGGTGATTGAAGAAAAAGTACAAATAAGGACATTGACCAGAAGTCAAGAGAGACGTTGAAAGGGAAACTACAATAACAAGTAGAATCAGGGTTGGAAAAAATAATGACTTAAAAAAAAGTATTATTTATAATTTGAAGATTTGTTCAATTTCTGACTTTTTTGCTTTTTAAATTGCACAGTTCTTTACTTGACATACATATTCTTCCTTATCCATTATTCGGTGGGCACTGGGACCTGGTATTTGTGTATATTGCGCTAAATAATACTCCGTAATAAAAAGTTGCAGTCATTTCCCTGCTCTGGTCCCTGCAAGATTCTGTGGCCTTTTCCACTTTTGGTCCGAAGCCCTCCCATTCATGCTAATGACGCATAAGCAGCAGAAAAGCATCTGGATGCTGTAATTTAGACCCTCTGGCGGCATATTAGCAAGTTGTGAATAATCAGGGCCCACCCGGACTGCCGTTCAAGATAATACTACAATGTATTGAAAGACATATGCTACTCTAATTTACTCCTCCTTGCGTGACTGATTCATGCGCCCACACCTTAAAAATAGTTGCCGAATTAGTTGAAGCAACTCATTTTCTCGATTTGCTGGTCTTGTACTTCAATATTCATCTCCTTCGTGCTATTTTTTGGAAAAGAAGTCAGAATTTTCGTGCACATATGATATCAACTACTTTAACCCTTTTAGTCCCGCGCGGCCGATTTTTCGGCCACGTCTACTACTTCCAAAAATGCTTCCAAATCCAATTTTTATGCCATCTAACAAGAGCCCCAACTACGTGAAGGAATAAACCTAACGAAAAGCTGTGGCCGAAAAATCGGCCCACGGCACTAAAAGGATTAAATAATTATTAATGGAGATGAATTTTAAAATCTTAATAAAAAGAAAAATTCAATTGCATTTTTCTGATCTCTAATTAGTAATTGTGAATAGAAAGAATTTGACGTATATCAAATTCATTACGGTAATAACTAAGGGTGTCCTATCGGGGTTTATCAAGTAATTATTTTCAGGGGTATCTGACACTAAACAAAATATAAACAAGAAAAAAAAGAGACAATGTAGGACCCAACGTACGACTAGCATATGGCATTCAGAACGGAATGCTTTTCATAAAGGATGCAGATTAAAAACGTGGAAAGCAGCAAACAGAAAATGCTGAGAAATGGAAGACATTCCAGTGACCACTTTGCCTCCCATCGTAATTTATCTGCAAGTTTTGAACCCACTGTGTACGCGGATATTCTTCATTTGAAAGCAATTGCACCAAGTTGAGGAACAAGTTTCGGGAAGCAGAAAATCAGCGAAGTTGGTGGGATGTTGTAGAAGGCCCACAGGTAAGGTAGAACATTTGCAATACCACCAGCCTTCAACAAGATTATTAAAGGGAACTGTAGAGTGAAAACAATACTTTTTTTTATAACTTATCTTTTAGTTTTATTTATTTATACTTCAAATAGTTTTACTCCGTCCAACATGAGGTGGGCATGACTCGCCGATTTAAATAGACTATTGCCCATTGGTTTCAACGGGTAATTTAAACTGGCGGGCTTGGATTCGGGAAGATGACCGGTGATGGAAAAATGTCAGCAATTTCTATAATAGCCAACGCTTGCATGTGTGCGAGTTTTTTGGGCCTATCGGGTTGAATCGCAGTCCGTGTAGGACTTTTAATCTACAGTTCTCAGGGTTTCTTATGACGAGGCGCATTCTCGATTTTTCATCCTATACACTTGAATGTTCCAAATTCAAACGGTGTGTCTCTCGAATGCTATGAGATGGAATGTTGGTGCAAGGAAACCTCTGATGGAGAAAATCATTCCCTATTCTTCATCAAACCCGAGTGCTTCGAATTCAGTGTGTCACATTGCAACGATTATCCTCAATTAGGAAGATATTAATGTCTCACAGGCCAGTTCAGATTAGTATCTTATATATCTAAGAATAATCATGTCATTCGACAAAACCCATTGGCGACGGAAAAGATAAAGGGAAGAAAAAACAGTCGATGACAGCCTAATCGGTTGGAATGTGACAAATATGCCAAAAACGAGAGTGAAAGTCCGGAAATTCGTGATCAGAGACCGGTCGTACTTCTTGCATCATTGATGACGGCATAGGAATGAGATTCCTTCTTCTTCTTCTTCTTCTTCTTCCTTCTATTCTAGAGTATTTCCTCTCTCTCATCACCTATATAAGAGAGGAGGGACTTCCTGGAAACCTGGTTCTCTTTTTCTTTGATTCCTGTCACCGGTGTTTCGCAGTCTCAATGGCCGAGGTGAGAACAGATTCTTTATTATAAAAAATTATTTATTCTTACTCTATTCATACAGAACTTTGGGTCCAAGGGAGACTATAATTGTCAAGTAAAGCCTTCCTTAATATCACTGCCTTCAATTCCTCACCTCTTTTAATTTTTCAGCTCCCCGCCCCGGTTTGTTTTTTTCCACTTAAAAACTTCCTAATATTTACAGTCATCATATAAATAAGGATTATTTTTTAAAGTCCATCTTTTTACATGGAAGAAAGTGGTTTTTGAAAATGCTGCCAACAGTGGTAATTTCGGGAAACAATCGTCAATGAGAGACTAGGAGGAGTTGAAATGAAGACTATTTTTTTTTACAGCCCCTGTCACTGCCATGTATTATCCCGTTACGCACCGTACAGGTGGATCATTCCACCTCAAGTGTAAGCATGATCTGTGTTCAACCATCCCATTTCCCATGTGATAGTGAAAAAAATTGTGGGAATCACAATACCTCAAAGTCACTTGGTATTTTAGTCCATAGATGCATTGAGTACCTCGTTCCAAGATGTTAACCATGTGGCACGATTCTCGAACAAAGAATTTTGGGATTAACATTTTGGGAATACTGGAAATTCATTGCTTGAACATTTTCATTCAGAATGGAAATAATGAGCTGAATTATTAACATACTTTTATCCCCCCCCCCTTCTCCTAATTTTAATTTATCAAGCAACTCAAGGAGTAAGAAAAAAGGAAGTTAGCAGTAACACCAAGGAAGTGGGCATATTGGGGGATGGGCCATTTTTTTCCTCCATGGCAAATTTCAAGCCACCGTATCTCGGTTTTATTACCCGCAGAAACCTCTAATTTGGCTGTAATATATTCGCACCAAAATCCGAATGCATGCCAAATTTAATTGAATTCCAAGATGGCCGAACACAGACCATTCTTACTCTTGAAATGAAATTATCCACCTGTATATTATGTAAAGGAGGATTTGACGGCTGAGACAAAGGTATTATTATATAAAAAAAATTAATCATTCTAATTCCACGTAGCCGGCCGATCGGTTACCTAGCTTATCAGTTTTGATTGCATACATTAAGATACCTTTCAGTCACAGAAAACGATGGAGCTTCTTTTTTTTATTTAAATCACCCTATATGCATTAATTGTTCATGAATCTCCACATATTATTCATTCTAGCAAGAATTCACCGTTACATTTTTTAACTGGCAGGTTGGAATCAGTTTGGGAGGTATCTTCCTCCTGCTCTTGACCTTCATGGCCGTCTCGGCCGTGCCTGTCCCGGACTCTAACGTCCGGCACGGACGACTCCTCATCACCCCACAGGTAAATTATGACCCTATCCAAAGTGTCGGATGACATCCAGAGCAATATAATTTATTTTAAAATGTATTTAATAATATAACAAATGACGAATCGACATATAAAAACAGCAAAAATTAGACTTTTAGGCAGTGATTTGTCATGCATACTCTCTTTTGCTCGAAGTATATCTGCATCGAGAAGAAAAAGTGCTGAAAGTGATATTTCTTGAAACCTAAAGTCACTTGCTCTAATAATCATATTTCTGTTAGTTATATAGGATCCCACCAATTTAGAATAATGTTCATTCTGCAGATGAAAGAAACGTCTGAAATTAGTCAAACCCTATGATTACAGTAATAGGAAAAGAACGCAAGGATATTTTGCGACCGTGTTGGATGGGAAATGTTCTGAAAGTTCATATGAAAACGAAGTCTGTGCATATCTTTTAACGCTTAGATTAAAATATCTCTTCACGCCCGAACCCATTTGATATTATCACTCAGCATGGGGGAACCCATGTTGGCATCTACTCCAGTAGTCCTATTCAGTCTCTCCGGAATTGCATTTCATATCAATGACTATCGCAAGAATGGTACTAATAATATATAATGATAATAACGACTAGCTCTTTCATATTTAAAAATGATATTCTGACTAACTCATTCATGCCTTCAGGGGCGAGAGATTATGAACTTTTGTACAGAATTCAATATTCGAAAATTTTGTGAGTGATTTTTCATGCTAAGGTTCTTTGGATCACTAGCCGTGGACAGACCCATATGCTACCCATTCTTCTTCCAATAAATGGGACTAAAAACGGTTCGGGAATGCTTAGAAAGCTGATAGGTCAGAATTAAATAAAATAAAAATTAAGCAAACAAGAAAAGACAAAAAAAAAGTATTTCCTGACGCTAGATGTGTCATCAAACACCTGCAGTTTCTACTCATCCACTGACTTTTCGACATATCAAACATTAGTGAAGACAAGGCGGAGGATAGGAATCAGAAGTCTAATGTCCCAATTAGCACGTGTAATGAGCACGCCAAGGTCGAGGAGTCAACATTTCCTTTCTCTTTTCTTTCGTTTTATTTTTGACACGTGAAGAAGTCAGAGGAGGCGGGATATTTCTTCGGCCCTCCAAATTTCTCGAGAAAAGAAGCAGAGGAGGAGGAAGAGAATTTCCCTCCGCCAAAATACGCTTACAGCTTTGACGTGCAAGACGCCAATCTCAACAATTTCCAGAGTCGCAAAGAAGAACGGGATGGTAATTACACAAAAGGTAACACATGAACTTCCTTCTTCCATTTCTTTTTACATTTTCAGACGCATGAACTCATTCATGGTCGCTAAATTAGTTTTTATCTGTCTGTCTGGATAAGAGCATTCGCGAGATGCAAAAATTCTCCTAATTCAATATTGACTGTCCTGATTATAGCAGCCATTATTACATGTTAGTTCCTATGGTCATCAAAATAAGCCATGTCTGAGTAATCTTGGGCTACAGCGCAATGTCTCATGAAAAGGCGCAATGCTTGGAAATTTAACTAAAATCAATTCAAATCACACGCATCACTTAGGTATTCCGCGACAGATAACGTCGAATGAGGAATATAGGATTATAGGAATATTTTTCTACCTCCGGAGAGAGTTCGGGAACTTCTCCGACTCGTTCTGAGGATATAACTGATGATGCGATAAAATAACGAGTCTTTACTGCAGACATTCTCAGGGACACATAAGCATCACTTTCAGATTTCGTCTGTATTACATTAATTCACTTGGAAGTCCGTCACCATCTATTAAATCTTAACATAGATTAATCTAATCTAATAGATCTAATAGACTAATGTAAAGTGTAAAAATGAACAAATCCACTCGTAGTACAAAATCTTCCAATTCAAGCAAGTATGTACACAACGATGTACTCGCACTTTCCGTTTCTTTCCCCGCAATGTCTGAATATGGTTCATAAGGCAGTGAAGGAATATTGTAGCAGGGTTTATAATTAGGGCGATTAAGACTCGCCTAATAAGATTTAGTTTCAAAGCAGTACAGGAACTGATGTTTGCCTGATTCAAGGAATCATCCTCGGCTTATGATGATTTATTGCAATGCAAAAGCTAAACTATTGTAGCAAACTATTGTAGCTAAAGCGACGTCTCAGGCGTCGCTTTGGCTGATGACAGGTTTTAACTGTAGAGCGGACGTGGACAAAAGTTAAGCAAGTTGAATTCAATCGAAGTAAAGCAACTGTAGTTCGTAACAATCTTCGAAGGAATTAGTACGGGCCCTATCCCAGCTCTTTTTTTCATTTGATGCCTATGAACTTCATGTTAGTCTTGGGGGATACCAGCGAAATAGGCTTAAGAAAGACGTTTTGCTTACTAGTGGGACACCAACTCGTAAAGAATTGGTCTATGGAATCGTTCTTATCGCAGCGCTAGGTGTCTAGCCAGCAGATGACAGACGTGTAACGCGAGGTCACTAAATTTTCGTATTTTTGTGCGATAAGGAGAGTACGTGACCCTGCGGGCGGACGGGATCCTGGAGCGGGTGCAGTACACGTCGACGCCTGAGCGGGGTTTCGAGGCTAAGATCATTCGGGAACGGACGGAGACGCTGCCCATCAAACCACCCCGGACGCGGAAGGTGATTGGAGCTTACGGCCAAGAAGAGGTCGTTCCCGATCTCCCGTCGTACCCTAACTCCAACTCCCGCACCGTCATCGAGAGCGAGGGCTACGTCGTACAATATTAGGGCTGGTTGTCAACGACCAAAGTCCGATCCGGGGGAGAAACCTCGGACCATCACGGCAGCCCTGCAACCCTACTTGCCTTTTTTCGTCATTCGTCCCCCCGGGTCCAACCCGGTCCCGGGGAAGATGGAATGAGAGCGGCACCAGTTTTCGTCCCTCTCTCCACAATTTTCCATTCCTCTTTCGCAACAAATTTGACTTTTTCGTTTATATGATATCTCCCCACATCTTCGTTCTTCTACCCTGGCCGAGCCTATCGCAGGGACGAGGCAGGGGAAAACGACCCGATAATACAACACTGTACATTCCCCGCAAGATTCACCAATGCTTACCAAGACAACTATCGTTTAAACTTCATATCATTCACTAATTCCTGCCATACAGGGACGCGGAATTTCAGTCTGCAGCATCTTAATTTTGGTTTAGGCTAAACGTAGTGATTGTGGTTTCATTTTTTTCTTTTCCCCAATTTCATTGCAGCAGCTTGCTTGAATCTGTTTGCAAGGATGGAAGATACCCATAAAACCTCTCTCACTAATGTTTTCCCAATCGTGCCACGCCTTTTGTTGAAATAAACGTTTCTGTTGACTTTTGAATTCGAAATGAGAATGGACTCACCTGTCCCTCCAGGGTCCTCGAGGTCCCTTCAGGTACCTGCAGATGGACCGCCATGCTTTCCGGGCCACTGAGGACTGCACTTTCTGGGCAAGGAGCACCTGGGCGTACCTTGACTGCTCCTCTGACACTCTCTCCTTGTATGGTTCCTGAATCTGAGCCTGAAAATCAAGTAATTTTCCACTTTTTGTGAATCGGCCGTCAGCAAATAATAGATATAACCACACGAAATACCTTATTTTGAATTCAAAATACAAGTAAATACTGTAATGAGATACCGCGGGAGGCATAAAAAATGCGGCGCTCTTTGAAATTCTTTAACATTCACAATACAGCAGATACTGAAAGAAAGTTTTTTTTTTTTCCTGCAATCACTCCTACCACTCCTCGAAACACATTAAAATTCACGCCCGTTTTTCTCCAGCTGTCTTATCATAAGAACGATTTCACAAGAGCAACTCAAATTTTTGCGTAGAAATGCAGTAATTTCGAGCCAGTGCACCTCAGCCTGTCCGTGAAAATGGTAGAATCCACGGAACACGGAGAAGTGATTAGAGCCAGTTATTTTGAACAAGGATGGGCGGAATAAGAATTGTCCAAGAATTTCGTGCCGAAGGATGGCAAGTATCGCTAACAGATTGACTCGCAAGCAGCGAGAAATTGGTTCATTTGAGAGGAAGAGGCAGACCAAAATTAACTCCAACTGAAGTAATCTGCGCTTGTGTGGAGGAAGGCATTGATTCTCAAGATCCAGGGATCTATAAGTCCCAGTTGCAAATTGCCGAATATATAACGACTAGTCAGAGATATGTTCAGCGGATTCTGATGTAAAGAGAGGAAAGACCTTTGAAGGAATTGCCACTCCTAGTTAATGTCATACCTTGAGCGCAAAAATAAAAATCTAGCTACTTTTGTAAAATCAGTTGTGCGAAAAAACGGCAGGAGAGAAACGGACAAAAATATAAGGATGTTTAGAGGATAGACAGAAGTAATTTTACAAAATTGTAGGGCAACCTGCTGTCTCAAAAAACGGCAACAAATTTCAATGAACGGCGAGTTTTTTTAAACAATGCCTTACTCGTTACTTTAATTACTTGATGTTTCAAAGTAACTTGCTTCCAATAGTCAGTACAAATGAAATTAACTTAATTTTAGTCTGGCTATTGGCTCGTATGTTTGCATGTATGAACTGAACAATTTACAACTTTGGCAAGCAAATTGGATGCAAGATGTGAGTACCTGGAATCGGAGTTTGCTTTCACCGTATTCCCGGTTGCGCTTGTGAGAGGAGATCATGGCGGCCTCGTGGGCCGAAAGCCACATGGAATCCATTCTTTCCTCCACCCGCTTCAACCATGTCTTCCAATACGATTCCTTTAGTGGATATATCTGCAGGGAAATACAACATACAACATTTCCGCATGAAGACGAAACAGAGAGAAAAGGCTGGGATAACGGAATAGTACAGTAAATTTTTTAAAATATCACGGTGCATTTTAAAAGAGAACAGAGCAGGAACTAACCTATCGGCCAAAATTCATTATAACAGGAATTAAGGGTTTGAGGTGCAGGATGCAGAAGAAGAGATGAGATAGAGAGGGAAAGAATAACGCAGAATCATTAATTTCATTTGTGGTCAGATTTTAATGACACGGATGCCATGCAACTCCTTTCCTCTTCAACCTTCCAACGTGTTATTCTCATTGCTGCTACTGTACCGTGTACCATAAGCCCTCAGTACTCCATGAAGACCTAATATGGCTGGTACGTATTCGTTCGATCGATGGCGTACGGAAGTCGTACTTACCATTCATTTCAGTAGCACGTCTCTGAACCCTGTTCAGATAATAAATCCCTCTCATTTGCAGGCTTCCGAAATTGAAATAGATCTTCTAAATGGAACCTTCCCAATGCTGTGTGCAACGGAGAAAATACAAGTGTGAGCTCTTGGCAATCGAATACCTTTGAAGCCTACAATCCTATTACATTTAGCTATCGTCGCTTGCGTGTTAGAAAATTTCAGTAAGACTCTAAGATCTCTCTCTCGATTAGTCTCTCCCGGTCTATCCTCGTCAAACGCATTTAGAGACTCAATCTAATTATGGCAAATGTGAAGAACTTAATATTTATCCTCATATTCATTAGCCACTTTTTATTCCACTCGTTCAAATGCCGCGGAGTGCCTCTTTGCTCTTCACCTGTCCCATTCCCCCGCAATGAAGAAGTCAATGTAGAATTGTTAAACAAAAATGCTCCATCCTTTTCCATGGAAGCATTGTATGACATGTGGGCTATGCTGGAATTTTATCATTGTTGGAAGATGCTGTATATTCACCCCTTCTCTTCGTACAAAAAAAAATTGCCACGAACGGAATTGTATCTCATCGGTCACAACCCATTCGACCTCATCTCTGTCCGTCACATCTTTTAAAATCTTTTGTACTCAACACATCAGTAGATATTCTTAGCACCTCATACTAAAATAGAGTTTTATTACGATTTAGCGGTGGTAATCCCTACTTCTTTGCATCAACATGGGACCGAAATATTTCACAGTGTACGGCAGGAAATGTAGCAACAGCAGGGAGATCATCTTGCCGATGTGTTACATTAACATAATTTCTGGGATTCTTCTTCTCCCAGGAATATCAGAATCCGGATTTTTATGAAATTCTAATTTAATCCGAATCACTATTCCTTTCAATTGTGGGATCAAAATAAAAAATTAAGTTCCAGGTACTTTAAAATTCAGCTTATTAGTAAGGATAGTCTTGATGAAAACTAAACCCAACTCAAAATAAATTTCCTAATTTCGAATTGAATGTTATCTTTCGAATTCAAATGATAATATTTCTCTCCTAAAACTATTAAGCAACAAGGGTAAACAGGGGAGTAGTGCACCACCCGATAGTAGAGGACCACTTCTAATGTTTTATTCCTGTAAGATGCAGGAAAAGCTTTAATTGCAATCTTCCCTTATGTTAGCATTAAGAAATAATGTTCCCCTCAAGGGCTAACAGAATGCCAGCTACATCAAGGATTCTTTGTGGTTACTAAATTGTCTCTACGTTTTGCATAAGTTTTCCCTTAAAAAAAACTTAGAGACAATACAGGGTGTTTCAAAAGTCCCTCATTAATTTAATTTTCAATTTTCTTTGCAGGTAATCGACCAACGACATACATCTTGTGGTAAACTCTTACTAAGTGCTTGAAAATTTTTTTGAGTCTACATTTGAAGTTCTACGCCGTTTTTTTCTGTTACCATGCTGACTCTAGAGCAGAGATGTAAAATTGCTGTATGGCAGGAAGTTTTTCAATCCGTAGTCGAAGTGCAGCGACGATTCAGGGCAGTCTACGGACAGCATTACACACCTGATAGGAACACCATCGTCGCCACCCACCGGAAGTTTATGGAGACCGGATCCGTAAAGGACAAACCCCGATCAGGAAGACCTCGATGTGGGCGGAGTGAGGAGAATATCGAAACTGTCCGTGAGGCGTTAGCTCAGAGTCAAGGAAAGTCCATTCGACGAGCAGCTGTGGAACTGAACATCAGCGTGACGTCTATACAACGGATTTTGCGGCGTGATCTCAAGCTGTATCCGTACAAGATCCAGATAGTTCAGAAGCTGGAACCTCAAAGGATTTTGCGGCGTGATCTCAAGCTGTATCCGTACAAGATCCAGGTAGTTCAGAAGCTGGAACCTCAAGACTACGATTGCCGGGTGGAGATGTGTGAAACACTGCTGCATCACTACGAAAGAGACCCATTGATCCTGGAGCACATGTGGTTCAGCGACGAAGCTCTCTTCCACCTTTCTGGTCGCGTCAATCGGCACAACACCCGCATCTGGGGAACTCACAATCCTATGGAGATCCGTGAACATGAAAGGGACACGCCGAAATTGGTCGTCTGGTGTGCCATCTCCTCAGCTGGGCTGATTGGTCCGTTTTTCTTCCGGGATCAAGATGGAAACTCCGTAAACGTCAACGGAGAAAATTACCATCGTATGCTTCAGAAGTTCTGCATCCCCCAACTGTCAGCTGTAGCCGACATGCAAGAAGTCATTTTCCAGCAAGATGGTGCACCTGCTCATTACTCACGTGAGGTTCGCTCATTTCTGAATGAGCAGTTCCCGGATCGGTGGATTGGTCGCCGTGGTCCCGTCGAATGGGCTGCTCGCTCGCCGGATCTTACACCATGCGACTTCTTTTTGTGGGGCTACATTAAGAGCAAAGTGTACGCCACCAGGCCGCGAGACCTCCCCGCACTAGAAGAACGGATCAGAAACGCATGTGCTTCTGTTACTCCCGAAATGTTGTTTAATGTCGGCCAAGAATGCGTGAAACGGTGGCTCGCTTGTTTCGAAAAAGGTGGTGCCCACGTTGAGGTGTACCAGTGACTTTCTAGTAGACACATGAAGCCAAGTTTAATTCCACCCAAATTCTCGTGAATCGTAGACTCTGCAACCAAACTGTCATTTGATTCCTCTTGTAATTGTTGTTTTAATAAATTTTTAAAGATAATGAGGGACTTTTGAAACACCCTGTATAATAACCACAAATAATTCTAGACGTTGCTGGCTTTCTGTTAGCCCTTGAGGGGAACATTACTTCTTAATGCTAACATAAGGGAAGATTGCAACAGAAGCTTTTTCTGCATCTTATAGGAATAAAAACTTAGGAGTGGTCCACTACTATCGGGTGGTCCACTACTCCCCTGTTTACCCAACCAGAAAGAAAAGTAACCAGAAAGCCGTATGCTCTTGAAATCTGTGCTTCCGGAAAAAACAGTGAGTAGGTACACTGGTGGGAAGAGAACGAGACACGTGCAGTACTCCAATAGTTGAGATCCAACACTGGCTTCGTGTTGGTCAATACAAGTTCAATACAGCATCAAAAAGGAATAGAGCCAACACTTTGAATCTTCGTACTCTCACGTCAGAATTTCGCATTAAACCTCATCATTCACATACAGGTCGAACCAATCCTTGTTCTTTGGAGTTAAATCTGGAATCCAAAGGCAAATCCCACATTTTATTACTAATTCGAGCTCAAATCAGGTGTTTTAATTTTAAGAAAGTAAGCCGCAGCCAGAAAGAAGCCTGGTATGCTTTTTTCCTTCGTGGAAATGTGTCATCTATCCCTCGTATAAATAGGTGGAGCATTTTTTCCTTAAGATAGCAGACCTGCTTTTGAATCGTCATTTTCGAAAAAAAAAGTTTCCACGAAAATAGGTTATGATAATACTCGAGCAGATTCAAAATATCGCCATAAAAAACTGAAAATATGAAAAAATAAAGGTTATTAGTTTAATCAGTTATCAATGTCCCTAACAAGTTGTCCCTGGCAACCACTTTGGTCGCGATTTTCTCATTACAGCGATTTTCAGCTGACAGACGCTGCTCTGAACAACATAACTTTTCGTGCAATACAACTATATCCTTCATTTTTGGCTGAAAGCTACCTTTAATGTTCCTCCAAGGAATGGTGGCAGTTTTTTCGTTTACCCAATCCTTTAGCACTTTTTAGTACCATTGAATATGCAATTGGGCCACTAAAATCACTAAAATCGAAAAAATAATAATAATAAAATTCAACTAATTCTTTAAAAACTGTTTCCCCCAGGACATTTGTAAGGATTTGAACTACAACAATTTTCAATGTTATCAATGTTATACGCGAAGCATCTGTGAGAATTACTGTTGAAAAAAAGGTTACTTTTTTGTGCTCTTGCGACCATATTGGACCTCATAGGTATAAATTATGCAAATTATCTCAAGAAACTCAATATTTGCCCAATCCTCTTTTTCATATAGTCAGTTTGTTTTCTGGGAAGGAATAGAGATAGAAAAAGTTGCCTTAAAGTAGGTCTGCTACCTTAAACACCCTCTATTCGTGCCGTCGACACTTCTTTAGCTTTTTCTTATGAGGTCTCGATAGAAATCATTAATGTAAACGATAAACAAGAGTGGTTGGTTGACAAGAGTCCTGGGAGACTCCACTCATTGCCCCAACTTCTGAAAACTCTTCCTCATAAACAATGATTGCTCCCTCCCCGACAATCAGTTACCCATCCAACTAATTATCCTACCTTGAATGGAATATGTGCTTCCAATTGAGCCCATACTCTCTGGTGAGGAACAGCATGGATAGCTTCAACCAAGTCCGATATCTCCTAAAAAGCAATTCCTCTTTGGCTATGTGACATAACGTGTCGTTTTTCTTTCTCTTAAGGTTTTCTTCTTAGTTGTCCATGCGAATGGGGAAGTCTGCCGCAGGAGAGAAATATTCAGTAAAAGGCAGGTAGGAATGAAAAAATGGGGACTGATTGAGGCGTGACATTCACGAAATTGCTTTCCTCTCGTGACTGATGTGGATATAAGAAGGGAATAAGAAAAACAGCCTAATATCTGATATATCCCGTTATGCATGCGCACATATGCATTCATGTACAGGGTGTTCTAAAACAAATAAACTTGGCGTTTTATTTAATATAGATAGGTAGAGCGCACTTTGATAAAATCACACCACCATTACCCAACTTAGACACTGGACCACACAAGGTGAGAAGTTCGTTAAATGTAAGGCCTTCCGAGTTAAATTGATCGCTTCTAAAACTAAAAATCTTCAATGGTGTTACCGCTGTCAACCTTAAAAGGATACTAAAGGGCGTCACTGAGACCAACCAACTAATATTGTGGCTTTTAATCCTTTTTACGTCAAATAGGTCATAGGTGAGTGAATTCTGAGATTCTTCTGCTCATAATTGAACAGGTGACTGCAGAGCAGTACTTTCGTCGGATGTTCAAGATGGGCGTCGATGTATAAAGATCGTAGAACCAGGAATGTTCTCTTGCGCGACAACTGTTTAGTCTTCCTAATGGACCTCTTTAAAGTCTACCTCGTTCTTAAGGTCTACAGCATTTCCATATCGTAGAACTGTAACCATACAAGCAACTCATCAGATAACAATTGGTCTACTATAACTGTAAACAATACTTTTTTTTAAGACAGAAACATACATAAGAAACCAAAGCCCACGGGAAACACTTTATGAAATACCCTTTTCATGCTGTATTGGTGAAAAGCAAGATGATATATTTACAGGTCAGGTTCAAACACGCCAACAGTGATGCGACATTAAAATTGGTAAGGTAAAACTACTAATGTTCGGACAGTTAAGCTGGCCGAGCTTCATTATTCGTCTGTTCTATCCCAACGGTGCTAGCTGGAAGTCTCATTTTTTGTTCCTGGGAGCACGACACGAGGAGGTATAAGTGCTACAAAGGTGTTGTCCTTCTCAGCATTATGACTTCTGATACTGCCCATAATGTGATGTCCGAACTTAAATGTGGAAAAAGTTAAGTTCAGACACGTTCACCTTAGTTCGGACACCCCCGTTCTAAAGTCTCGATGAGACTTGAAACACTTGATTGTGATGCAAAGGAATGATAACCCGTTCCCAAAGTATTGGACCTTTTCTAATATTCTAGTATAGGAAGATTGTGATTGCGACTGACTTTCATTTTGCGTTCTAGATGAGATAGAAAGATCAAACTTGGTACTCGAAAAGCTCTGATTATGCGGATTTCAAGTAGTTTATTTTAGAGAAGCACATCTTCATGATTTTTTTTGCGCTAACAAAACGGAGAAACATAGAAACTGAAACTTGGGGCATCGGTACTTATTGAGAAGTAGATTCCAGGCTTTTGGGATGCGTTACCTGGGGGTACATTTTGGGGTAGTAAATCTTTCCAACAAAAAAGTATTTCGTTCCTGGGAATCATGGAGACATAATGGTGAAACCTAAACAAATAGGTACCTGCTGGCATGCATGCATAAGGGAAAATCCTACTTCCGGGATTTATCTTCTAGGGGTAGTTTTGGGGGGAGCCATATATTTTAATGTTTTGCTACGCTGAATCAGGTGCTGGTGGATAGAAACCTGGAATTTGGAACCTGGGTTTCTCTCCAGTCGCTAATTTCTGAAAATTTCCTTCTCTTGTGGTAAATCCCTTGGATGCACATTTTTCATTTGGGTCATGCTTACGGAATTGTTTTTAAAGCAGAACGAGCAGGCACAGTTCAGTAGACAAGTATTTATCTACATGCTTAACTCAGAAAATATCCAACCTCAGGGGCACACCCTCACTCCACTACTCCTGGTGGCACACTTTGTTTTAGGAGACGTAAGAAATGCTGGCCTTCCACATGGTATCTCACCCAAATTAAAGCCCTGATGACATTTTCAGCATCCTCGGGTCGATAATCCCATGCATTCCAACCTCCTACCATGATTGCACTGCTTTGGAGGCAGGCCGCACACCTAAGTGTGCGAAGAAACTTATGATGCTGTATTTTTAGTGGGCCTCCTTTCCTGAAAGGAAAGAGACCACTTATGCTCCCGTCCTGTCCGTCCGCGTGTCCGTGTGTCACACTTTGGTTGTTCGACGACAACAACAAAAAAAATTAGCCTGTTCAATGCGAAAATTGGCAAGCGGGTAGATATGAACAAGATACAGGCTGAGTTCGTTTTGCGGCCTACTTGCATAAAAAATTGGTATTTTTATTTCAAAATTTGGATTCGAAATTTGGCCCCGGAGGGGAAGGCATGAATACCCGTTTGCCCTTCAGGTTCTGGACCACAATGCGCATGCGCGTACGACCCAGGCTTTGGGCGCGGCGTCATGTCAGCAACCAGAGCTGTCAGTTCCCTACCAACCTTCGTGGTGGATGAATCCAACCACGCATAGCCCTCCATCCTCCCATCATCATTTCATGGGCACCGTTTGTCTATGTTTACCAAATATAAATTAGAAATTAGGTTTTTGATGGTCGAATACTGGAAAGGGATGGCATTTTGTACAATTAGGTGACAAAATGGGGGTTTCCTTAGCCGAAAGGAGGCCCACTACTGGATTGGGCTTACCCAACTTGTTACGCATGTGCTTGACGGCGTCCGAAGTTACATGTCCCGCTATGAAAGTTCGGACAGGGCTCAAAAAACATGTTCCCTGAAAAGCAAGACTCAACTGAGCTTTTGTCAACTCTTGGCGTTTTTACTCTCAATAGAGGGCATCATATTTATGCGAATATGACACGCATGGATGTGTGTCCGAACATAAATTTCTCAAGCATTTCCTTACCTAAGTTCGGACACATCGAAAGTAAGACAGTAATCTGATCAAGGCACGTGCATTATGCTTAACGGGACTACATGTCCCCGCAGTTTCCTGGTAAGTAAAAATTGAGCGCAGAAAACAACAATGTCAGGTGTGAAACGTTTCAAAAGTAAGGTTCTCTCCTTACGGTTTCTCGTAGAACTCCCCCTGTTCGCGATATCACATTGGTCCAAGTAAAATATCTTGGAATCTTCATCACTACCGCTTGCCCTTCGTTCAGTATGTGTTCATCTCGTGATTGGAATAACCATCTCTGAAAGCGGCCTCGCGAATGCTTAATTTTTAATAATGTTTGTTACAGTGTCCGAACTTTGGTGGTTTTACCCTAGCACCATCGAAGAGTCCTCGTTGAGAAACGAGTGAAACAAGACCTGAAGATTTTTTTTTCGAAAAACACAAGATACTACCATGCCTTAGATACGCAGTGATGGTGTGGTTTTATCAATGTGCTAAACCCTGTCAACATTTTTCGTTGGCTTATTGTCGGGCTACAGCTGGGCAAGTTGGTTCTCTTCGGCGAATGATTGGACTGGCCAACTACTTACACTTGTGCCGTAATGTGGCAAAGAAGATTCCCAAAACCGGCGTGAGATGGAGTCTAAGTGTTCGTAGTAGCGAGTCACTTCCCTGATTTAACTGAAATGAGTCTTCTGGACCTTTGACACAGTTCCCAACGGTTTTTCACATTGTTCTGAGAGGAAGGCAATGAAATTCCTCGGCACATTTCTCTGACGATGTAACCCAGTCCGGGGATATATCAGGAAGTTCCAGCCCGGAGGTTGGTGGCAGGATGGATCTACTATTCAATTGGCGTTATGAGTTTAATCTTACGCCGCCATCTGTACTTTCCACCTAATCGGAAACATCGTGATGTGCAAGCCAAGTCTACTATCTATGGAGAAGGCAGATTCTCTTGTATTCGGATGAAGAATACCGTGTGTTCAAAAGCACTGGTCCAGGAAGGGGGTTTACTTCTGATGAATAGGTCATGGATGAACTGATATCGTACATTCAGCTCAGATGAGGAAGAAAAGTCCGAGAGAGGATTTTGCCTAGGGATGATTGATTATCTCTCAAAGATGCGTAATGAAGCCAGTTTATGGGTTATATCACAAATATTTTTCTGCTGAGTGGAAAGTCAGTTCATCATTGGCTTATCAGTGGGGATGTGCCGATTTCAAACAAGGAGCCACAGTTGGCCCGATGAAGGGCCAACAGGACATGCCCAACCATAAGCCGGCTTCACCCAACCGTAAGCTAACCATCTGCCAGTGATGGCCGAACTAAGGCTTATGTACGTGTCGATGAAAAGCCAACGATGGCCAGACGAAAATCTATTGACTGGGAATGTCTCCATCTATTAAAAAGGCCAAGAAAGTTCCTTTTGGAATTTCCTGTACACACAGACGTGCCTAAACAATAAACATACGCAACGAAATGAGACAAATCCCGACGTCCCACGTCCGCGGTCACGGAATTTTGGGCAAAAAATTGAAACTCTTCGTGTCCTTCAACACCAAGATAAGCATCCGCCTGAGGCACGCAGTTCCTCCATAATAATACGGCAAATGGCAAAAGGTGATGTAACTCCATTCTCGCTGGAGCTATTTCCACGAAACTTGCAACGTGCAGAGACTTATATGCTCCAAAAAGCCCTTGAACTATACATGCAAATTCATTCCAAAGCAAGGCTATGAGCGATTATTAAAAAGAAATCGGATATTGAAAATGGATGGGGAAATGGGTCCCTTTAGCATGATTAGACCCCGTCTGCCTCTTCCTCCAACGTAAACGGGAACATTTGAAGAAGTTTGCGGTAAACTTTTTGTTGATATCTACTTATTCATCAGTAATTAGTTGGAAAAAGCTCATTACAACCATGAGCACAAAAAAAGCTCAGCCCAAATGATACATTTTTAAGGAAGTGACCTGAATTATATAAGCGATGAACTGTTGGAAAAAGCCGATGATGCTTAGAAATAGAACGGGAATAGAGAGAAAAAATGTCCCGAAAATACTAGACAACCGAGATCGTGATTGCCCATAAAGATATACAATTAGGTATGGGAAAGCATACCCGGTCTGGTAACAAAATATAAAAAAGGCTAAGACGCTAAGAAATAAAGAAAAACAGGGCAGCGGAATCCAGCAGTGACGAGACGTGACGAGAGAGATTAAGTTTTGAATTAAAAAATGAAAGCCTATTCGCCTCTCCTCTGGCGATTCTAAATCCTTTCTGCATGATCGATCAATCCCCTCAAGTTCAAATCGAGAAAGAGGGAATAATGAAAGAGAAAAAGTGCTGACCTTACAGTGCAAAAAAAAAATCCAGACTCACGGGGGCGTGACCAGGACCCCTTTCTCCCTTTTAAAAAAAGTACAAATTTTTCTCTTTTCCACGTCTCCATATCAGATGCGCTATCTTGGTCACAGGTGCCGTGATTACCTGAGCGTGTCTCTTTTTTTTTTGCCTCTCGAAGCCCTGACGCAATTTGGAAGTGCTGTGGACTAGCAGCTGCTATGAGATCTGAGACGATTTATGGGGCTATAAGGACGGCCTTTTAACGGACACACGGATCACGGAAAAGGTACTTCGCTTGGGAGATTAATATGAGCACAAATCATGAAATTAGAGGGATAAAATAATATTAAATGTCTCGTAAACTCTCCCAGGCGGAAATCGACACAAGCTGCCGTGTTTCAGATGCTTTTTCCGGATTTTCTTAAACTTTTGTATTTTCAGGGACATCTCTAGTTCGTCAGAGAAATCATGGATGAGAGGAAAGGTTTACCTGAGTTTAATCGGGAAACCCGTCGATTTCAGGGAATGCGTAATATTGAATATTATTACGCATCTTCGATCATCAATTGTGATTCAGGATTATTATTTTTTGCGTAATCCTGACTACAGATGACTGTAATATCTTGGAGAGAAAAAAAAAACTTCTTCAGAAATAGTAACGAAATCTAAGCACTGCAAGAAACGCTACTTGGTCAGAGCTCTTTGGACTTCCCGTGTATCACTGACAATTCAGAGAAAAATGTTGGCCTGACATAAAAATTAGGTCCTCCAGCAGACAATAATGATTAAACTTTCTCCCCTGCTCAACGAGTCGTCCGAGAGCGAACTTTGAGGCAGAATTTCTTTGGTGCATTTACTTTCCTTTTCAGACAAACGGGGTCAGGAATGGAACCAATCGAATCGATAAAGAGAGGAGGAAGAAATAAACTAAGAAACTAATACATCCGAGATGCAAGTGCCGGTTTCTACAGCCTCATATAATATGAAGCACATTATGACAATAAGGTAACCAACAAAGGGAATATGAATAAAGAAAATCATTCCTAAAAAAAATGCTTAAGAGTAATTTTTAAAAAATTTATAAAAGGAAAAAATATTATATGGAATCTATCTAAAACATTCCCATCTCCTCAAACTCCCTTTAAAAAAAAAAAGATAAACACCATAAAATACAGGGAGTGTAGGAAATTGGAATATCAAAGAGGAACCTATTCGAGTGTGGACATGAACAAAGGACTCGAACCTCTAAGACAGGGCATGTAATTGATGATCCCTCATCCCTAAACCGGATGCGAAACCTGACTTTTAGTGCTACTTCTTTTAGGGAGGAACCCAAAATATCATCTCGTCCATTGTTTTTCCCCATTACGTTAACATCTTCCCCAATAACGCAAGAAAAGAATCAAATCGAGACCCTGAACCCAGATATGATGTGACATCAATGAAATGGTTTCATCAACGGGAGAGTTATTGCGCGGAGAGTTATACTGGGGCACGAAAGGAGCGTTTCGTTATCTAACGGGAGACCTTATTTTTCTTATAAACGATCCCCCTCAAACCGGTAGATGCCGGAAAGAAGGCCTGGAAAATGGAAGACCGCGTAGAAGGATTGAGAACCGGCAATTTCTTCGAGATTCAAAGCATCGAGATTACTTTCATTTTATATTCATTTTTTTCATTTGCATATTTTCCATCTTTGATTTTATTTGCTTTCTTCAGATCTCAAATCCATTGTATTTTACAGCTAAAACTGATGGCAAGTAACGACAAAGGCTGCCGTTTTAATTTAAAACAATCTTGCTTTGACATTTTTTCATCTTTTTCCCCTTTCCTTTCAGCCTTTCCCCTCCCACGAAAATAGAGAGGAAAGTCCATCAGTTTGTCAAGGAAACTACGTGGTTAAAAAGTCTAACCATCTAGCCAAGCATGCAAATACGTCATAGTTGGGAGGATACTTTCGGTGATCAACCATGCATGTATCCACGAGCAAGGATAGTCCATTAGCATAATTGATAGATTAGGTCTCAAGAAAACCGACGTGACAGCTGTGTTTTTTCCAGGGGATCCTCCAGGCCTTCGTCTTTTAGCTTCGCTCCAGTTTTCTTTTCTCAGAGCAGTGGACCATTCCGTAACACTACGGATTTTTTGCTGAAGTACATTCTTCTAAAGGTGGTGGATTCTCTACTTTTTCTCGCAGCGCAACAATTGAGATTAAGTATGAATGCATGTTTTTGTAAAGATAAAGTCAACTTACACGTGAAGTCACGGAAGTTATCATGACAGGTGAGTTAAATAAGGACTAAAACAAAAACATCATTGGGGAAAACTCTCACGAGTCTCACTCGAGGAGTGAAATGACCACTTTTTTTTAAGGAAAAAAGTATCTTGCGATGGCATAAACCAAGGATGAGAATGAAGAATCTAAAATTTTTAAAATAATTGTCGAATAAATAGCTAAAAATTAAATGCAGGTTGAAAGGAGAGATGAGTTCGGAAGGCTTAAGGCAGTCAAGTGAAGGAAACACAGAAGCCATAGAGCGTATAGAAGTGGAGGAACCCCATTTACCGATAATGGGTCCCCTTAAAGGGGGCCACCATCTGTTGGAGGTTTCTTTTTTTTTCTCTCTCTCTTCTCCTCGTTCCCGATCACTGAGTTCAGTCTTCGACCGACTTCAGAGACGTGAAAAAGCCCCTTCAGAAGGAAGGATCTTCAGATCCAAGTGGAAAAAAACATCCGCACGTTTCTGTTTTTACTTTAAAAATATTTCACACCATCCATGTGAGTCCGCCATGATTTCTGTTGCAAGCTTAATCGATTTTCCCTCCAAAATTTATTTATTTTTTACTTGAGACAGACTTCAGCCTTTCTGTTAGAGAGCTCTGCTTGGTAGTCTATAGTTCATTCCTATTTATTAAAGCATTGTTTCCATCATTTAAATTTTATTTTTTTTGCTGCTCAATTATGAAAGCAAAAAAAAGTCAGTTGGAAGATGTCACAGAGCCATGATATCGGTTCTAATAGGCCTACCAGAGTATGAAATGACATAAAGACTCATGACACACTTGAAGACGTTGCGACAGATCAAACGAATGAATAGAAAGATGGCCCCCATAGAAGCAATAAAACGTAATCGCATAGAACAAATTTTTCGAAAAAGGGTCTCGAAAGTGGGTTACTTCCCTCCTCCCATCGTTGTGAGATCGTTTCTCGTTCTGCAATAATGTGATAATTGACTGAGACGCGACACGGGCACGTCTGAAGCTTTCCAATTTCACAGCAGGGCTAATTTCCTTCACGGTCTAGCGATGAAGTCCATCTATTTACTTCTCGCAGTCGTTTTTCTTCAAGAACTATTTTTTAGAGGAAGGAAATTTACAATAGGTTTCACTGAATTATAATACACATATCTTGCATGCGTATTGCATACGATATTGGAGTTCCGTTATTTTTATAGACATTTAAAAGATCACTTCTTGGAATAACTTAATTTTTCATGCCTTTCTGGAAAATCTTCGATCTGACATGAATTTCTACATTAACAGGTTGGTTACTATGGAACCCACTGGTGAAATCCTAAGGGTCTTATCATGAATGCCTCGTAAAAAAAAAGAAGACGCGACTAGGCAGTGTTGATGAGTCAGGCAGTTCAGGCCTGAGGAAATCTCATGCCGTGGGACTCATGGATGGGTTCAAATTCCCTATCAGTCATCATTTTCAGCCCTCATCCTTCGTCCTCCATATCATGAAATTTTCATATCCTGTACCGTTTTAAATGGTACTGTTTGAATAATTGAATGAATGAACGTAGCCCAAACATTTCAGTCACTAAGTAAGCATGGTTGTAGCAACGTACGTGACAACACATTCGAAAATCCCATAGGTTCTTACTGTTCAGGAACATTAACAAGACGTTTCTCCAAGTTCCTTGGAAGATATGTTTCATACAGTGCTCCTCTTGAGAAATTAAATATTAAAATATGTCTAGCAAGACGTTAAGAGGATCTTTATTCGAGCGGCCAGTTCTCAAGGAAGTCTAGTACCTGATATGAACGTAATGACAGTTTCTTGCTGCATAATTAGAAAAGAGTTGCTTCCAGAAGTCTGGAAGTCTTCCTGCGTACAGTGCAGTGATGCTTTGACGTGCACGAAATGTTTTCATATGGGATTGTCCTTGCTTCCAAATTTGCTTCACAAACCCTTGGAATTGTGTGGCAGGCAATGAAGACGGTAGCTTTGCTCCTGCTGGCGGTTGCTGTCCTAGTGGATAGCAGTGGGAGCGTATCCCGGAATGGAGGCGAGCGCGAGCGAGACCGAGAACGAGACCGCGACCGCGGAGGAAGGATACGCGGTGGAAGTCCGTCACCACCGGAAAGGCGGAACTTCATCGCCCGACGCCGCCCTCCTGCGGGTCAGGGTCAGGGTCGATCTCAGTTCCCCCTACGACCCAGGCCATCCAACCGGGAATCTCCGCCATACGGCCACACCACCAATCATTTCGGTGCGCCCCCGTCTAAGTACAGGCCTGTACCGTTCCCTAACCCTTTCCAGCTCAAGGTGAAGATTCCGCAAATCAAGATCCGACCCATACGCATCGGTCCTCTAATCAGGACATTCGGGAAGACTCCAGGGGGTTATGGGCCCCCGAAGGACGATTACGGTCCCCCCACGGATGAATATGGCCCACCAAAGGACAATTACAGCCCACATAAGGACGATTATGGGCCACCAAAGGAAGATTATGAACCTCCTAAAAACGACTACGGGTCAGCCAAGGAAGAGTACAGTCCTCCGAAGAAGGAGTATGGAGGGCCGGAAGACTTTCCGCAATTTCCATCCATCAACTTTGATGATCTTGAGAAGGAATTCGAGAAGGACTTTGACAAAGAGAATCCCGATGGTTACGGCAAACATAACGAAGTTCCAGGTAATCTTGTTCAATGTCGTTCTCATGTATGACTAGATGAAACAAGCAGTTAAAGGTTTCATATTTGCCAATGAATGTCTGTTTTTTAGATGAGGGCTATGGGTCCCTCGACGATTCGTCAGAAGGCCCTCCACCTCCGGATCCTCACAAGCCAAAGCCAGTGATTGCAACCGGAAAGCCCTACCGCCCTCCCATCTACCGCCAAAACCCAGACCACGAACCGTCCAAGCCGGCCTTTAGGCCCAAATCCAAGGCAAAGCCCAAGCCTTCCTACCAAGAGCCCGATCCTTACGAGACATCTTCGGGTCCTTCCGACGACGACGACGACGAACCGGAACCATACCAGCCTCCGAAGAAGTACGAACCCCCCCGTCAAGAACCGGGTAGTAGTTACAAACCACCAGTCTACAAGCCGGAACCGTCACACGGCGAACCGAGTTCAGAGGGAGAGTCATATGATGCTCCTTCACCGTCTTACAAAGAACCTGACCTGTCTTACAAAGAGCCGTCTTACAAGGAAGAGTCATCCTATGAAGAGCCATCGTCATCCTACAAACCTCAACGTGGACGTCGACCCAGACCCCGTAATCAATATCGAATGAGGCCATCCTATAAACCACCACAACAGGAGTACAAACCCCCAGAGGAGTCATACGAAAGACCATCCTCGTTCTACAAACGCCCCTCCACAAAATACAAGAGGCCAGAACCAGCTGGTCCCAGCTACGACGAACCGGCCTCCAATTACAAAGAACCTTCCTCTTCATATAAAGAACCAGCAGAGAGCTACGACGAACCGGACGACAAAGAACCATCTGGTTATGAAGAACCATCTTCAGGCTATCAAGAACCGTCAGGAGATTACGATGAACCGTCCTCTTCCTACAAAGAACCGTCCTCTTCCTACAAAGAACCATCCTCCTCCTACAAGGAGCCGTCGTCTTACAAAGAACTGTCCTCCTCTTACAAAGAGCCAAAAGATAGCTATAAGGAACCATCAGGAGGATATGAAGAGCCAGGCTCCTCAGAGCCTGCAGACTCCTACAAGGAGCCAGAGTCATATGAACCACCGAAGGAGTCCTACAAGCCAACATCACGTCCATCATATAGACCCAACCGCCCTTCCTTGATATACAAGAGGCCTACTTCATCTTATGATAAGTCAAAACCGCAGACAACATACAGCAGACCAGAACCATCAAAGAAAGAACCAGACACTTCATACGAGAAACCAGAATCATCATATGAGGAACCAGAATCAGAATACAAACCAATATTTAACAAACCAGAAACATACAAGTCTCCTAGCTCCACCTATGAACCAGAATCCTCTTATGGTGAAGATGTTGACAGCAAAGATGAGCAACAGGCATATCCAGACCTTCCATCCTTTGGCCCAGACCAGTATGGAAAGACAGATGGAAAAGAGAAACCAGATGGAATCACCCCAACCTTTAGCTTTCCAGACTTTAACTTTGACTCCTTCTTTGACCAGATGGGGCCAAGTCTCTTTGAGCCACAAAAGGAGGATAAGGGTGGTTCTAGACAGACATCAAGGCTTTGGGAGGATGATCCTGACCGAAAGAAACTTGAAGAATCAGAAAAAGATGACAATTCTGGGTTCCTCAATGAATTTGGTTGGTCTCCACCATCTGATATGAGCAAAGAGACTCCCGAATGAATGTGACAGGATGAAAACCTGTGATAGAACCAATCCTGACTGTGCCACACAAAGACAGCAAGACTCAACTTGTCAAAAGGTGAATGTGAAGAGAGGATGCCCTCTTTGGCCCTGTTACCACTGTTGAGTTTCATTCAGTGTTTCTCTCACAATAAACGTGATCTGATAAGTTGCTAATAACACCAGTCTCCTTTGCTTCTAGTTTTTTCTTTACATTTTACAATTGAGATTTAGATCTCATTGCTCATGGCATTTGCTTAAAATCATTTGAAAAAAGAATTTGAAGAACTGTCAAGTTTAAAGAATTTCTATTCATCTTTTTTTAGAATCCATTTCATCTGCTTGATTTCAGGCTCAATCCCAAAGGACATTAGGTCAATTCAATTTTATTTGAGGCAGGCATCACCTAATAACATTGCACATCAAATGTTAACCCTTTCAGTCCTGGCAGGACTTGGGAGTACTGCATTTCTTTGCTAATGTTGTAGGTCTACATAAGAATGCCTTGAAGCCATGGTGGGATTCTGAGTCCCTGTTTATAGTAGTTCACCACATGTTGTCAAGATGATAGCATTCCACAGTAATAGAAAGGAGCTGTATTCTCTCTGGTACCTCAAAAAATGGTGTCATAATCTATATTTAGTTCAGCTAAGACATTTCTTTTCCAGCCAATTTTAAAAATGTTTTTGCAAGCTAGATAATGGAAAGAAATACTGGGAAACATACAACATAGAATAGGGATATGAGTACCAGCTGAACTACTTAAATGGCATGATTTTGTTCATTTTTAAAAATTGATTTAAATAATTAAAACTTGATATTTAATTTTACTTGAGGAAACAATTTTAAAAGCACTTTTACATTACACAAGCCTTGTTCAAGCCTGAAAAGTACATTACATTTTTTTCCATGCTAGAACATAATTCAGGACTGAAAGGGTTAAAAGTCAATATCAAAGAGAAGCTGGATACAGACCTTGTTGCTGAGGAAGGTATTCCACTCAGTGGAAAGGGCATAATGCTGGAAGTCCTCATAGAAAGACGGTGCTGTGTGGGCCAGCGGGAGTGATGGCAGATGGTGAGGAAGGTGGAGCCATGTCCCAATCTTGTCCAGCAGGGCCTTCACCACAGGTATCAGGAAACTGTAGTGCTCAGTGTTCTGCACTGTCACAGAAAAATATGCATCTCTTTTCAGCAAATGGTTTTTTCTTGTTTGTTATTCATTTTCTTACTAATTAACTGATAGCCAAGTATCTGGGATATATTCAATTCATCAAAAGAGTGGGTGCTCCTGGAAATGAATAAAAGTTAAAGCTTTCTAGATCCTCCCAGAATACTTATTGCAGTCATTTCTTGATGCAGCCCTTAGTTAGCGAAGGTCAATGTCAGCCTGTCAATTCGACAAATGAGTCTCTAGCAGTGCAGTCAATCAATCTGATGACTTTTAAAGCAAGGGACATGCAGAAAATACATAGAACATTAAAAAATTCATAAATTATTGTGCACTGAGAGGATGCAGGCTACCTGATAGCCTGATGGCTTAGATGCCACATTCTGGCATCACAGCCTCTCAGGATATTAATGGCAACTAGGGCAGTGCAGTACCCAGAAAAGTTAGAATCAAACTACTGAGGACCAGCTACTGTAGTTTTGGTAATACTGATCCCTCTCTTTTCCTGAGGAAAAGGAGTACATGAACCAGGCAGAAAGAGAGGATACCCACACCTTTCTGCACTCCTGCCCCTGAACCAAGCCAAGTTTGATGGGAAAAGGCAGCCAAGACACATCTGAGTTCAAGCAACCATATTTGATACCTTTGGTTCTTTTTGCTGGTACTGCAATGATTAAGCTTCAGTTCAGATATAAAATATTCCTAACTCCAGTAACAACAATACTCCATTTATTCTTATAGTAGACCACATTGGAAGCTCATGAGTTGCTGCCACCCATCAGCACCATAAGTAATTCTGAAGATGGATGACACCAGCATCCCTCAGATGTGGTACCTGGAGTGACGTGCATGTTATCCTTACTCAAGACAATTTTTTCGCAAAAGTAGGTTGGCAATCTATTGGTAGGAAAGAACTCACCAAAACCTGGACATGTTGCTGGCTTTGGGTGTGCAGTCGGAATCACTAACCATAACACACATTTTCAAAGTAAGTGTGGGAAATGATAATTATTCATTCCATAAACATCAGGAAGCAACTAAAACCAAGACTTAAAAAATAAAATGAGGGGGAGAATATTGCCTTTCAAAAATATCTAAAAACAAAAGAGTTTGAATTCCATGCATTTTAAGTCAAGGCAATCCATTATATTTCATAAACTGATGGAGATTGTCAGAAGAGTAAAAAAAAACACCATAACCATTAAATATGTAAGTCTTTGTTAAAATGTTACATCTACACATTACATGGGCAAGGTAGGAGAAATTAATTCATGAGAAGGAATGAGGAACCCAGGATGGATCAGATCATTCTTACATGCAATGGCAGTAGAGAGGACCCTGGAAAGGATGGCTAGGATGAATCCAGACTCCTCAATATGGGCAAAGGGTCGGGTCTGAATGAGGAAGTGCAGACGTGCTGTGGCCATGGCACACAGCTCCAGATTCTCACTGCATGCACACCACACCAGGATACCTGACCAATGTCAATGCCAAATACCATAACCTTTTAGAGGCTCCTTCTCCTCAATAGTTCTGTGGAATATGGACATAGTGATATCCAGGCAATTTCTTGTACACATTTCCCTGTTCATGTTTAGGTTCTTTTTTTACTAGCCAAAAAACTATCCCATCCCCCTTTACCTCAAGGATTGCATTGCTTTTCTGTCTCTAATCACTGGAAGTGATATGTTTGAATGCTTGCAACTAATGTGGACAAATCTATCTCCAATTGATTTGGAATGGAATTGCATGAATGGATGGAATTTGGGATGAATTTGCATAAATTGCACCTTCACTACACTACAGAGCTTCATAAAAAGAAGAAAAAGAAGTGAGGATCCAAGCAATCTGTGAATGATAGGGTTCCAACTACCAGGGCAGCAAGAACTAACATAGATTTCAAATGAAAGTCTAAAACCAGTTGGCCATCTTGATACTAATGAGAGTGATGGAAGGACAGAATGGAAACATTCAAGGGGCCAGGAAGGTTGAAATGCTGTGAGACAGACTCATCAGGATAAAGCCAGATGCCCCATTTGAATTATGTAAAGCAATCAGATAGTTAATGTGTAGTCGAGCATGAAGAACAACCAGCAAACCCCTCAAAAGTTCTAATTTGTGAAAGAGCATGAATGAAGAAAATCATGGGTTCAATACAAAATTTAATTTTTTAAATAACTTTTATTTTTTATTTTTTTTAAATTAAAAAAATTAAATGAGATACAAGAAATACAGTATCCTTTCCCTCCAGATACCATGTTTGAAGTTTTTTCTTCATTCTGACTGATTTCAGGAGTGTGGAATATGAGTTACCCAAACAGATGGCAGCTACTTCCTTCCACTCTTCTTCAGCAGTTTCCCCAAACACCACCAAGCAGTCTAGTAAACCCAGCATCCCGTCTAAGACCTGCAGGTTATAAAGAGAGAAAAATGAAAATTTGAACAAAACTGAAAGATAATCTTTGCACTTATTGCAAACACACAAACACAAGCACGTGTGCTTTGGCATATATATATGATGTTTTTCAGAGATGGTATGACTTTCACAGTGGAATCAACCCATTTTTTGCCTATGAAAACCTGGACTTTATGTATGGCATGGAGAAAACCTAATTAAAAATTTTCCTGACAGCATGAGCACTGTGCTCAAAGGTTGGCAAGTGCATGCTAATAATGTTCATAATAATAATGTCTTTATTCAGACCCCACCTCACAATTTCTGCTGTTGTTTTTAAGGCCAAAAAGCCATACAGTTTTCAAGACCAGTTCTTCATTTTTTTTCTTTGTAACTGCAATCAAAGAAAAAATGTTTGGCCTTAAAAACAATAGCAGAAATTGTGAGGTGGGGTCGGAATAAAAATGTGCGGTATGCATTAAAAAAAAAGACCTTTGAAATTGCTCTAATCTTTTACTCAAGTAAATGGCAGACATTCTGCAAATTTTTTCAAGTTTGTTGAGCTGCATAGAAAATGGCACCATACAATTGAAAACAGAAGTTTTTTTGGAAATTTTGTGATTTTTGCATATTTCGAGCCATCACATCTCCTTAAGTGAAGTTTGTTGGGACAAAAATGGGACACACATCATTAGATCTTCTGCTGATTCCAAAAACATATATGATGATAGGGTTTTATGAACATGTTGATGTTTTGAAAATTTCTGAATATGCCAAAAATTGGCAAATTTGATATAACTTTATTTTATTCAGTATCACCTCAAGGAAAAAAGTATATGAAATAACTTCAAAAGTCTAATGTTTTTAAAGAACAATGGTGTTTGCTGCGTTCATTTAGGTTGAAAAGTTTTTGGCCCACATGAGCGTGAAGAGGTGCCATTTTTTTTTTATTTCATAAAAATTTAATTTTGTGCCAAGACGGCTCCATACCAGAAGCCAAAATTTTGCATTCTTACTTTGGGCCATGAGGGGTGCCATAAAAATTTTTTTGTCAATATTGGAGGGGGTTGTGCTCTGGCCTCTGGCTGATTTGAGATGGAATGACCCTCCCTGCAGACTCATACTGACAAAAGAGAAATTCTGAAATAACGTTGAGAAAACTTTCTGGATCGATATTGTATGATTCATCTATTATTGGTAGGGAATAAGCTTATGGAAACCATCTGCAAGAGACACTCAACCTCATGAATGAATTTAAATGGTAGTGGAGTTCAATGTGATCTTGATGAGCAGGAGGGATGACACTCGAGTGTGTCCTCCACTCCACTACCAGCAGGAGCTCTTGTCCATTCTCAATGTCTAACTTCTTTTCAATAATTGCTGATAGAATTGCTTTGGCAAAACAAATTTTGGCGAAATTTTGATATCAGTTGGAAACACTCACATATGCAAAGTGAAAGTTTCATGAAAATAGCTCTATTGTAAGGGGAGATATTTAGGTTGAATGTCATGGGTAATTTTTTTTGCCATACCCTGTATATATAAGACTCTCCCAGTGAAGAACCCCAGTAAAGAAGAATTTCTCCTTTTGTTTGCACTTTTCTTTCAGAGCCTGGTTTAGCAGAGAGATCTTTCCAGCACGGTTTCCAGTGATGCATAAAATCTTTTTGGCTGCTGGTTGGAGATTGGCTGCTCCCCTGAGCGTCATCACATCCACCTCCTCAGTACATGTTACACTGGTTGTGTTCCAGTAACATGAGCGTTAGCTCTCTCCAGCTAGTGGAATGTGCATCTGTGGTGGTTGTGGGATGGGGATGGACTTAAGCTGTGGGTGCAGTCATCTGAAACCCTTGCAGACATACCCATTCCAATTCTAACTTTCCTTCACTCTTATCAGGAATTCTGAAAAGTTCTATCTGCACTGAAAGATTTAGCAGAACCATGCTCCTGATGAGGATCCTGCAGAGCTTTCACAAATTAATAGGCTCACTTTGCTTTCACTTCCTTTTGAGTTACTGTCTTCCTGGTAAGATAAAAGTTTTTTCCCATTCAACACTTGCTTGATTGAGTTGCATGCCTATTTTCCTCTTTTCTTATCAGTACATATATACCAGGTGGCTTTTAAAAAAAACATTCCGAACTTTACACACCTGCAGACAGAATACCATATGATAAGCTCTAGACTAGATTATTGATGCCATTCAACCAGTTTCGTCAAGGGGTATATGGCCAGCCTAGAGCACCAACAGCTAATATAACCTGTTTCAGTATCCTTACCTTTAATCAAGTTTCTACTGTCAAAAATCACCAAAAAAAAATTAGCATGAAAAATGTATGCTAAGTGGGAGTTGAAGATGAAAAAGGAAGCTGTCTTCTTGTCTTGAAGTGTTTGGTGGGAGATTTAATATTAGGCATAGATAAGGAGACACACCCGGTCGAAGGGGGGCTGCATTAAGGAGTCACAGGTGGTGTTGTTTGCTACCAGATGGTACACCCAGTGAAGGAGGTGTGAGGCATTCTCCTGATCACTCCAGTCTGCTTGCACCCGTTTCCTAATGTCTTCCAGGCAGTGCTATATGCAAGGAAACTCACTTCAGACATTCCTGACTGTTATGTAATATACAATACATATCATATCCCCACTCATAGGCATGTTCCTGAACTTACACATCCTAGGGATGGTGAGGCAGTAAAAAGTTAATTGAAAACATATTTCTTATTTGCTATCTACTATGTACATCTATATGATTCAATGCAAGGAAATGTGCCTTCAGCATGGTGGTGAGCATATTGAACACCTGATTGTGCACTCTAGCAGTATACTGGTATTCAGTTCTCATGATAATCGTTCTGATCCTTTCTACATATTTCAATATTATTTCCACAGCATGAAAGCCATGGAATACAACCCATGTTCATACTGTGACCATGGTTTGGAAATTGCAGGACACAGCCTCTTATCATACCATCACCATGGCACCTAACCAAGAGCCAATTCAATAAATAAAAAATACCTTGCTAACTATCATCCCCATCTCCATCCATGGTGATGCCCAGTGACTGGGAAACCAAAGTCTTCCAGGAAATCACAGGATTGTATTCCAGTCACATAATGTGCACCCACTCAAAATAGATGGCAAAAGTTACACAATATGTCCAGCTTCCTAACATCCTTGGATGTTACTTTGCCACTCCAAGAATATTATACAGGCCATTCATATGATTCCATTGTAAGACAGTGAAGGAATGTCTTGGGGACAAAACATTACAATTTGAAGGAAATCTGAGGTTTTTTTTTCAATGCTGCACTACCCTGTAAAACAGTGTACAGGTAGCCTTCTTATTGGTCTCAAATATGCAGAGGAATTAACTAATTATATGCTAGCATCCTAAAATTGGGAAGGTTAAAAATTGCACCTTCATTATGTAGCAAACACCTTATATGTTTTCCTAGGCTGTATCTCATCCCCTTGAGTGAAGTCTTGGAAATGCTCACATAAGTAAAGTTTTCATAGGAAATTACTTGGGATGATAAATAATTTAGGCAGTCCAAAATGGCATGTGAACTACTTGATCTCATATAAGTGAGATGGAGACAATGACTGGGTTCCATTTTGATTATAATCAGCAGAAATGTTGCAGGATTTATTTTAGGAAATCATTTTCAATCATTTCTTGATATTTTGCATTGTTCTCCCAATATATGACTTGAACTGTTACCTGTTTTTGGTTACTGGGCACAGCCTGGAACTGAAAATGTGTTTCAGCAACAACTTTCCTTCTGAGGAAGATAGAAGCTTCATTCTGGTGCCACATTAATTTTTAAATTGCCTTCCTCCGAATAGTACAGCAAACTAAAGTCCCAAGGGACACAATAAAATTATATTGAACCCAACAGTTTGACCAACTTCATGATAAAAACTTTCAGAGGATTCCAAAATCATGATTTATGTAAAAATGCAAGAGGTTTTTTTTATTATACATTTCCATAGAATCTTTCAGTGGCTATTATTGATGAAAATATAATAGAAATAAAAAATGAAGTTTCATATAAATATTATATAAATAAGTCATTAAGTCAAGTATAATTTAAGTACAATTAAATTCTAATATTAAAATAACTGTAGTTCTTTGGTGAAATGGAAAAGAAAAACAAAAAGGTGGGTTATGTTGGGCCAGCAGGTCATGTTTAAGTAAATTAAGAACTTTTTATCAGAACTGTGTACCCTGTGAGCCCTTTGAGCTCCATTTTTTTCATAACATTGTAACAAACATCAGACCTGATCTGACAGGAGAGTGCAATGGGTTAGTGGGTCAATGTAAAGTATCTCTATATGCATAAAAACCATGTAAAAAATGGGGAATGAAATATCCTTCATTTTTAGCATTCATCATGTGATCTAAATATTAATGTTATTATTTTGCTTACAGTATTTCACTTGATTCCACATATCCCATTCAAGTCCTATATGATTTTAATTTCAAAGTTCATTAGCATTTTCCAGGGATTTCCAGAATGTGGCGCTTTAATGCTTTTTGTTAGTCATGCATCTCACTTCCTTGTAATGTTAGAGTTGTTGCCCAAAGTTCATGGCCATCAAGAGAGTGGGGAGATAAATGCTCTCAAAAACCAAGACTTTCACCTCCTTGGAACAGTCTGCAGGAGGGAGTTCAGATAAAACTGCAGATGCCACAGAGACCTGGTTCATGATCTCATATCCTTATTACTGGGACTGTACCAATGGCCACATTTGGCCAGTGGGCTGATGGTTGATTTTTTCCTCATAACAATCAACTGGTGTCTGTGCCAATTGTCGCATGTAGATGAAATTGCATTTAATTAATAATAGGTCGAATTGGAAGCCTTGTGAAACTCTCTTTATCAGTAGGCCTCCTTGAAACAATAGACCATTTTTGGTCCTGTCCAGCCTGTCTGTCTCTCTATAAGGCTGTCAGTGGTTAGCTTGTTACCCATTGCTGCAGTTCAGAGCATTTAGTGACACAGCCCTTGCAAAAGCATGACATAAATGTAGATGCAATGACTTCCCATACTTAACCACTACCTTCCTCTGCCAGTTCCTATAATCCAGATGGAATAAAATCCAATAGATATTTTTGTCTGGGAGAGGCTGACAGGAGTAGCTTTCAGTGAGACAAGAGGGCTGGCACCTTGCCACGTTCACATAATCACTTTTTTTTTTTTGCTTTGCCCATCCTTAGGGCACCAGCACTGGCACTAGTGCCATAGGCTGATGGCCGATGTCGCCAATAGTGCAACACTGGCGGCCGATACTGGTATTAGCCAATACATCGGTACAGCTCTACTTGTTACTCGTCACTCAAGATTCAGAGCCCAGGATATTTAAAACTTCACATGTTCCACTGGGACCCCACCCTGACATGTAGGTCATACTGCACAGGACTTCTTGAGAGAACCACACCTCACTGCTTATGCAACATTCTAAGATTCACCCATATCTGGAGCTTGCTAACTGCTGGTGGTCAGGGCTCAGTTTGATCCTAAGCATTACCCTCATATCTACCAACATGCCCCAAAATCATAATTTAACCGACCTACCATTACTATCCCACAGTTACAGTCTAATCAACAGATCCACCATGGTTAGTAATGTGGATATCATTATGCTTAAAGAAGGTTTTGGTAACAGTCAGGCCATTGTCATTTTGTTATTGTTAGCAACTCTCTTTTATATTCTTTCAGTGGGGCTTCTCTAACTAAACTGACAGATCCCATCACTCCAATGCTTAACTGTAGTTTCTGCTCCTGGTCTGCTCTGAAAAGAAAGTGTCAAAGTGATGAGAAACATAAAGCATGCTTTATTTTCACTTTTTCCTGATCCCTCTTTTGCTCCCAGGTGCTAGACTTTTCCCAGCTTCCATTCTCTCCACCAGAGTGAAGTATTGGGCACATTTGAATTCATGCACACCTGTTTCCATTAGTTTGACAATAAAATTGACTCCAGAATTTGATCTTTATCTAAAACAGCCAATGCCTTATCTGAAAAATCCAAAGAGTTACAGACAGTAAAAAGTTTCTCTTGATAATTAGGCCTTTGGTACTAATCCTGTCTGTTATGTTGCAGTGATCAATTGATCAAAGTAGGAAGCCAACTTAATTCAATTTAATTTTCCCAATGCCTTCATACTTACTTTGAGAAGGAGGTAAAGGAGTCGCTTTTCTATTTCCAGCTGAGGGAGGAGGAGTTGATGTGTGGTTGCCAGGTGCCGCACCTGTGCTATCACTGCACCACGATCCTGGCAATCAACAACATTGCTCATGACAATAGAATAGAAACAATCTATCCATACCTCCCATTTCAAGCCTCATCCTATCAAAGAAAAGGAACCAACAAGAAGCAAATATTGTACAGGGTGATTATAAAGAAAGTTCCCTTGTTCAATGCATCAGATCTCATAAATGGTTAGACACAGGATCATGAAAATTAATGAGTCATGGAGAGGGCAATGCTACATGTGTCATGTGTTGCCAACAAAAGTGAACAAATGGCTCTCTTATGAAAATCAGTTGTGTTCAATGTGTGCTCCTCCATTATCCACTATGCTTTGCCCTCAAGGGATAACAAACGTGACAGCAGCATGTCGTGTATCCTGCAGTATACTGGCCACCTCCCTCACAATGGCAACTTTCAGGTCTGGAATCATGCATGGGGTCCCTCAGCACACACAAGACTTCTGAAACCCTCACAACATAAAAGTCTGCTGGTGCAATGTCTGGTGAATGTGTTAACAACAATTTTCATTCCCACTCTGCAGCCACAAAATGTGCTTTCGCACCAGTCTTTATGCAGGATGGTACAAATCCTCACATTGGCACCCATATCAATCACGTGTTGTGGGAGCACTTTCAGGATCACATGATTTCCCAACATTTTCCTTATGAATGACCACCATGTTCACTGGACCTTACACCAGCAGACTTTAGATTGCCAGGGTCACTGAAGTCTTGCGTGTACCAAGGGTTGCACAGTTCCATACCTTGACAAGTTGCAACTGCCAGAGCGGTGGCCAGCATACCATAGGATATGCGATGTGCTGCTGTTGTGTCTGTCAACCCTCGAATGCAATGCATATTGGGTAATGGAGGAGCACACATTGAACACAACTGATTTTCATGAGGGCCATTTGTTCACTTTTGTTGACAACGCACAACACATCCAGCATTGTCTTTCCCATAGCCCCTGTAACATTTGTATTAATTTTCATGATCCTGTGTCTAACTGTTTATGAGATCTGATGCATTCAAGGGAACTTTCTTCATAATCACCCTATACTAAAGAGTGACACCATATTTCAATCCCTTCTCGACATAGTTGGGTATCTCCTGGAGTACTCATTGTCTGAGGCTACATAAAACGTGAAATTATCACAAGCAGACCACTCATCTGTTTTGGATTTCAATCAAATTAGTCAATTCAAGAGTACTGCTCACAGTGGCTCCTCGTTAGTTTTAGCAATTTGAGAGATCTCAGATCACTTGAAGTATGAAGAAAGCACTACAAGAAGTCTGAGGAAAGGCAAGAGGGTATTTTCTGTATTTCCATTTTGCATCAATTTTAAGATTCTAACAAGGATAACATCCCCACAGTAGCTGCAATTATTTGTCAAGTTACACTTAGTTTGGGATACAGATTACTACACGTTATACTTTACATAGGCTTTGTGAAACCTATTTTCAAAGATGATGGAGGACCTATTTTAGTTCAGAAACTTAAAGGTGATGATAACAATCAGGGGTGCTCCTCAACTTGGCCAGGACTGAGAAACATTAATTGAAAATTTTTAAATCTATGTGGAGCAATAAAATAAATCTCATTACATATGATAAAAACTTTTGAAGATATAGAGCCTGGATAGAGAGATTATGTGATGGAGAAAGGAAGAGTAAGGATAAACTTGAAACTACAACTTTCAGATGAGGAAATTGATCAGTTCCATTGTAGTTCTCCTAAATGTACCAGGAGTTACAAAATATCAGTGAGTGAAGAATATGATATGGCTCAAGAGGATGAAAGAAGATATGGGTAACAAAGGAACAATAAAAAAGATACAAATACCTTCCAGTTATCATCAGAGGAGCCATCAATTCCCTTCCACATGACCCAGGCAATGAGTTCCAAAATGAAGCTCACATATGTATCCATGTCCATCCCCTCAATCCTCACCATCTCTTCACTCCTAATGTGCAAATAAAAAGAATGAACATACTTGGAGAAAATAAAAGAGGAGACAATCTTGATATGATGCCTTTAAGGGCAGGCAACCGATGGTGAAAGAACCCTGGTAACAGACTCAGGAATGGGCTGACACTTGCCAGTATGAAGCTGGAACTCATGGAAAACAATTTGAAATAGTTGGCTTAACATCATAGACTGACACTGGTTACATCACCTTAGATCATAGATGGACTCTACTGGAGAGAAGCTGATGCAAGTATTTTTGCTCAGGCTGAGGTGGGGACACTCCTTTGCCCCTGGCTGCTGACAGCATAACAATTGAAATCAGTCAGCAAACAGGTCATTCCCACTAGCCTCAGACTGAAGCAAGTCAGGGACTTGGGTCTCATTTGTATCAATATTTGCATATCAAATAGTGAGTGATGCTTCAATGCATTTCTCAGAGGTGGAAGGGGCTGTAAAGGGATCTGAAACAGCAATCTTGCTTTGCTGAAAGGGTGTTCAATACAGAAGTTGGGAAAGATGAAGCTATGGGTAGCGAAGTAATCAGACAGTTTGGAAAAGCCACACTGAATGGAAATGGTAAAAGGTGGTTACATTTTGTGCTCCCAATAGCCTGACCATTAATCAGCACCTTTTTCTAACACAGAGATATCCACAAGTATATCTGATTGAGGAGGTCTAAGAGTTGCACTGGAACTGAGCCAGCAATAAGCCAGCATGTGACTATGACTATATTAATGTTTCAGTGAATATGTGGGTTCTAGTGATGGATGAGAGGAGCCAAATAGAGCACTGATCACCTTCTGGTTAGCATGTTCCAGATTTGAGAAAGCCACAAAATGGGCAGCCCATCTAACACACTCCAAAATGAGTGAGGTGGGAAGGAAGAAGTGAGAAAATTCATGATGATAAGGCAAGGATGATCAAGGAGAAGTATTCTCGACTGTCTCTAATTTCTAAGGAGACTAAATAGGACATACTTGAATCTGGTGTTATTGCTGCAGAAGTGTGAATGTTGTGAAAAGCATAATGAGGTGAAGCAAAGAAATGCCAAGCATATTGCTTGGTGGAAGCCAGTGGGTAATTCAGGGCACTGTTGCCAAGAAGGTGGCTTATAGAGTGGATATGTCCTGCAGGTCAGACAGTTCAAGAGTGAGTGACAGATGTCCACAGAGGTGCTGCTCAAGCCATGCAAAAAAATGGGACATAGAACAAATCCAGTGAATAATGAAATCCTATTCCCACAATGCTATGATAGTGTCCTCACAAACCATTTGAAGGCTTTGACAAGGCATTTAATATAAACTGCTGGTCAACAGAGACCAAAAAGCAGAGGTTCTGACAACTAAGATGAAAAGACTTTAGGAGCATTTTAGGGAGCTGTTAAATCATCCCAAAGCAGACTATGATGCACTCAACTTGAAGTCTTCCTGCAAGGAAAGCAATCTCACCTTCATGCTATTTTTACTCTGAAGAATTGGAAGTTTCAAGGGACGGAATAAATCTGAGCAGTGGAACTGGAAGCAATGGCCACCAATGGGTGTTGGTGGTTGCACATGTGGAAGGTCAAAACATGTGTGAATGGGAGGTAGTACCCATGAACTGGAAAGTCAGTCTGGTGGTTCCTCTTATCAAGAGGATGTAAGGGAGAGTACCAATAAGCACAAATCACTCTTCCCAGCATACCTGGTATAGTCTATGCTAAGGTCATGGGAAAGAGAGCTTAGGCAGTTGGAGAAGTCAGTCAGGATGTAGTGCAGCTTCATGAAAGGCATGAAAGACATCATGAATCAGTTCTACACCATCAGATTCTCTAGTGACATTGGGAGGATGCCAAAGAGGTGTACATGTCATTTGTGGATCTCCTAAAGATGAATGACTGTGTTTTGTGGGGAATAAGGAAGGAGTACAAGACTAATGGCCAGTTATTACAGGCCATTCAACCCCTATAGAGTGATTGTAAGAGATGCACTGTAGTTAGCAGGATGACTTCAACCTCTTTCTCAGTATGTGTTGAACTCTGCCAGAGTTGCATTCTCTTTCCTTTTCCTGCTCCCTGCATAAATGCATATTATTTTTGGGAGCAGCCTGGGCCTGAGGAGGTCAATTATTAGAGGTGTCAAGGCAGAGATACTTCTGAATGCACTACAGCCAAAATGGGATCCAGTTCAGTGCTTTTTAAGTCAAGTGACCCCAATTGGAACAAGTGAGGAAGTTTAATTATCTTGAGCTCTGGATCTGGAGTTATGGATGATATATAAATAAGACCAACAATTGCATCTTTAGGGCTTCCATAGTTTTTCAAGAACTCTGGAACATTGTGGTTGCTAAATTGGACACTACAAAATAGGTGAAACTTTCAATTTACAGAAGTGCATAAGTACCTCATCTATGATCATGAACTTTGAGTAATGACCAAAAGAACCAGATTGTAGATACAAGTCACTGAAATGAGGTTCCTAGATTGGGAGGCCAGTATCATGCATTGTAACAGGATGAGGAGTGTCACTGTGTATGAAAACCTCTGCCTTGAACAACTACTACTTCAGATTGAGAGATCCTGAGTCCACTGGTTGGGACATATTTGCCACATAACTCAAATCCCTTAGTCCTTGAAGACCGGTCTATACCCTTCATGCAAGGAGGAGTGAATATGTTGCAGAACTCAGCATCACACCTGCAGAGTTCAAGTCTGTTGACCAGGTTCAGGAAAATTATATGACACTCCTGGGCCTGTTTGAACCATATTCCATCATAGTGGGATAGGTGAAAATGAAATTAAATATAATAATAGAAAAGAGAAGTTTGAAAGAAGTACAGTAAAAATGAAAAAAGAACTACTTTCTCAAATTTAAGATATTTGATGGTATGCACATGTGCTTCATTTCTTGTGGTTGTGGCTTTTACTTCAAATGAATATTAAAGCACTATAAAAGGTACTGAGAAACTACTCTCTATTCTTATCATGATTACCTGTAAATGTTATTAGAAAGCAAATGTTGTAAATGAATAAGAAACATTTTAAAATAATATAACATGCTAATCAGAAAAACATACTCCTTAAGAGTGAGAAGAGAAGCCTGTTTTGTTACAGCTGCAGAGCTCAACTCCTCTATGCTGCTGATGGATGGAGAACTGGAAGGAAAAAAAGGGAAAGAGAAATCCTCACCATGATAATCTCATCTATACCATGAAGATACAGGGTGTTCGAAAAGTCTGTGTGCAGTAGAATTAATTTATTTTGTTGCATGTATTTAATATTGTACTGCATATCACATGTATTGCATCATCAAAGACATGAATTTCCACTCAATACTTCATCAAATATTAGCACCATCCCCAATTCACATAATTTATTGTCTGTAATTCCTAGCTACAGTGAGGCCTCCTACATCATGTCGTGAATTCTACTGCACAGTGACTTTTTGAACACCCTGTATATCCACAAGGTGTCCCACATGCCACCATATATCAGACATCACTTCAAATATTCTTAGTTCTTTCAGCATTCATCATAAATCAAAGCATTATTGCATTTTGGGATGTGTGAGAATTTTTGAGCATTAGAAGCAGTCCAATACATTTAAAAATTACAAACTGACTTCATGTTAACCAAGCAAAGAAACTATTAAATAGAGTCTATCTCATCAACAAATAAATTTGCAAAAAAATGGAACAAAAGCAGAAGAAAAAACAAAACTGACAAGAAGCCATCATGAAACCAAATAGCAGCCATTTTTCATGATCTGGATGACCTAAAATTAGTCATTTGAATTTTCATGACAGTGAAAGCGTAAATGATTGATTTGGAATTGGTTGAAAAAGTTAATGATGCTTGTCTGATCTGCTGGGGTACCACTATAAAAAATGGTGGCAACAACATAAAAAAATAGCTGCCATTAGCAGCAAAAGTTTTTTTTCATGTTCTAGCCAGTTTTTGTTTAAATACTTGTGAATGCCTAGGTCTAGGAGAGACATGGATCATGAAATGATTTTCTTGAATTTTTGTTTTTGTTTGCTTTTTGTCTTGCTTTTTGTTTGATGAAATTAAAATCAGTGCTTTATTTTTCAGCTCAATTCATGTACATCTTGTAAAAGTAAGAGTTGTTCAAAGAAATGTTCAGATAAAAAAGTTTATCCCTTTCCTTCAAAGATGTAACATTTATTGATACATAAGTAATGCATAAGGAACCAAACATTTCTCAAAGTGTTACTTGACACATGGGACACCCATACAATGAAGAACTGCATTCATAATAATATTTTCATTTTCATCCAGTCTATGACTCATTTCATTCAAAATCACTGACTCATGCCCTTATCATTACCATATCAGTAAGTCTAGAAGCTAGGAACATTGCAAAACATATCAATGGGACATCCATACAATGGATTCTCAAATTAAATCATGGTTGGATGATTTATATTTCCAAAAATTTATTTCAATTTATTTCACTTGAAAGCCATAATCCCAAATACATGACAGAGAATACAAGCTTAAAGTAAAACCTCCAAAATATACATAACAATCATAACCCTTTAACTGCTGTGTATTAGATGTATTTATTCCACGTTGATAAATTCTGATCATATTTGATAATTTTTTTTTATATTAACATATTCGTGTTTTTGCTTTCCATATGTGCTGGTTTTGATAAACAGAGTGGATTAACACTAGAAGGACCAGAGTGGTCAATTTGACCGCTGCATTAAAAGTGGTATAAAACTATTATTCAATAACATTTTATTTGCTTTTTCCTGATGTTCTTTGACATGTTGAAAGTGTTAAAATGTTCAGAATGTCAATATTAGATAAGAAAAGTAAAACTGAAGAGGCCCTTAGTTGCCAAACAAGCAGAGTAAAGTGCATTAAAAATCAGCAAGCAGTCAAAATGATTTTCTTGGTACTTCTAGTGTTAAGCAAAAAGTTTCTGGAAATATGCTTCCCTGAAAAAAAGTGCCTGGAGGGTAAACCTGAAAAGTAAAAAATTTTTTTAAATCAATACCCAGAGAACCACAAATTCCCACATACCCCCAACAAATGTGCTCCCAGTGTATGTACCTCCAAATTCTGCTTTTTTCTGAACTCAGCTTTCCAATCACTATGTATGTACCAAGTTTCAGGCTTCTACCATATCTAGAACATGATTAGAGTTAACTTCAGTCGCTCAGTCAGTCACAATCGTCTATATACAAGGTTGGCCAAAAAAAGTAAGACACTCAAAATTTCACTATAAAATCCATATATAAATTGACTTATAAATTCAATGGAACATTGTCTAACATGTTCTTCAAGACCTGTCAAGTTTTTATGCACCTTTGGCCATCCACTCTTGAGTTACAGCAGATATTGTTGAAACTGTCAAAATTCTGAGGGAAGAGGCATGTGACTGTCATTGTGAGACATGAATCCAGATTTGATTTTTATGATGATCATCACTATGGACAGATCATTGTGAACACTTGGCAGTATTTTGTCAAATGGAAATTTTTCACCATCTGAAAATTTAATGCATGTGCATGAATTTTCAGGCATTCTCATGCAAATGTGAATTTGTGCCTTGAAACAGCAGTCACATGCCTTGACCATTTCAACTAGATCTGCCATAACTCAAGAATGGGCGGTTGCAGGTGCATGACATTTTAATAGCTCTTGGCGAACATATTAGGTGACATTCCTTTCAATTTTTGAGTCAATCCCTAAAAAACATGGACTTCATAGCAAAATTTTGAATGGCTTATTTTTTTGGCCAACCCTGTATATTAGATACACATACATTTGATATTTTCACTAAGACTTGCATTCACTTGCTGAAGACTTCTTGCAAAATGCAGATGGACCAGATATCACCCAGAAGCATATACATGTGAAAGGTGACATTTCTTGTCCAAGTGGTTTATAGAAACTTATAGAAACTTCTGTGCAAAAAATCAGCTCAATTGGAGCATATTTAAAGGTTGCTCAAAGGGTGTTTAGTTTTTGCCTATATAGTTCTGGCAGCATGGTGTGGAAACTAGATTCCTCTCATGTTTTATGAGTATTAGCTCCTCATTTGGGGGGGGGTTCACAGTTGTCAACTGTTATTGTTGCTTAGTTTCTTCTGATCCAGTGTTGATTTTTTGCTTGTTTTGAAATCTTTTTGATGCTGCTGAGCAACTTGGAGAATGCATTACTTCTGTTCTTCATATTTGGTGGTGATTTGGTTTTAGTCAATGATCGACTTCTTTTCCCATTCAGCATAATCATTGACAACCCTTCAAACTTTTTGTTTCTAACAGCACTCAGTACTGTTAAATGTAATCCATGAAGGTTCAATTAAAAACATCATCAGTATTGAGTGCAATGGATAATGACATTGAAAGTGGGGACATGAAATCTCTCATTTGTTTTGTTTTTAGATCATCAACATCAGTCCATTTCAAGCTTCTTGTTTTTTTCTATTTTATTTTTTTTTTCAAAATGATTATTTATTTTCTTTTGATAGCATATTATTTTTCTTTGCATCTGTCACTTTGAGAATAAGCACAATGCTACTAATGGTTAATTCAGGTACCATATATGATGCTTCATGGCCCTTATGGCAACCTTGTCAACCTTCTCATTCTCTGATTTGTATCTCTCAGGTCTCCAGCATGTTGAGATCATTAATTGATGCTGATGCAGCATCTAAGCACAAATATCTAGCTTTCATGTAAATTAATGGCATTTTGTTTCAAAACCTCTCAAATAGTTTCTGTTGCACTTTCATAATTTCTTTTGATTGTTGGAGGTAAAAAATAGTTTAAGCATTTTTAAATTTGAAGGCAATTTATCTCCAGGAACCTCTCTCAAATGCTGTCCAAGGAGCCATACTTCCGAATTACTTCAGGTCTTTGGAACCCTGCCACTTCTTTTTTTCACTCATTTTGCAGTAAGAAAAGAAGTGGCGAAAAAGAAAAATTTCCATGAAACAATATTGCATAAGCAAAAAAATCAATGATACATTATAGATAATTGGTGACATTACAGATAGTAGGTTTCCTATAAGAGTGATCACCATGAAGTTCATTGAGCTACCTCTAAACATCAACCAATTGAGTTGAAACATTTCATGCAATTTTCTTCTAGGATATGTACAAGAATGGGAGAATAAGACTTGGATGTAAAAAAAAAAATTGTTTTGGACCACCCTAATGCATACAGGGTGTTCTGAAATTTTCTTGAAATTTTCTTATCCACAAAAAGTAAGATTAAGATGTGACTAATGGGAATACTTTGACTTCTTTGCTTTCCAAATAGCCAAGAATACCCCAGGAACCAACTCCTGCTTTTTATGACTTTGTTGAGCTGTCTATCATGCCATCCCATATATGCAAGCCATAGTGGACATGAATGGTGGTCACATTGAGCATATGCATGACCTCTGCTGGCCACTGTCATTGACCATGGAAATGTATTCCCTATGGTCTCAAAGATGTGTCCACCAAATATTACTGCTTTACAATGAATAGTATTCAAGTTACAGATTATTGAAAATGTCAAGAATCTTTGTAAGAACCCTGTACACATACTACAAGTTGTAATAGTGTCTGGAATTTGTTAAATTCATTTTCCTTCCTCTCTAAAAGTTAAACCCGAGTTGAAAGGATGTAAAGGGTCTCACCGTTCCTCCCGTGCGTGATAGAGGTAGGAGTCAGATGAGGCAGGTCGGGAAACATCCCGTTCAGAGGACTGTAGGCCAAAAGGGCGCAGTCGTGCTGAAGGTGACCCACCTGGAGACACATCTGCATCAGCATGCAAGGAATGTCGTGCAAGTGTTGCCACAGCTGCTGCCATTGCTGTCTCCCCAAACTCCTCCAAAGATTCCTGCAAATATCCATTTCATATTGAAAAGGGATGTTCAAACAAGGATTGTCTATCACAAATTTATCCAGCTCTAATGAATATGATGTTTTTAGAAAACCTTTGAGGAATTATACCTATAAATATATTCTGCAGAATTCAATACTGTTAAGCTTTCTTTGGAAAAACAATTACTTTCAAAATGTCTTACTGGATATATGTAGATGCCTAGAAAACTGCATGATAGCATGATTTCATAAAGTTTTTTGCTGTCATTATACACTAGCAAGCAAAATAAATGTTTCAGGGTAATGCAGGGTTTGTCCACATAGTAGGAGCTGTGATGGCATTATATCTGCCCTTTGCTGAACAAGTCAATACCACCCGAACATTATTATTATTAACCCTTTCACTGCCAAGGACTTTTTGCCAATCCAACCTCTCCTTGCCTAGCATGGCAGTAGGAGGTTCATCATGCTGAACACGCCATATGGTGTGAACGGCAGTGAAAGGGTTAACATGCACTTGCCAACCTTTGAGGGCTGTGCTCATGTCATGTTGGGAAATAGCCTATTTAGGTTTTCTCCATGCCATTTGTAAAGTCCAGATTTCAATAGGTAAAAAGTGGGTTGATTCGACTGTGAATGTCATTCTGTCTCCAAAAAACAGAGATATCCCAAGGCTAATGCAGCAAGAAAGGGACTGGGTGATTAAAATGCTCCAAGAAGGTGTAAAGTAACAGGAAGTCTCACAGTGATTTGGATGTGCTCCTGTGGCCTATACTGGGTTGAATCAGCACTTCATAAAAACTGCCATATCACTTGATCATGAGAATCACTACATTCCTCAAGGTCAAGTGTTCTGCAAGTTTGTTCCAAGAGGGTGTAATGCCTGTTGTGTTACACTCTCTTGGAGCAATTTAATCACTCATTCCCTTTGCTGCATTTGTCTTGACACATCTCTGCTTTTTTTGGAGATGGTATGACTTGCACAGTGGAATCAACCCATTTTTTACCTATGGAAATCTGGACCTTATGTATGGCATGGAGAAAACCTAAATATGCATGTTTCCAACATGGCATGTGCACAGCACTCAAAGGTTGGCAAGTACAAGCTAATAATGTTCAAGCAGTGTTGACTTGTTCAGCTAAGGGAAGATATAATGTCATCACAACTTCTACAATGCAGGCGAGCCCTACCTTACCTTGTAATGTTTCTTTTGGACACTAGTATACATATGCTATATGTATTGAGTTTAGACTTTTACATGGTTTTTCTTTGATAATCCCAAGGCAAACTTTTTTCTACTTCAGCTTGTATAAACAAAGCATATTCACACAAAACAATAATGTGTCAGTTTGGAAATGCATCTTTGAGTTTCTGCAAAGAGACTATCTGAGAAAGTGGGACAAAATTGGAGAAAAGTGATCAATTGACTCAGATTTTGATGAAAATTAGCACATCTATTCCATTCACAAGTACTGAAAACCCCAATTCAAATGCTCACATGTCCAATGCATGTTACCTCTCAGAGGTCAAAAGTCAAGGTCACCAACAACCAGCTGCACTACAACCCTTTCTATGCCTGTCAATATAATCTTCCAACAATTACAAGTAGGTTATTCCTTAGTGCATACCATACAGAATGCCTCTGAGATTAACTTGGCTCGTGTTGTCAAGCTCAGCATTGACATGAAAATGGGCAATTTTTTACATCACCTGCTTCCAATGCACTAATACTTCATGTAACTTGGCACACTGGCTATCATACCCTCTTAGTTCTGAAAGAGCACTTTTTTCATTATAGATGTAGATCTGTCCAGGTAAGGATGTATGACACAGCATGCAGTAGATCAAGATTCAGTCCACTTCAGTAAGCAAGTACAATCCACATTACATTCTTGTTAAGCTTCTTCAATGATGTATCATTGGAGTGGTAACTTACAGACTCAATATTTTCACAAATGTAGTGCTTCAAGGCATAGTTTAAGACATGCTGGTCAATATTTTAAATATCACTGTGAAGAGGAACACTTGCTTTCTTTGTGTTGCTCCAGAGAGAGGGAAAATATAGACAGAGCACCATCATGGTCATGGTATTACAAGGGCAACATTTTCAGTTTACCCTGGAGTGTCTTAGCATTATCAAGGAAAAAGTATGGTTCAAAGCACATTTAAAGTTTCCAGGAGATGATTGAGATGATAGAGTACATGTGGAGACAAAGACACCTCCAAAGTTTTCAAGAATTCTAGAATTGCCTCAATTATTGTGGAATGGTTAAGGAGCATGCATGATACCTTCTTGAAATAGGGGTGTTAGGTATCGAAGAGGCTCTTTCTTTTTTTAGCCCACTACTAAGCTTAGCATTAACCGATCTGAAACTTACCATCAGCTTGTTAACCCATTGGCTTCGACATAAATTCCTACATTTGTGTCCACGAAAGTGTACATTTGGACAGCATTAATCAATTTGTGAATTTCAAAGAACTATGGAATGTACTGGTGCTTACATCTAGTGAGAAACTTATGCACTATTTGAGACATTAAACAGTAGAGATAGACTATGGAGCAGTTCTGTATGTCTAAAATTAGTTGCAGTTTGCCAAGTACAGAAGAGTTCTGTAGGTCCATGCCAATTGCTTAAATGGCATTTCAGGACAATGGTGAGCTTCAGCATCTATTTCTTCCCAATTACATTGATTCAGATTTAACCTAATGGCATTTCAAGTCTAGTAGCTGTATAGCATTGATGCCTACATCAGGTGACATTACCTTTTGCTCAAGGTCAGAGACAACTTCTGAAAAGGAGCTAGAACTGAAGGCATGAGAATATTACACTGTATTGTGATCCAGATGAATCACTACTCACATTTGCATTTTAAAGAATCTCATCATAGCAGTTTTATCAGCCAAAGGAAAGAACAGTGTTTTATAGACGATTTTACAGAAAAAAAGGTAGGGCTACTAGGAAATGTAAGTTTAAGTCTTGGCTTATCATGTTGCAAGGCATCATGAATGAGACAATGCTCCAACTGCAGTGATCACCATCTGTCTTGCAGGACAGCAGTGACTGCACAGAATCAACTTCAAATTGATTTGATTAACCAACTTGAATGTCTTTCATTCACCACATCCATGGAGGAATATAGGGGCTTGATTAAAATTCAATGAGTCAATTAAATAATCTGCGATTAAATAATTACTTTCTATTATCAATTGGCAGCCCATCACATTTTTCAAAATTCAAGTAAATCAACAATCTAGTTTTGACCTACTCTCTCAAAGACAGGTTCATAATACTTTTATGCAGCAGTCATTAGACAGGTGACAGAAAAATGATAACTGCATTCAAATTTTCCCCATGATGCCTGCTACTTCTTGAACAGTCTAGTTTTGTTAGAATAATACACAAAGGAAAAAGAGTGGATGAACCCAGAAATATTTCATCATCAATCTCACCTGGACAAGCATGGTCTTCTTACGGATGTTGGAGTATGCAGCAGTGACTGTGTCCTTAAGGTTCCCTGCTGCTGATTGGATGTTGTCACTCACTGTAGGGAAATTATCAGACACCACTGCTGTCACAGCATGCAGATTCTCTGATACCACAGTTGTCACTGCTTCTGCCATCCCTATGAGAGGATCCCAAGCATTGTCAGCTCATTCTTAAAAATTGTTTTATTTAATATTTCAAGACACATTATAAGTGAATAGGGACTCAAATAGACTGCAAACATCTTGTGTAAATGCATGTGGAGCATATACAAGTACACAAACATTCAATTTCTCCTATTTGACATAACATCACAATTATACTCCATACTGACTCAAAGGGAACTTTGTTTTGTAAGTCAGTCTACAATAAATCACATCCACATGATCAGTGAAAAACACACAAGATCTCAAACACAGTCACTAGTGTTTATCACAGCACAAAAACAGGGTTTACAAATTCTTGTTGATTTGAGTGTGACATTAAATTTTAAGAGGTTTTCTAGGAAATGATGGTGCAAAGGTGATATCAACCCAAAAGAAAACACAACTGAAGCCATAGAGGCATTTGGCATGATGCAACATAATACTCTGAATTGTAGATGTAAACTCCTGTCATGCCCTATATATTTGTGACTCCAGGTCCTGGCAGCTAGCTAGCAATTTGCTTTAGAATGCACCTAAGGGCAGGACCATACCAGATGAACAGCCATCAGATCAATGCATGAAAGGGTAGAAGGCTCATCAAGGTCTTGATGAGATTGATGAGATGGGGAGATGCATTCAACCTTCTCAATCAGTTGTGTTCTCAAGCTGTTGTGTTTTCTTGCACGTGAACTGTCATATGGGGATTGACCACTGATGTCAGTAATAATTCCAGTAGTTTGCTGCTGAATACAACTCTATGCTGGTTTCAAATCTCAGAGATTCATGATGATCCTTGTTGTTTCTGAAGTCAAGTATCATTTCTATTGTCTGGCTCCCATTTAGGATCAGGTAGTTCCTCCAACCCCAAAGGCAATAGTAGATACAGGTTTGTATACTTTGTCAGTTTCTGCATTCCCATTCAGAATACACATGGCAGTTCTATAGGGTACCTCGATTGGTGAAATCCTCACACTTAGACCAAAACAAGATAGTCCTGCCAGTAATGCGGGTGATGAGACCCTCAAGCTACATTCAGTGATTAAATTAAATTGTGCCTGGCAAGTTTTGGAAAGAATACAGCAAACATCAAAGCTGAAACTTCATGTTGTTTCAGTGGTTACTGACTGGCTGAATAGGCAGAAGTGGAGACTTTATGTTTAAATTCAATGAAAGCACTACTCCTGTCCTCAGATGAAATTTTTAGTCAATCCATACATGGTTGAAAAAAATGTTCAAACATCCTTTTGAATGACCTTGTACATCAATTTTTGCTACATGCCAGGAGCTTTTAAGAAGCTTTGTCATCCTGAATCTCCTTAATGGATTTGCTGGGGGCCTACATGGCCCTCAGATCTTCAGTGCTCATCACAGGCTCACTTCTCATGCCAGCTGAACTGGGAAGGAAAGCCATGATTAATTAATTAATTAATGATTAAGTTAAATAATTATTTCCATCTCTACATCAACCTATATGTAATGTGTCAAAAATTATTGCAGTGACTCATTAGTTGCAGTTGAAATTAATCTTGCCCAAATCCATGCAAAATAATTTATATTACAAAGTGTCTGAAGTAGGAACAAAATGTCTAACCTCTAATATCCTCAAGTGGGAGGGTGGCAAGGGGTTTCTCAAGGGCTTCCATGGGAAGGTCAATGACCTCAAAGGACATAAGGTCATCATCAGGTGTAGATACAGCTCCAGTGTCTTCTGCTGATGGATTCAATGCTTTCACAACCAATAAGCTGCAAAGACTGTCCTCCCAGCCCATCTGAAACCATAACCAAGCTTTCAGTCAGAATACTCATAATCAGGATAATAAATAAATAAACAGAGCCATACATTTTGTGCCATCAACCTTTTTCTTCTATTTTAATCAATTTGGATGACATGATTGAGGATAAGTCATGCCCATCCTCACTTCTCATCTTCCAGCACGTAAGCTAAGTTTGTTCATTTCAAATTTATTCACTTAGTGCAAATCAAATTGTCAACTTGAATTGGATATGTCTGATCTGATTGCTAACAATACAATGTTCTTTTAGGCATCACAATCAAACTGTAGAGTTTGTGGAGGCATACAATCTGAATGATCTCTAGATGAAGGTTGAAAAAGAGGCTCAATGAACTTTGATATGACATGAAAGTGAATAAAAAGAGGGACTGACATGCTTGGCAAAGGCACCAGGGATTTGTTCCCAGCAGGGCTGGAGATGTGAACGTAAGACCTTTGTGATGCACATCTTCAATTCAAGGTCCAAGTGAATCACATGGCTCAGTAGGGAAAGTACTCCCCAATATGACACACTTGTCTCTGAAAAGAATGACCACACTCATTTGGCTAATTAAGGACAGCACATAGTTTGGAGATATTTTTGTATTTGACAGAGTTTCAATTAAGTGCCTTCAGGTGTCTTCAGGTCTAACAGAGTATTGTAGAGTTATTGTTGACAATCCTGAAACATCTGCAGCCAGGCCAATATCCTAATGCCCCCACCCAATCTTTCTCAGCACTGCACAATCTTGTTGGGTCAATACCATCCCATGACCTCATCCTACTGGGTGATATTAACTGCAACCTATTTGATATTAGCACCCCAGGGTTCAGACACCTATCAGACATGTACAAGGCCCAAAATCTTGAACAATTCATACAATTACCTACAAGAATAACTGAAAAAACTTCTACCCTCATTGGCCACATCTACACCAACTGCCTACCCAGAATAAAACTGCCTACATTTTAAGGACATACAGTGAAACCTGTGAATTCGGCCACCTTGATATTGCGGCCACCTCCGATTTGCGGCCAGAAGTCCTCAGTCCCAATCGTTAGCTCCATAGGCTCAATGTTAAAATAACCTGTTTTATCCGGCCACCTGTCTAACGCAGCCAGCGGACAAGGATTTGCGGACCCTCTGTACTGGATACTCTTTAATCCAGCCAGAACACCGAACAGAAAAAGGTCACAGGTTCATTTTCTTCCTCTATTCATTTCCCTGCCTTTCAGTCAGAATTCGGAGAAAGAGTTATCTTATCTCCCTCCTCCTCCCTTTCTCCTCCCCCTCCCTAATCCCCATATTGGCCCGTCTCTTACCTGTCAAGGTCACATCTCCGCAGTTTCCACAGTGAGAGAACGATCTTAAGAGTGTTACTGAAAACGTTTGCTCAAAATCCTCATTTCTCGCATGGATGAATGCAATAAAGTCAGCAATCTTTCCAAGAAGCTCAGCATCATTGATGCTGTGTATGGACTCTCAGCAGCTTGGAATGCTGTAAGCAGTGAAACTATCCAAAAGTGCTTCAAGAATTGTGGTTTTTGGAGTCTGAACAAAATCATGCTGTCTGTTCCCGAGGACAACCAGGTCATTGACTTTCAATTGGAGGAAATGAACCTGCTCATGGAGATCTTCCCCAGTGACATGAATTCTGCTGACTTCCTGTCACTGGACGATTCCTTGCTAACTTGCGAGAGTTTTGAGCAAGGAGATTGAGAGACCAACGTTCTGCATCTTTTTGAACCTGCTATTGCTGAGACCAAACAGGAGGATGAGGAAGAAGCAGAGGATGGATCTGAGAAACTGCTCCCTGTTTTACAAGACCTTGGGGAAGCATTGAATGTCACGGAGAAGCTGAGGTGCTTTTTTGCAGAGAAAGGCATGCATGAGTCCGTAGAAGCAATCACGATGATTCAAGAATCTCTTCAGGAGCAAGTGTGGTTAAAATAAATGCACGCACATCAAATGAAGATTCAAGACTTCTTTACAAAGATATAATGGTCTCTAAATTTCTCTCTGCGTACATATTGTACTTGAAATCTGACAAAATCGGAATTATAGTACCTTTGGAGTAAAGAGTGTTCAATTTTCCTGTAAAACTGACTGATAACTGCTTCACTCGATTGGAAAAAGCGGAAAAAAAATTCCCCTCTTAAGAGCGGCCACCTGTCAAAACCGGCCAAGTTTTGAAACTCCCCCTCGTGGCCACATTACACAGGTTTCACTGTACCAGTCTGAACACAGTGCAAGTACTCTTAAAATGGCTTCAATAAAAGCAGACATATAAAGGTTACTTAAGAAGATACTTTTGATGCTTGGCTAACTTCAACTATAAGGTGTGAAATATAATTTGGATGTAGACAGACCTGTCATGAGGAGAATGTGAAGGAGCCTCGAGACCATATCAGGTGAAAGAGGCTGGCCCTGAAGGAAGTGGAGAAGACCCGGGAAACCTACATCTGACAGGCGCAGGTTCATCTTACTCTTTTCATACACCTTCTCTGTTTGCAACATCACTTCTACCAACTATGAAAAGATATGCACACCCATCCATTATGCCATGAACATTTCCAATACACTCATTGGTATCCATGAATAAATTCTTTGAGTCATGTGAGACCCATGCCATAAAAAAAAATAAACAACCATCACACATATAGAGGGTCTACTTCCTAAAGATATACAAATTATACCAGCTGTGTTATGTTTCACAACATGTGTAATGAACAGAAAATAGCAGAAAAGAGGTATTGAGCAATACCTTGACTACCTTAGTACTACAACCTGAATCAGACTCATCACTTTACATCAATTATTATTAACCATGTTGATGTACACACCATGTGGCCCTTCCAGATTATAAACAAGGAATAAATTTTGGTTTCCATATGTGATACCACTAATACACAAGACATAAAAGCAGGAATTTTTGTGCATCCTAACTGCTTGGAAAAATTCAAATGTGACTGTATGCACATGGTACTGAAAGTAGCCAAAGAAGACCTTTGCACCTTCAGGTAAAAACAAAAGCTAAGGCTGCTTACCCGAAGGACAAGTGCCTTGAAGGTGGTGGAGAAGCGCTTGTCAATGATGAGGGACCACAGTAATTCCACATTTTTTGGTTCATATAGAAGGAGAAAGATCTGGTCCTTGCACATCTTGTTCTCCAAGTGCATTATTAACATGTTCACCACATCTGTCAGCTATCAGGATAAAAGTTACACATATGGGATTAAATAAACCCAAGAAGTGAAAGTAGAAAATAAAGACAAAACAATATACTCTTATACTCAGTGTCATAACAACCCTATAATGCATGAATTATGAAAGATGTGTTGAAAATATTTGAAATCAAGTGTTTTGCCATTATTTTGGGTCCAATAAAACAAAAATGCAGTGCAATAGTCCAGTGTGGTTATAGTATAGTAAATTTACAAATGTTGCAAAAATGCAACACCATTCAATTGCTGCAATTCTTTGTTGTACTGGCATTGCCACACGTGATACAAGGTACCTGAAAGATACGAGGATGAACACTTCATAAGCTGAATGAAGAAATTCTTAGTTCTCAAGGAAAGTAGTGAAGGAGTTTTGCTTTTTAGTGAAACACATGTGGATCATGCATTTTTTGTACATCACTGTGATGATTCCTGGACATCTGAGAAACTTACAGCAACCTGTCATTGATCTCCAGCATGCCCTAATTATTTTGATCTGTCAATTTTTTGTAGACTGAAAAGCCATTGAACAGACTGCATTGTATGCAAGCATGGGTTTGTCTGTGTTGATAATAAACATGGTGTTGCATATTTGCAACTTGTCAAAAAGCCTTGCTAAATACCTATAAAATGTAATTTTAGGGGAGCAACTTCAATTCATTACATGAACTACATAAAATATAAAAATTAAAAATTTTTCTTGCTTGAACACCTGGTCATGCATGTAATCACAATTTGCTTATACTGTATTACCACATGCACAAACACAATGCATCTGCTGCTTCATCAAGCAATTCAATTTTTGGATAATCATTGCTAGGTGCAAGCATTTGTTTGCAGGGTGAAGAGGGATGTTGTGTGAATATAATGCATTTTAGACATCTCCAGTAGATAGAGTGATCCCAGTGAGACCAAAACCTTAATGTTACAAATTTGCAACTATATGCATAATAGTAGGGCTGTCAATTTTATTTGATTAATCGATTAAAATATTAATCGCAATCCACAAAATTAGTCAAAATTAATCCAATTTTAATTGACCCCAAGTCTTCCCCTGAATGCCTCATTTTCTCCTTATAATTTGACTGTGTAGTTCATAATTTTGCAAAATAATAAAAAACTAATGCTTTATCGAGGGAATGAAATTTAATGATGACTTATAGAAGGTAGTCATTTTTGCACTGCTTGCTCTTCCTCAAAAATGACTTACTATTTTTGGGGCAAGGGAGCATAAAAACAAAGCCATAGCTTTCAGACTATAAAAAAAAAACGTTTCCTGACCCATATGCATCCACAAGCATACTGGTACACATCCCATATAGCCTTGCAGGCCTCACGCATCAGAAGATGCATGGTAGCAGCAGCCTACAACATGAATGGGGAAAATAAAATTGTAATGAAGGAGCTGAAAGAGGAGGTGCAGAAGGAATAGAGGATAGAGACAGGGACATGGGACAGGAGAGGCAGGGGAAGGGGTAAAGACTGGGGAATGAGAGGCGTACATTAAAGTGCATCAGCAAAGGTCTGTGGGAGCCCCCAGGAAGTAACCAGGAGAAAGGGAAAGCTGTGAGCAAATGAGAGATGAGGAAATGAAAGTGTGGAACCTTCTCCTATTCCTCGCTTTTCCAACTCTTCTATCCTGTATTGCCTATGTATTGATAATGAATCTTTAAATCTCTGCGTGAGGAAGTGTCACTGTAAACCTCTAATAATTTAGGCTACATTTTTGCATCCTTCTGGCATGGGTTGGCCAAATGGCAAAGAGTCTCAGTGTGCTTCTTTGCTTGCATTTCATTATTCATCTGGCTAAGTTTTAATTATTCTCTCTCTGATTGGAATGCATCACGTTAGTTTTACAGCTCGTCCAGTCCCAGAAAGGACCAGTCAGCATGGACCCATAATGGGGTGACATTTCTTATAACTTGTAAAAAAACCTGTCAAAGCCCAGCAGGAGACCAAACTGAGTCACAAAAAGGGCCACAAAGGTGGACTTGGAAGCTTAGTCTATGAGAAGTTACATGCTGAGTGATGTGTATCTCAGGTTAGGGTGGCCAGCCCTCTTCCCTGCTTGGATCAGGATGCCACTGAATCTGCCCTTAGGCTGTAGGCATGAATGACATTTGCAGGAGAGGGAAGGAAGGGGTTGAGGGCTTGATTATGATGAACGAGCTACTTGGGCTTCTTTGTGGATTAAAAGTGGTTCTTTCTGGGCCTGGACATGCTGTACTAGTGTATGTATGGATGGTAACTGCTATGTTAATGACTGCATTGCCCTGAGTGACTTCCTGAGGCTCACCTAGATGTTGGACATGACACAAGTAGAATCATGCCCATTGCCTAGGACATGATTCAAGGAAGAAACATAGGAATCTATTACAATTTGATTAATCAGCTGATTAATCGATTAAATGGCTCATGATTAATCTATTAAGTTTTTTAATCAATTTACAGCCCCATATAATAGGGCAAAAAGAACAAAAAAACAATTGCCATGTAATTGAACTCAATGTGTGAAAAACAACAATCTGGATGTAGGATCACATTCACCCAAAGAAGTTTTTCAGTTTTGGCCAGGGCAGGATGTTCGAACAGTTTAGAGTAAACGTTAAAGGAAAGTTGATTTTCCTGACTTCCATATGTGAAATTGTTTTAATTTTGGTTGTTCTAATTGTATCAGTTTGACTTAGAGATTTACATTCCAACCCAATGTGTCCAGTGCTCATGACAAAGGGAAGTGAAAGTGAAAACACACCACATGTTCCTCTTTGATGACCAGGAGGAAGCGAAGAAGGCCAGAGGATTCAAAATAGTTAGCATCCTTGGAGATGAAATACTTGATCAAGCCCAGCAATGCTGCCCTCACTGTTTTGCACTCCTCTCCATTCAGGCTCTCACATTGCCTGCAAAATCCCATCATGATTCCTGCCTCATAAAATTTAAAAAATATTGGGTATACTTAAAAGCCAAACCATCTCAATAAAGAGCAAAATTGCCAGTCAGGGACCTTAAAGAAAAGTTGAATGAAATGAAATGTTGTCATACAAGGGTGCAATGACCCTGACACTGTTCAACTACACTCAATAAAATATGAAAAAGAGAACCATACTTAAAAATATGAAAACTTACAAGAAGCAACTAATGGCAATTTTGCCAACATAGGACTACAGTATGCAAAATGACTTCATCAAGCAATAATAGAGTAGATCTGGAATATTTCCTAGGCTGACCGATAATGTTGGCGGATGACGTCAAGGAGGAACTGGACACCAAACTTGCGACGGAAGAAGGAGCGATCCTCATGGATGATGCGACAGAGGCTCTGGATGTGTCCAATGCGGACAGGGAACTGGGAGTGAGCCCAGATGCGGAAGTCAAAAAGAATGTGTTGGTAGAAGGCTTGCAGAAGTCCTGAGCACTGGATGGAGCGCAGGTACTCCAGCATCGAGTCCATTGCCATCAGCAACGGCACATCCACCACTGAGGGTGGTAGCTGAAGCACAAAAATAAAAAATAAAGTATGAAAATAAGTAAATAACTGGCTCTTGGGGCTCAAGCATGAAAATTCAGCCAGTTTCTTACTTGAATCTAAATTTTGCCAAATGTATGTTCCTGCTCTCATTTTTTATTTGCAACATTCCATTCTGTAAGAGAAACAAAAAGTGGGAAACTGTCTTTGTTTTCCAATGACCTAAGGACTCAGTCCTGGGTAAGGCTCTTGCTTTTTTTCCTCTCAAGATCTGCTGGTTAATGGTTTGAGGTCTGCTATTTCATGCAACATATTCTTGTCAATGGCAGTAGAAAAAATTTTTTGAAAATTGGAAAAACTTTTAAAAAATTTTATGAAAACTGTTTTAAAATTTTCCCTGAAGTAAAATATGACATAAAATGAACTCCCATAGAAATTAAAATATGAAATTAAAAACTAAATAAAACATTTTCCCTCATTCTTTTATTACAAACTTTAAATTCATCTACCTCCTGATCTAATTTGGCACCTCATGCCTAGAGGATCACTGGGCAAGTGTGTGCTTTCACATTTCAATCCTGTCTTCCTTAGGGGATTTTTCTGAGCAATTGCAAATGGGAAAACCCAAGTTACCAGAATGAAAATGGTTCCTTTGGCAGTTCCCAAGATACCATCAAGGGTTCTCAGTTTTCTAGCACCAAACATTCACTCAAATTTAAATTAGATTAATTACATGTAAAATGGAGGCAATATATATTAACATAGTACAATGCAATGCATATTTGAGAATTCTTTATACAACTACTGAAAACTCCTTGAAAAATCTCCAATATATTGGATCAAGGGTCTCATTGCAATGACACAATGATGGACAGTCTTCTGCATGCATGTGAGCCAACCTGGAATTTTCCAGCAGAATTCATCAGTTCTGAACCATGACTGAAAAGGACAAACCTTGAGCATGAGGAATCCGATAACTGGGATGATGTGATTGCAGCCAAGCTGCTCTTGGGAAACACAATTCCCAACAATCATGTTCCTCAGCACAATGAAGAATGCTCCTGCCTGGTTTTCATGCAGCTGCCAATCTGTATTTTGGATAAATGAAGAAAGTTCTAAATACTTTTCTATGCATGTCCTTCCATACATTGACTGCAATTTGTGGAATCAAGGATCATTCCTAATCATACCAGGCACAACAGTCACAAATGACCCCATGGAACAACAACCTTAGTAGTCATGGTGTCAATGACAGCATGCCCACAGGCCAACCAAAAAATACTTGACCCAAGGACCAAAGGCTTCACCCCTGCATCATACCGAAAACCACTCAATCTGGATGGTGTGAACATAGAAAGAGTAGAATGCTTCTTCCATGAATCCATTAATATGTACAGTTCTTTTTCCACCTCTTTTTCATAGCTCTGCTCCTTTGACCTGCTCATAACCCCTTCTTGTTCTTCCCTGTCACCATTATTCCGAGTCAACTTCATTCCAGCCTATGTTTTTATTATCAGGCATCCCTTCAATGTTAATATAGTTTGTTGTCATTGTTATTCTATTGCCCCCTGAGTGCTATTTTTAAAGGTATTCTCAGAAAGTATGGAAATAATAGGAAAAAATTCATGGCTGAAGGAAGATCATCCCATGTCAAATCAACACACTTGAAGGACATTTTTCAAGCAAAATCCTCTGATTTTTATGAAACTTTAGTAAAGTATATTGTAGTATTAGAAGTTTATTGCATGAGAAACAGTCCCACACCAAATATTGGATTCATAGACTGCCTGGGTTCTCAGATACAAGGTCATAAAAATTCAGATCAAAATGTCATCTGGTTGTACCCTGATACAATCTTTCCCTTGTAACTTCTGTCCTAATTGAGCTGCAGAGCTTGTCTTTGGCTCTCTCTTATTTTATAGCTTTTTTCAATCTATTTTCATAGGCCTGAATATGTTTTGGTAAAGGGCTGAAAGCTTACTTTGAATGAGGGTCTTAAGTCATGCTAATGATCTATGACCTAACATTGCCAAATACAATTAAGCTTCAAATTTGTTTTGAGAAAAAATTGGCAGGTTTTTAGGCATAGCATGAGGCTAGATTTGTATCAGATCTTACCTTGGGCTCGTCTAGAAGTTCTAGAGAGAAGAGCAAATAAGTATACCACTTGTAGCAGCTAACATCTGAGCAGTCGGTATGCCTTCAAGTTTAATTAAATGCATAGTGCTGAATACCCAATGAAGTCAGAAAAATCAACATAACCACACAGAACCATATCTTATGATTTTCTTGAAGAATTCTATCTATTTTCAAGCAGAATGACTTCCATTTAATTTTTAAAGAGCCACCCATTTATTTCTCAGACTGCAGTGTCATCATTCCATTTCCAAATGCAGAGATGCACAGACTTAACCATTTTGACATCATCCTGAGTATGTACTTGTCATGCAACTGCATACTTGCCTGTGTTATTCCAAGTGTGAAGGAACTGAAGATACAAGGGGTGTTTGAAAAGGCTGTACAAACATCAAATAAAAACTAAATCAATGTTTTCATAGCTACCAAATTTTTGACACAAAAAACATTACACATCTCTTCACCGCATTATCTTTTGTGGAAGTCAACATAACAAAACCAAAATTGCAGTGCTAAGAGTTCACCTCTGGTTCTGTTTTATGATATAATTATTATTTAGCTCTCATCATCTCCACATGTCAAAAATGAAAGTTGAATATTTATTTTTGTGAATAATGAGAACTTTGACCTGATTTTTTATGATGTGGAGGTCCAGATAAAAATATGTCTCATGCCATATGAAAGAGCATTCCAAGATCTATGTGAAAACATGAGTTTCATTATTATAGTCACAAATTGAAAAGTTATGAATTTTCTTCTGTGTTTTTTTTACTCAAATTAAAGGAGCATGATAGTATGAGACAAGCACAAGGGCAAAATTTATCTGGCTGGGATAAAAATGAGGGATGAACTGGATGTATGGATGCAAATGAAACAACTGCAACACTAGTAAGGGTGCAATAAGTCCAGCTGCCACTTTTCATGAGAGGCAATATTGAACAGAGCCAAGGCCACAAATGACCAACTTTAGAAAATTCATAACTTTTCAATATGTGACAATAATAATGAAACTTATGTTTTACCATTTCAGACCTTTCATATGAGGCATAACACGCATTTCTAGCTGACGTAGTTTGAGAAGTATGAGATTTGTCTGAGGGGTCACACATGCCTGAAAACCAAAACTTTTCAAATGCATATCTTGTGTACCAATGGGGAAGAAAAATAAAAATTTCAGATTTTGAGGTTTCATGGAAGACCTGTTAGTAATGAATTTTTCCAATTTTTTCTGAGATGGTTGAGCATCACCCACCTGGTCAGTTTGAATGAAATGGCCCTAATGAGAGTACATGGTGTCCCAAAATATTTTTGGAGAATAAGGTACTGCACCTACATCTTGGGTTCAGTTTAGAATTTTTAGCTTAGGTCATGAACTGGCAGGTCAAGTTTTCCTCATCTTCTTGTACTGAAGATGATTGGTTTCACAAAGTAGGATGAGTTACCAGAGATAGAGCTGGAAGGGAGGATCTCCCAGTCTCCCTCATGGCTGCTATGAGACTTCTGGCCACTGGATGGTGAGACAAGGCTTAGATCCACTCCAACACACTGATCAAGCTTCTCTAGCAGTGGCAAGAGGATCTGCACACTGCCAATGCACTGCAATGAATTCTGAGGAAACAAAGCAAAACAAAAACCCAGATGACCCCAGACCCCAGATGAATAATCAAGATACAACAAAATATGACATTTTCCAAAATTACTGGGTTAGGTCATTATCACTCCCAAGTGACTATTACTAAAGAAAAGTTACTGTATTACTAAAAAAAATTGATACATCCATTGTTTCTTGTAAGAAATCCCATGAGAAAGAATACTCCTAGGTCACAAAGGATGAAAAGGGCTTGCAGTGCCATGATAGTACAGTAAGTCCTCGACTTACATCGTGGATGTGTTCCTGGAGAATACTATGTAAAACAAAACCTATTTTCCCACTGACTAAATTATATATAGGAAGTCCTTGACTCACGACATTATATTGGAATGATGTAACATATATGAAAATTTGTTCCCTAATATGTTAGCTAGGATATATTGAAACATCGAAAATTGGAACAACGTAAATCAAGGACTTCATGCATCAATGATCTGACAGTGAACAACACATGCAAAAGGTGTTCCCAGCTCAAGGCATTTCCAATTATAATAAATTGCTCTATTTCTTTCATAGATGGTGACAGACATATTGGAAGTTGATGCACCGAGTTTTATCATGATGACAATTTTGCTAATCCTTCAGCTGTCATTTGCACTACATGGCACATTTGGCATGATGTCATGCTTGGCAAGGAGGGATAGGAAAGGCATTTTAACCCTCAGCAGTCAAAGGGTTAATACTTTGAGCCCTAGCAATTTGAATGCACTATGGGCATAGGACACCATATGATGGCTGCAGGGCTCAAAGTCTTAATGTGTTATCAATGTGACCTTTGAATTTCTCACCCTGGAGGAGGATGTCTGGCAGTAGATCCTTGAGCACCAACGGAGATGGACTTACTGGCATGGAGGGGGCAGATCTGCAGCAAGATTACCCCCTCCAGGGTAGAGAAAGAAATTGTTGCCCTTGTCATTTTTCTTTCACAATATATTTGTAAGACTCCCTCAGATAGTAATCAAATGTATACTAAAATAGTCAGTCACAATGAATTATGATCAAACTTTGCTTCTCAACCATCAATGTATCAATCACCACCAGTAAATAGAAAGAACAGTGTATTATGCCTGGAGGTGCTTTGGGCTGGAAACTTCTTGAATGGCCTTCATAAAGTGTCAACTTTCTGAAAGTCTGACATCTGACCATCAATCATCCAAATGTTCAGTCATTTGATAATTATAAACACTAGAATACCAGCCCAAGTACAGATCTGCCATTCTACTGGTTACTACAGACACTAATATCCCACTGTAGTCATAGATGTCACTTTATAACAAATGCTACCACCCAAATATCATCAGTGAAGACTGATTGGTGCTCAAAACAAAGCAGCATAGAGGTCCACACACAGAATAGATAACTATGACAACTATACACAGATGGAAAAAATCACATTTATTGCAGGCAAACACAAATTTACCCATAATATAGATGAGAAAATTGGAACTTTACAGGATAGATTTTCTATAAATGTCAACAGTTGGTGTTATACTTGGAAAATGTGAATCTTTCCCAATAATATGGAAAATCAGCACAGGCAACAAGAGGAGAAATTTAAAACATTATACAGGGTGTTTCAAAAGTAACTGCAGTAGAGATATAAGCAGTATTGTACAGAAAGATATGTCATTTATAAAAAATGTATTTATTTTTAGTGATAACCTACAATAAAAACACCATAAAAAACATGAGGGAGAAGACTTCATTTTGAACTGAAATCATCGACAGTTTGACAGCTAATTCAAAGAGATTGCTGAAAATGTGAATGGTTATTTCATTTCAATGCAGTTACTTATGAAAAACCCTGTCCAATATGCTGTTGAGGTAATTGCAGTCAGAATGAATATTAAAAAAAATAAAAAGTATGGTATGTAGCTATGTTGCTGTATATATTATGTAAAATGTTGGGAGGTTTTTGACATTTTTATTTATTGTCTGAACATAACTGGTTTTGGTTGGTTGTGAAAATTTATATTCTAATGTACCAATAAAATATCCAACCCAAAAGCAAATTCTTTATGACTCTTACTATTGCACTGGAAAAAAGAAAGAAGTCAAGATTGCCTGAAATTGCCCTATCTGCAACAACCTCCTCTGTTTGGTATGAAAAAATGTTATTTAGAGAGAGGCACTCAACAGAAAGGTAACCCAGCAGAGAAAGAGCAAAAACAAAAGTTCTGAGACCTTGATGGCTGAGAGATGCCAGATGTGGGCCTGAGAAGCAAGGAATGAAGATGAGAAGGCACTGGATGCAGGCGCCAGGTTAGGGCAGATGCCTTTTGTTATTGTGCGTGGTTCAAAGTGGAACAAGACATGACTCTCCAATTCCACCACAGTTTCCACATGATAGGAGTTGACATCACTTGATAGTGAAGATTCACTCAGGAACACATTGGATGCATTAGGACCTTAAAAACAAAAAGACTAATAAACTAAGTTTTTGTGATGCAATAAACTGTGACTGCTCCACATTAAAAACCAAAATACTGAAAGGTTCTTTTGCAACCTTCTCAATTTCAATCATAGCAGCAAGAATGGAGAAGTAACAGAAATTATTGTGATTAAATCTTCCCACATAAAGCAAGTGTGCACCAAGTTTTGCAGAGAAGGTACATTTTCACAAATCTTCCCATTAAGCTTGTCAACACATAGTCCACCTTGAATTACTCTCCTTATAGTCCACCAATAGTCATTCTCTGCCCATTATATGACTTCATGATCCGATGAACTCCTCTCCTCATAATGCACCTTGAAATTACTTACAGGAAGATAGTTATCAGTTTGTCAATTACATTTCAGGGCATAGTGCTAAATATGGTTGAAAAAGGGGATTTTGTTTGATCTAAGGAGATGGTAGCAGCTTTTATCATCATCAGAAGTAATTCCCACACCTTCTCAATCCTTTATAACATCTGTTTTTTTTTTTAACCAATCAAAGCCCTGGCTCATGTACCAAGGCAAAAAGTGACTGACCCAGTCTCATATAATTGCCAATGCAGTTCCATAGTAGTTTTCTGGGTGGGAATTCAAAACTAGAATTCAACTTATGAAGATTCTTTCGAAAAAAAAAGTATTGATAGAAATTCTTCAAATTTGACAGGAATCAGCCCAAGTACATAAAAACCACACTAATTTAACCCTTGATTCAAGTGATGCACCAGTACCAATGATGACAATATTGTCTAACAAAGTCGAAGCAAAGATTTTGTGGGAATATGTCCTGACCTTGTGCATAGAGAGCCTTGGCTTGATTGTGGGTAAGGGGATCATGAAATACAAGAATGTATCCTAGCTGTGCAAACAAAGGCACAATTGGGCCCCAGAGAGGCTCCTCCACTCCTGCAGGATATACACGAACCTGTAATATGCAAAACTATTTTTTACTTCCACATAGATGTATAAAAAATACTATTGAAGAATCCTATGAAAGTTTCTCAGAATATCTGTTCAAAAGAGGACTCAACAAAAATCCTGACCATTTATAAAAATTGAGAAGAGACACAATTGCAATCTGTACTCCACAAGTGCCCTTATTAGACCTCTCTAAAGGTCTCAACAGGGAATCTCATATGCTACTTCATTCCATCAGTATATCCAAGATATGTTCCATTAAGGGGCAAAGTATGGCTTTTTGCATTCATATTTTGAAAGATCAAACCCTGTCAAATATGGAAGTGAAGTCATATATGAGGCACCCAACATTTTTTATATTCAACAGTTGTTTTAAATAAATATTTATACACACTCTTTGTAGCTCTTTTTAAATAGAAATTGCAAGAGATTTTCATTTTGATCAGAAATTCAGACATTGAAAATACTGTAAGCTGGCACTATTAGTATTATTTTGGTGGTCTGATGCAGGCTCAAGCTACAAGATGGGCCTATAGCACTCTTGCCTAAAGATATAACTTGGTCCAAGTGGCCACTCTAAGCTTATCCATTGGAAAACTTTCACCATGAAGAATCTTTACTGGGCCACATTCCATCCCAAAGCCCACCAGAGAGCTAGCACCAGACTATGGGCTTAGCTGGGTTCAAACCTGGATACTGGCCTTAGAATTCATGCTTGCTACCAAAAAAACCACACAGACTTCAACTGCAGTCAACTTCTTTATATTGACATGGAAGGTAGCATTTTGTATCTCACTGATGTCACAGGATGACTTTCAAGGCATGGGCAAAGTGTGCATTTACCATGCTGGAGTACAGGTGACAGAAAGTTTTGAGTAATACTCCTTTGTTACCTTCATCAAGTCAGTGTCATGACTTAGTTTTGCAGCATATTTCGAGACCTTGAAAGGTGCAGCAGAAGGCTGTTATCCAGAGAATATTAATATATGAGAAGAATGCAATTCTTACATGTTGAAGCCATATGATGGACTGGTGAGTGAAATTATTTTCTGGCCTAGGATACAATACCCTGATATTGTCAACTATATTGTTCTGTCATTAAACTTTGTAACTGGTGAGCAGATGAAGGCCTACAGAAGTTTAAAGGCTTCCAAATTCTTTGAGTAGGGATGGGTCCAAATAGTCACAGTGAAGCCTCTGTCAAGGGAAAACATCATGGTGTTGTCCAAGGTTATGCAGTCAGACTACTCCCATTAGTTAACATAGGCTAACCTGTAGGTAGGGTACCTATTTGCATTCAGAGGGAAGAGCCCAGGTTTATATGGCTTGCACACTGTATAAACTAAGCAGATTAACCTAACCTGTACACACCTGATAGGATAGTTTCTCATTAGGTCTCCAAGGCCAGTTTTGGCCCCAAACCCAAATTAGATTTTTAAAATCTGAATGGTAAGTATTTCATCACATCCAATTTAGGTTAACCCTTTCAGACCTGGCATCCATTCCAAAGGACAATGCATTTACATTGTGTCTATGGCAATTTCTTAGGATTCTCGTGACTTTGCGCTCCATATTATGCTACAATGGGTGCAATTATGCATGGTTAAGTTCTATCAGAGGCCTTCTTTCACCCATTAGTTTTGTAATCTTCAGTTATTTAATTAAATGCTTAATATATAATATATGGTATGATATGGTAAATTTATACAAAATATGAAAACTACATATAAAGCATGAAAATTTCAATTAAAATCACAAAAAAGCTCAAAAATGCCAAAAAGGATATTATTCTGATAGCAGCCTTAATTCAGGTCTGAAAGGGTTAAAAAAAAAAGTCCCAATGTTGGGTTAACTTCATTATCATGGAGTTAGGTCTAGTGTAACGCTGGCGTGGTTGCCTGTTTCTGCAAACAACCACCTGCACTGGGTCCGTTTCAGGCATTTGGAATAAGGCAACAAGAAGATAGGAAAATAAAGTTCCTCTATTCCAATATCACTTCTGGCGGTTCAAGTACCGGCAACAGGCGCTCGGCCATCTACAAAATCACTTAAACCCTATCAACAGGATGTGGCGCTCGGCCTTCTACATAAAATTCACTTAAGGCCTAACGCACTGAGGACTACATCGGCGCTCGGCCATCTACAAAGAATTCAACCAGTTGCTCGGCGCTCGGCCATCCACAAAGAATTCAAACAATTAGCCATACCGATGGAAATGCAGCAAAGAAGAGGACGGTCCTTTCGTGGGGGAATCCCAGATGCGGGAAACGAAGGAGGGTCAGATGCAATGGCAGAGAACGGGAGGGTCAGATGCGATGGCAGAGAACAGGAGGGTCAGATGCAACAGAGAACAGGAGGGTCAGATGCGATGGCAGAGAACGGAGGGTCAGATGCAACAGAGAACAGGAGGGTCAGATGCGATGGCAGAGAACGGGAGGGTCAGATGAGAACAGTCATGCCCGAATAGGGGACCAGCAAAAGCAATGATCCAAAAAGAGAACCGGAAGACGACTGCCCCGCCAACAGGACATCTTTCTGCGACGCAGATTGAAAAACAGGGATGCTTGACCCTATTTTGAAATGTTCACACGACTGCACGTGCAAACCTATTCAAAAGGAGTGACATTCAGCCTACAACACTGGAATGCACCCTCTGACCCTTGCGGCATCAGCTCATATGAAAACCCCGACAGGACGTCGTCTGCTAGAGGTGTTACAGTAGCCTTATGATTTGTCAAATGTTTTCTTGCTTGTTGCTTGTTACTTTTGCGATTTTATTTCATTTGAAGAATGTTTTCAATTTCACTGTGATAGATGATCTGATGATCATCTATCATCTATTGACCATGGAATATTTCTGAGGCAGGTGCAAACTATGGAGTAAGGGGAAATGTACTTTAAAAGTTTGTAAATACCTGAAGAACAGGCAACATATAATTACCAACAGTGCTTGCAAATTGATCCATTAACAACTGAGTGTGGGCACCTTAGAGTTCAGTGTAGTACCAGGAATGGAAAGAAAGGAGAAAGATAGTGCAAGGATGTTATGCATCATTTAGATGTCCCTAGGGCATCAAAGTGTTACAGATCCATTTCACTCCTCATTAGATAGCATGGTGCATCTATTTACATCCTACCAAGAAGGTGAAAGTCACTTCTATTGCAAATTGGAACCCCTTTAGTGTCTCTGATAACTGAAAACCTTGCAACCTTGACATCCTCACATCTCCATGACAAATGCAAAGATCTATTGGAGGGTGCAGTTAAGCAAAAATTTATTCGTCAAAAATCAAACTGTCAAAGAATTTACATGCACCTTATTCAGTACTAGTTGTTGTCAGACTTAATTCTTGTATAGTCGTATAGTGAAGTACAGTCTGCTGTGAAAGAAACCCTTGGTCGCAGTAGCACCATCAATATTATTTCCCATTCCTTAATGCAACCAAAGAAGGGAAGACAGAGTTCTCCATGCTCAAATCAAGATGAAAAAAGCTTTACTCTTAGAGGAATTGAGGGGAAATTCAAATGGAGCAAGCATATGAGATGAACCATGAAGAAACTTAAGGGAATGCCACACTGAAAGCTGCACTTTATGGCCTCTACTTACATCCAATGAAATTGATGATGGAACTGACACCTGCAGTACTAGGCTAGGCACAGATCTGCCACTCCATCAGTTATTTTCTAGTGGGCCCTCGTGAGATTGGTAGATGAATCTGCCTGATCTGAAATCTGACCAACCTCCTATTGATAGAGCATGGAAAGAGCAAAGCAGGAGAAAGAGTCACGTCGGCACGACCGTAATTCATGTTTTTATGAAAATGAACGCACTTTGAAATGAAAGTGGGGAAGTCTCCATTGGGAAGGGCGAGAGTCCTATTTTCCGAGTTTTTCCCCTCTTTGCTCCATGCAAAATTGTTTACATTTGTGCCTGTAAGGAGAGAGAGAATGGGAAGGCCGTCCGCGCTTGGACTAAACACGGCGCCTTGTAGAGCTATCGTCACTACCTGATGCTTTGCATTTACGAGTACGAATGCCCTAAGCTACATTTTTCTCGAAATTTGCTGTCACAGAGATCTTTTAGCGCCAAATACTTTTTTCTGTCAAAGGAACTGCCTCTCTCCGAAATTCTCCGAAGCGTCAGTTCACCAAAAGAAGTAGACGTTTGGGAATCTATTTCTGATTAAAATGGCATTGAGAGGCACGGCCGAATGTCCTGGGTTCAGTGGTGTAATGGTAGCACAACTGACCGGCAATCAGGAAGCCCGGGTTCCATTGAAAGGCTAATAGGCAAAGTGGTTCATCTGCAGAAAAATTCCGAAAAACGGAATTGCAGTGAAGAGAGTAGTTGGAGGACTGAAAGGGAAAGTGGTCTACCTGCAAGAAACACTTTCAGAAGCTTCAGGAGAAAATTACGACCTTACTCTGTTAATTAAGAAGTGGTGCATGTATTGGATTTTTTTTTCCAGAAATCCTACAGGTATCTTATCTACAGGTTAAAGGTGGACTTGCACTTCAGACCAGTTTTTGGCTTCTTTGAGAGAATTTTGCAGATGAATTTATATTCCTTTTAGCCCGTCAATAGTTGTGTATGGAATATCAAAGAGTTATGCAATTAAAAGAGACTTGAAGTTGTTGGGGAGCACCTGATGCCAGGCATTTTTCTGTTATCCACATTGGTACTCTAAGTGCATTTCGACCTCTGACTCATAGTTTTATTGCATCAAGCTGAGCTTCGTCAGACATGCGAGACATACGTACCCGAGCGGCGCTTAAAAATAACGCCGAGACTTTCCGTTGATTTCTCAGTTTCCAGATGAGGTAGAGGCATACACACCATACCAAGTACATACCAAGTAAGTATCTATCCTTCCTCTTGACTCCATTAAAACTAAGAATTTATAGCTACCAGAGAACACCCACAACAGCTGTTGGACTAAGGCACTTCTACATTTTTCATATCCCACCTCCCCTTATCGAAATGAGTTCTCCTTTGCCGTGGCATATGGCACGTAATCTCACTTTTGGATCTCCTCCACGGTAATCTCATTCCAGGTCTGTTGAATGCTGGCTCTCTGTTCAGCAACGGAGTGATCTATCTTGGATCACTCGACTCATCAGCTCGACTTTTAGCACTAAGAAAGAGGTCAACTTGAAGTCGTAACGAGCTTGTTAGCAGCTCATCTGAACTGGGACATGAAAAAGTTAGGTGTCTTAGTCGAACTGCCGCTGTGGGCGTACTCTGATAGTAAGGAACGGTATTTTCCCCTGGTCAATTTTTAAATGAATTTCAAAGTTGAGGGATGATCTCGCTTCCATGCCTTCTCTCGTTGAAAGCCTGAACTCCAAGCAAGGAAAGTTCATCAGGATTTGATAGATGGTCATCGCGAGGGTGTTTGCTCCTTTGATATGTTTGCCAGGAGGATAAAAAATGCACATGATTGGGAAGGATACTAAGGATGCAGCTCGATCCTTACATCCAAGGAGTTCTGTGAAAAAAGCTACAAAGATCATTGTTATGCCATAATTTACTAGGATCCTAGTGTCGATGGATAGAGATGTTTGAGCCTAATGCCCCGAAGAGAAACTGAATCAGTCACTAGAAACACGCTTTGGACATCCTTCTTCACAGTGAAAAATATGCAGTCGAACATGATCTAGCTTTCAGATGAGTCTCGACCTCAATTTTTGAAACCGGGTTTACGAAGTCAGATGACGTTCATCATCAGTTCTCAAGACGAGAACATGACAGATGCTGCTTCACCACGACTATGCTGACCCTCAGGAGCAAAAGCTGAGGACGTCCTAAGTAGACAGCAGGGCGTGTTCTTTCTTCTTCACCACTCTCTCAACTCTCCCGACTTGGCTTGAATTCTGGATCCCAACTTGAATTCTGGTTCTTCCCTTAGCTTAAATTCAGAATTGCCAAATACCCTTTTCAAGGGTAGAACAACTAGCAAAGGTTGTATGAGCAGAGCTGTCCAATACTCCTGTATTGGACTGCCATCACGCCTTTCGAAGAAAAGTGCTACTTTTTCCCGCCTTCACTGAGCAAAAGCAAATTCTACCGAGTGGCAGCAAGATTCATTGCATATGGACTTTAGGGATTCCATAATAAGAGCAAAAGAAGTCTCGACTCACTTTCCTGTCGATTCTATCATTTCTGTAATTCGTTTCATTATCACTTTCACCAAGTTAGCAAATAAATTATATTTTTCATCTCTGTACAGTAGCTGTTTGTGTGAGGTTCTACGGTTAAAAAAAGAGGATACCGACAAATTCATGTAAATCGAGCATTTAGAGATGGGCAAAGCATGAAAAAAGAAGATATTGAATATATTAAATGACCCAATAAAAAAAGTCCTTTTGGATTCCAATAGGAATGTCAGGGAAGTATATATATTTTTGGAACCCGATAAACCAATCCTATTACATGGTGGCCCAAAAAAGGGCACACTTTTCAATGCGCATTTTGGATGTGATGCTTTCCAAGATATTTTTCCCGTCACCTGTAATGGAAAGAAGAAAGACTCAGCTACAAATTGCCTTTTTTCGACCTGAAATGCCTCAAGCGGTGACTTAAAAAATGATTGAATTTCGGTTAAGAATAATCGGTATTGGATCTACCCACTACAGACTGCGCAGACGCATCCAGTCATCCTCACAAAGTCCGCTGCGGTCAAAAGCGTCAGGTTCAAACGAGCGGTCAACGACGATTTCATCCATGAAATGAAGCAAAAGAAAGTAGGGGAGCGGCACCAGTTCGCGAACAGGGAGCCAGTTAGCAAACGAGGGTCATGAAACGCGATTTGGTCTTTTGTTACTCTAGTTTCACACTCCATCCCAAGCATTAATTAATCAATCAATCCATTTTCTGCAGATACCGAAAGCTGGAGCGTATAACTCGAGAAACAAATTGCCAAATCGCATTTCATGACCCTCGTTTGCTAACTGGCTCCCTGTTCGCGAACTGGTGCTTCTCCCCTATATAATGTCATTCGAGGTCAGAGTGATGAAAAAAATCAGAGTTTTATTTTTGAAGGAATGGAAAAACTATTATATAGATGAAGTACCTTTGCGCACGTTAATCTTAGATTCTTAGCTTCTTAGCGCAGATGTGCAACTGGAAATTCATTAACCTGTACGATTCGCGCCTTTTATTTGAATTGTCGTCCTTCCGTTTTCAGGAAAAAATTCCGTAGCGTTACATGCGCAGGACCTTTCCTTGAAAATTTCACTTAACTGAAGTGAGTTGCTACATGTACTGGTGTGACCTTCACCATTCACCTCCTTTCTTTGTGTCTTTCCATCCTCGCTCTCAGGTCCTTTGCTCATAATATATTTCTGCGTCCCTTACCGTGGGGGAGAGGGGGGATGGAGAAGTAGAGGGATATTCTGAGCAGGGGTGGGGGGAGGGGGGGTTCAGACCCCTGATCCCCCTTGGTAGCGTTCCTGCTTCGTGCTCCACATGGAGCACGGAGAGGAAAAGAAGATGCCAATCAAGAATTGTCGGGAGCTTATTTCAAACATTGTTTAAATATTTTCTCACATGATCCTGTGCAGGGAGCACTACATTTCAGCCTTTCTCATAATAAATACTAATTAATCTTGTTCATTATTTATCTCCGAGATAATTGCAAGCAACCGGACATTCTCATGTAAAACTTGCCAAACTTGTCAAAGCCCACAAGGGAATGAGACTTCAAGACTGGAGAAAGAGTCACATTATAAATGATCACACTTACCCCGATGCCCAAATTTACGGTGTAAGTATGATAAGTATTCCAATGTCCAAGCTTGGCATGAATGAAACACCGAAAGGGACTACTTGGAAGAAGCATGGAACCTACATTGTCATTATATGAAAATAGGGATTTTATTATGTGGTACTGATCAAATAGGGAAGGTTGAATGAGGTGAGCCGAATTAAGTTCTAAGAGTACCTGTAAGTACTAGTAACTTCCCCATGGCCGATGACGCCGATAGAGCAACACCGGTGGCCAATACCGGTGGTAGCCAATACATCGATACAAACCTAGTCTAAACACTATATTCTAAGCCTGAAATAAGATTTTAGCATTGCCACTGACCTGGAGCTATGAATGGAAAGAAAGGGGAGTGAGGGCTTCTAGGAGCTCTTGCACGCCCTTGCCCTTGCCCTTGTCTCCCCTCCCTCCGGCTAGACCGAAGGGAGGGGAGACACTATTAGATATCTACGTCGTATAAAGCGCTGAGGTCGTAGCTCTTCTTTTAGGGAAGGTACTGCGTCGCCTTAAGGCTCATGTGGAAGCACGCTAGTAAAAGCAAAGTAGCAAAAATTTGGGGCGTAACAGACTCCTACGACAATGGAAGACTCGGCAAAACGTCATGCCCCACTTCCACCCTCAATAATGACTCTTACTCGAATCGAACATTTTCATGAAATAACGTCAACAATTTGGTTCCACTTTGTTCCAGGATGCTAGAATTGAACGGATTAAGCATAGAGAAACTTCCAGAGGGTGCGTTTGGGGATGTCTCCTTCCAAGAAATGTGGTTGCGGTATAACCAAGTCCTTGCAAGCGTCCATGCCACTGCTCTTCTCCCGTCGAAAACCCGGCTGGTGAAACTTTTTTTGGACTATGGAAACGTGAATTCCTTCCCGTTCGATATCCTCCCAGAGATGACGGTCCTGAAAGAACTGAAAATGGCCTTTAATTCTTTGACCGGAGTCCCCGTCCTACATAGCACCAGCCTGGAAATTCTCGATCTTGCCTACAATCAGATTCAGTCCTTGGAAGAAGGAGCCTGGTACTTGCCAAAACTCACAACTTTTCGTCTCGGTGAGAACATGTCTCCTTCATACCCCATAAATAAAAATATAACCAGAAACTCCCAGATTTCTACTACAATAGGACAGATCTGTCTATCTGCCTGTAATATTATAATGAAAAGAAATTGTGAGGATGTTGCGTAAGTAGGATTTTCAATCCAAGACTGAGAATTCCCGGTCATATTTATGTCATGCTGTTCTCATAGGGATCTATGGGAAAATGGCAAATATTGCTATAGCTTTATTATTTTCTTTTTTTCCCTTTTCATTCCCTCGGCTTCCTTTTCGCAATAGTTGGAAACGAACTGATGACTCTCCCAGAAGGAATGGTGTCCAACATGGAGAGATTGGTTTCCTTCGAATGTCAGATAAACCGCTTGGGGCCTACCCTCCCGAAGGACTTGCTGAATTTTGCCAGCTCCACTTTGAATTTAATTAACCTGGCTGGCAACGGCATCTCGAAATTGGAACGAGGCGCCATCACCGGTAATGCGTGATTGTTTCCTTAACCTTATGTCGACTTCATAGTTACTTGAATGAAGAGGGAATGTATTAACAGAAAGTGCTCTTTGTCGATATCCTCCAAGGTTTGGAGGTCAATACTATCATGGAACTGTATCAGAATTCCTTTGAACTACTGGATGAAGATTCCTTCCGACCAATTGTGGAATCCATCCTGTCAGGAAGCGGATATTTAGACTTGAATGGTCTGTACACAAAAAGGATCAATTTTACCCTGAGTGCATTTAAATGTTATTTGCTGATTTAAAAAAAATGTTAATGGAAAATAAATGCAAAGCAAGATAACAAAATATTCAGCTGAAGGTGAACCTAACCTTAACCCTACCAATACCACGCTTTTATTTGTTCTATGGAATACCAACGGGGGAGGGGGGTCTCGGATGCCCACTATTCAAAGTTAATAATTTATTTATGAAAATTTTGCGTTTTAGACCTTATACTCTATTTACACATCATACTAGAAGTACAAACAACTTTTTTCTTTCCAAACTGCTGTTAATTATACTGTACAGTACAGTAGTTTAGGCGGTGTGCCCGAAAATTCTCACCAAACATAAAATAAAAACTAAACCTTTTTTTCATGGCTAATAAAATTGGTACACAGAAACATTCCACCTCCCTTAGCTTCCAAAATAATCCCTGTTCGAATCTGTGCACTTCTGCAATCTGGAGGGCAACGATCGTATATTACTTCTGAATAAGTCTGTATCTTCTTTTTTTTTTAGACATGGTCTTACATATATTTGAGGAACTTCACCACTGATGAGGCGAATTCATCGAAGTTGTTCCTTCAACTAACCAAACTGATGATCGTATGAGTGGGTTATGTCTGGGCTATATGATGGGTGACTGGCAACAGTCTACTGAAATTTGCCGATAATTTGCATTGTTTTGAACGCTAGTTACAGATAGATACAGAATTCTACAGAATACAGTAACGACATAAACTACCCTAATGCTTTCTAATTTTGACTTTGTGCTGCCATAACTGCTGCATCTGAAGCCACATGTGCTGCCGCCAAATGGTTTCAGGAGAGATCCGCTTCCTGTTAACGAAGATATAGTGTAGTGGATGGTAAGTTTCCAAGAAAGTGTTCACAACCCATCCCGTTAAATGAAGGCAAATGTGATTCCATCCGATATACATAACTTAAGTCTGATCGATTGACTTATCGAGGAGAAGGACACATTAAGTCAGAATAGCAAAGAATACAGAAAGTCTTTAATCGGTGATCTTGATTCAATCTCCTATTATTGAACCGATTAACAAGAGGCTGCTGTAAAACAAAAGGGAGAATCTTTGCCATCAGTACAGGGTTTTGAGATCCATATACCACATCTTGTATGGTTATTATGGCAACATAATGTAACAAGTATGAAACATTAGGACAGATTATGTCGTTATCGTACAATAATTGCCCTCCAGATGACGGAAGTGCATCAATTCGAACAGTTATTATTTTATTAGCAAAGGGAAGTGCGAGGTTTCTGTGTACTGTCTTTGGTAGGGATCAAAACAATGATTTAGTTTGTAGATGATATTTTGCTGAAAATTTTCGGACACCCCTAGTAACATGAGAAGAAAGACAAACATTTATGAAAAAGTCTTTCAAGACTGTATTATTCCCAATCTTCTGACGCATCACATTCCACACCTGAAGCATAATAAACGATTCACATATCATAATAAGAGTACAAGTAACATATCCATTCATATTCTTAAAAAGAACTGGCAAGAACTAGTGTTAGTTCTTTAGAACTACCAAGGGGGGGGGGGATCTGAAAAGCCCACTGCTTACATAATAGTGTTATATCCACACTTCCAATGAAGTTTAACCTGTCAATTCCTAAAAGTACCAATGTCCATCCCATATTTTCCATATCTTCCTTTAGATTACAACTTTAGGAAAAGAAAATGATAAAACTTGAATTGTAGGCCTTGCAGGCCACCCCACCGTGGGAATTTCTAGGGTTAAAAGTAAAGTATGACGCACGAATATTCTCATAATTTGTATTCTTCGAGAGGTATACATGTTACGGGCCTCATTTGCTTTTTCTACGCAGGTAATCCTTTAACCTGCGGTTGTGACCTTGCCTGGCTGGTGATAAATGAGGGACTACGATTTGAAGTCAATGGATATTGTCGGGACAACGAAATTCGTCTAAGAGATCTGGATCCTGAGGATTTTTTAGAACCCTGCCCATAACATTGTTGATCCCCGAAACTAGAGAAGCCACCTGTGAAAGAAAATAAAATGTCTATTTTCCATCGTTTGGTGACAAGTTTTCTCAGTCCTTCATACCCTGACAACTCTCATGTCACTTGATTTGTACATTTACACATTCGCACAATGCTCGAAGTGATGTGCATTCCAAACCGAACGGAAAGAAAATAAAAATTTTTTTTGGGAAGTATGAAGTCAAAGTTGTTGCTGTGCCGGAACTGCGAAGCATTTTTCTTCTCTTTGAGAAATGATCGACAATAAACCCATGACCGGAAAGTTGATTCGGCTCTGATCTATTTACGACGTAATGATGACTTGAAACCAAATTTGAACATTTGAAATACGTAATTTAGACAACTGAGGACAATTGATCATTTTGTAATTGTCTCAGTTTTTTAAACGCCAACCATTCTTAAGATTGTGTTGCATCGTTCGTACGTGTGTGGAAACCGCAATTTGATCTTTGCCTGATCATACCGAGGGATTGAAGAGACATGTAGAGATGCCACTTTTTTCAATTTATTTGGGCAATCTATGGCTTAACATGTAGAACATACAGAAACAAAGACAAATGGTACAAAGGACAAACTTTTGGAGTTTAACATGTCAAAATTTGACAATTCAAGAAATTGACATCTCAGAAAGTTTAAATAAACAAGTAATTGAATTATGTAATAATAACATATCATGGACAACATTACATAATCATCGGCATCCATTTTTCCCTCAATTGAAAATGATCTGAAGGCACAGTTAGAAGCGTAAACGTAGCATACTTTTCTGCTTGAAATAACAACTTGATTTCTCTAGAAACACCTTAATCGTTGGCTTAGTTTTATTTAGGGAGCAGCAGTATATATAGTATTTGGCGTAACATATTATCGTATTCCAGATTCTATCTTCAGAGGTGCATCCTAACAGAATTGTCTTGCAGCTCAATGTTTTTGCATCTCTTGATGATGGAATTTAATCTCTAGTATGATTAATCATGTCATTCCAAAATGTCTGTACTAAGTTACATTTAATAAACAGATGCATCGTGGACTATTCTATAGACGCCTGCTTGTAACATTCCCCAGGCTGGTAGTCTAAACGACCTCCATCCATAGGAAGATAATAAAGATAATATTACCATTTCTTCGCTCGAGTTAAGATTCGCTTAGAGGCCCGGAACTAATTATTCCTTAATGAAATCAGCAGTTAATTTGTATTCAAAGAAGTACGTCGATAGGAGGACGGATATTTAAATTTTTCTACTCACCTTCACGCGCCTGCAATATAAATGTTAGACGGACTGCCACAGTTATTTCGACGGAAATGATAATTGCTTGTTATTCGTTCATCTCATGAGTCCTCCCATTTCCTTTTGGCCACCAAAGAAATTAAACCGTCCTCACTCCATCCACCACATCAGAGTTTCCTGGAAACCCCTTGGACTGGCTTACCTCTTCACAACTATTTATTTACGAATTCGAACGTCTTCTCTGTGGTGTCTGTGAGGAAAGAGCGGCCCCCGTGCGAGAAGGATTGGAGAGAAATTTCACCTGCCTCAAGTATTGACTCAGTTTAGCGGCCACTTTGGCGTCATCTTGCGTCCGTTATGAGAACCTTCCTTCTTTCGAGTGAATGTCAGATGGATAGCGCAACCACGCTGAAAGAAACCGTCTTTTTCGTGTTCAAGGAATGTCTTCCAAAAAGTCTTGCATTGGTAATCGACCAGCACCCAACTGAGAGCACAAAAGATGCTCACCCTTGGACGGTCGACGTCCTAAACCCACTTTCAACTAAGGTTGAACGTCCCCCAGAACTTTCTAGCGTTAATTTAGGACAGTCTATACTCTGACATCATTGAATACGAGGTAAGTGATGAAAACGACGAAAAGATACGATACCATATTAAAAAATTTTTTTTTTCAATAAACGACAAGAAACAACGGGCGAGTGACTGCTGCACGAGTTTATCAGAGGGTGTCGGGATGTTAATTGGTTGTTCGGAGAAATCGGAGGCAAAGTAGTGATAACTGTGCCTCAACAGAAAAATTTTCTTCAGGCTTTGCCTCCACAGCCACTTTGACGATGACGAAGCACAAGATGAAATTTTTTTTTAGTCTTTGCAGAGTTTTTTTTTTGCAGTACCGTACACTCTTAGAAAAAAGGGAGCGATTTCCGAAAAAAGGAGTGAAATTCGAGTTAGCGATATTATTCCCTAAAGACGAGGAAGTACAATCGATAATTACTCCTTTATATGAGCAGAATTCATTACTCTTTTAAGAGCGCGAAACGAAGGAGGGAAAGTTCTTTTCAAACTAGTAGAAAAAATAGTGGTTATTCTCAGAAAACAAACAGGTTTGCGGCATTAATTTCTTGCTTTTTTTGCTAGTAAAATCACTAACTCCGGTTTCTCTCTCTTTCTCAGAAATCGCTCGCTCTTTTCTAGGAGTGAATGCATGGCTACCTTCAAGAATGGGAATACGAACAGGAGACAATACATAGAGGAGACTTCTCTTGCAATTCCTGGATATTCTGTCCAGAAGATTCAAAGCACTGAAACCATAAAAGTACCTTCGCACAATTGGGTGAATATTGGAATATCATCCTTCAAAACGCATGGATTTTCATTTGCATAGACTAGGGCAAATAATTCCCCTTCTTATGGTAATGTTAATTACTCCCCCTTTTCTGCCGATACAAATGGCTCCTCTATGTAAGTTCAATCAGTTACAGCGTTACTACTGGAGATGACCCAGGCTTGGTGTCCAGTCATGATTGTATAGAATAGTGACGAAAGCAAAAGAGGGAGGAACGCTGCAGACACGGGACATACTTCCCTTCAAGCAACCACACCCCCCTGTCGTTTAGCTGCCTTGTCCCTACTGAGCGCCCCCTCCCCGCTTACAAGAATTCCTGTGTAAGCCATTGGTATGGAGTAGTTTCATTTAAATCAACATTCCCCCAAGAGGGTAATCCCTCCAATTCTATCATATGTAGCGCATGGTACATGATGGTATGGTGTGATGTTCGGCCACGCTCCCTCTCCTACAGCCAACAAGGGTCCAATGTGGAGTGTTGCCTGGGTTCCTGTCTATAAGTAATCCCCATCCTCCTAGAGGAGCATTCCACCCCATCTCAAAAACACAATGGATGAAACTTAATTGGACTCGGAATTCTGTCGGACAAATTGTGCTGCTCATTACATGTATCATGTATCATGGTGATATATGTTCCAGACATGATATATGTTCAAATTTCCAGACTTTACCAATAGAGAGTGGACCAAAAAAAATGAATAGGCTTTGATGACTAATTCACAAGAAGAAATGTTAAAAACCATTTGTGAGCAATCGATTTTGAGACATAAACTCTTTACTAAAGACAGTGAGAATAATTTAAGAAAATATGGCTTCCCGGTTGTTTTATTTTCTGGTTACTGCAGAATAGACTTGAGATTTAAAAGAATAGATTCCCATGCACTGCACACTCGTGCGGCCAAAGTAGGGTCTGCATTGGATTCCCACATTTGCGATTTGTGGGTCCCACTGTTGTGTGTGTGTGTGTGGTGGGGGGGGGGGGAGGGATGGTTGCTGATCAGGGAAATTACTTTAAAAACAGTTCTCACACTTTTTCATTATTCAGAAGATGAGGACAAGAAAAAAGGACCTGGAACATTTGGCGTAAATTATTTAGAGTATTTTTTAAAGAATTTTTTTTTAACATATGAAATGTTGAGGCATAATCAACAACCTTAGAAACAGCTGTCTGTTGAAACTATCTTTCACACATTATATTTTCAGGGGCATAATTTGGGCATTGAGTCTCCCTAGGTTAATTAATCTCTTATCTGAGCTTACCTTATTCCCACATACCCAATGATAATGAATAATGAATTTGTACTTCTGAATTTTCAGAATTTGTCTGCAACACAAACGAAAAATAAACGTTGTACTGGAGTGCAAAAAAGGGAGGCAATAGTACCCCCTGTGGTGAAATGCTACAGTAAGAAATTATTCTGCACAAAACTGAATCGGTCCCCAAGTAGCACATGGATTCAATGTTGACTCAACATCCAGATGCTGTATCAACATTGAATCAATGTCGATTCAATGTTACGTACTACTAGGGTCTAAGTCAACTAAAATTTAAAAGTAATGAACTTCGTCATACCTTTATTTCTACTTGAGAGGATTTGCGTTTTGCGCCTTTTTGTTAAAATACCTTCTGTCCTTTAAGTAAGAACAAAATTGAGTGAGTAAATATATTTAGCTCTAAGATTCTCCAATGAAACTGAAATGAGTGAAGCAAGGCAATATAGATCGAACGCGGAATTCCCTTCGTCTTATTCATTTTCCAGTTTTTAATTGGAAGGATTTGTGGATGTTACAGTAGCATGCAGAGATTTTGTATGAAACTGGAGACGCCGTATGTTGGTGCAGGGAAATTCAAGGAACAAACCTATGATATGGAAGGAAGGCTTTTAATAAACCCACTTTTTAAAATTTATTTTCATATCGTTACCCGCTACATGTTATAACCGCTATTACAACGAATAATTTCAAATCCTCTGTCACTAAGCTCATGCGAATGCGATCAATAATTAATTCCACTTTAGCAGCGATTGTAAGGATCATCCCGCATCTTGCCATCCGGAGTTCTGAATTTAGAGTGTTTAATCTGTTTAGTCAATTCTTGAGTCTAATATAAACGGACCTTAACCTGTTGAGGAGTGAGTTTTGGTCTGACCATTCTTAAAAATCAGACTATTTTGGCTTGGAATACATTTATGAGCGCGTTGCCCTTCCGCCTTCCTATGTTTGCCTCATGCTTCACACTGAGCTCATGACTTTCTTACGTGTTCTAATTTTTCCGTGTTCCTGTATTCCTCACGAGATTGCAGCCGTAGATTTCGTTTGTTTTGATGTTACATTGCCAGAAATCCTCTACATCTTGAATAATGTCACCTGGCACGTCAAGGTATTACAGCGAGTCCTTTGATATGCAATCAAACTGAAAAAAAACATGAATTTATTTAAATAATCGGGACAGGTACCGGCGTACCGTATAGTCGTACTGTTTGTAGCATTTTCGTTGGGCATTTTCAATTTTTCCGACATTTTCAATGATCAGCATAAGCACATCTCGTTTCGCTCGAAGAGCAAAACGAGCGAAGTGCGTCCATTGTAATTCTCATTGTAATGATTGCACTCGAGGTATCAAAG